ATGTATAAAAGAAAAAAAATTAACAGTTTGATGAGAGCCCCAAACTTGAAATCACTCAAATTTCCATGGGCAGGTAGTGGGTAAATAGTGATCTAGCCAAACAATTCCTACCCAGCAATAAAAAGGAATAAGCCATGATACAACATGGATGAATCTCAAAGCATCATGTTGAGTGAAAGAAACCAAACACAAGAGAACATACTATATAATTCCACTTGTATGAAACTCTGGAAAGGATAAATGCAGTCTACAGTGACAGAAAGCAAATTGGTAGCCATTGGGACCCCAGGTCTCTCCCACCCCTGGCTTGGATGGAACAAAAAAGAATTTTTGGGGGGTGATAGACAATGTCCCATATCTGGACTGTGGTGATGTATATGTCTATATGTAAATGTTTCAAAATTCATTAAACGGTGCACTTGCTGCACACTTAGAAGGGGTACGCTATGCTGTTTACAAATTATACTTGCATAAAATTAAGAAGAGGAACCACCAAAATTCTAGAAGTAGAAAAATCTAACTTCCAAACCTGTAGGGGGGATAGTGGAAAAAAGAGAAGTGAATCAGAAGGCAAAAAGGGAGGCTTAGGTGGTAGCAGGTGGAACCAGATGAAACAGAGGTAAAGGGATTTTCAAGACTCAGCGTGGGGTCTGCAGCCCCAGTTCAGGACACCTGGGTGTGCAGGGAATTGGATCTGCAGTCAACTAGAGTAGAACCAGTTCAATCATTGTTTAAGCTCCCCAGATGATTCCATTATGCAGCCAGGGAGGCCTCTTCTTGAGGTCAAAGAGTAAAGGAACTTGGAAGACTTACAAACACCGGCTAATCATCCGAGCCTACCTCAAAATATAATATCCCCAGGCCTCCCTGGTGGTGCAAGGGTTAAGATGCAACCTATGAAGCTGTCTGCAGCCTCTGCAGCACGAGTTTGATTCCTGGCCAGCCAGGGAACTACCCACATGGCGCAGCAGACCTCTCCTGTTTCACCGGCTGCTCCCTTCAGCAGTGCATTTCAGTCAGTCTGCCTGTTCTGCTCCCCACTCTGTCTCTGGTGAATCCTCTCACTCCCCCACACCGCTGGCCTATACCCCAGCTCTTGTATGCATAAATAAATAAATCTTTCAAAAAATATATATATATATAATATCCCCATCCTATAAGGATGGTGCCAGTGACACCACCAAATGACCTATTCATCAAGATAACTTCAAAATAGAACCTGCTGACCCCCACCACTACACAGCTCCTGTCCCTTTAAAACCTCTGGTCAGCATGAGAAGGGCAAGATGGCCTTACAAGCAATAATCCTCTCTCTCCTCAGGGCACTGGCTCATGAATCAAGCTAATTTCCTCTCACCAACTTGTCTCTGGAATATTGATGGTCAAGAGGCAAGCAGCCATCTTGGCTCTGGTAAAAGGGGGAGAATAGTAGTCTTGTAGGACTGAGACCTTAAACTGTCTTTTTTTTCTGCGGAAGACTGTTGTGAATGCCTACAGATGTGACTGAGGAAGCTCAGGGGCCTAATTTTTGAGCCAGCCTCTCCCCTTCAACCAAAACAGTGGTCCCGGAGCTGCTGTGTGATTTAACTCCATGGGGCAAATTCACCATAGTCCACACGAATGACACCCTCTGAACTTGTGCAGTGCCCAGTCTGCAACCGCACATGGCGGCCTACTTGGCCACCTTCCCTCCCTTGCTTGACGAGGGTCTCTGACAGGGTGAGGCATGATGCCCTTGCTCCTGTGTTTCTACCCAGCTTCAGAAGGAACCAGTTGTGCTCTGCTGGCCAAATATTTCCAATATGATCTAGCAATTCCACTCCTAGGTATTTACCCAAAGGACACAGAAACATTAATTCCAAAGAGCACCTGCACCCCTATGTTTATAGCAGCACGATTTACAATAACTAAGCTTTGGAAACAACCCGAATGCCCAAAAATAGATGACTGGATCAAGAAGATGTGGTGCATATACACCATGGAATATTACTCAGCAATCAAAAAAGATAAACACATGCAATTTGCAGCAACATCAATGGAGCTAGAAGGGATCATGCTCAGCGAAATAAGCCAGAAAGAAAAAGAAAAATACCGGATGGTCTCACTCATAGCAGGAATCTAGAAAACCTAAATAAGGGACCAGGAAAAAAGAATAAGTATAAGAAAGAAAAAATCAAAATCAATAAACATCTATGAACCAGAGACACACTATGGGGGTGGGGGTGGCGGGGAAAGGAGGAATTGGTATAAAAATAAGGGGGTGCAATTGTATGGGGAATATAAAAATAAAATTAAAAAAAATATATTTCCAACCCAATCATCTTCAAGAACTTCAGACTTAATTGCAGACATCTGGGCAAGAGTTGGGAATGAGTTGCAGTGAATTAGAAATAGACTCAAGTCCTTCAACTAAGGGCAGGAGTCAAACTGGCCCGCTCATCTTTGATCCTCAATTTGTCACTCTGGCTGGTTCCCAGATTCACTTCTGGTGATGTTTCTCCATTTCTTGACTTTGATCACATTTGCACCTATTGCCCAATGTCTTGGCTAAAGCACGTAATGTCCTGCTGCTCCCTGCCCTCCCTTTGTCTCATTATGTCTTCCCCAACCTAATCTGAGCCAAAGTGGCATTTCCAAAACCTCTGTGGAAATGAAGGTAACTACCAACCCTGTTAGTCCACACACCTGCTTCCTTCACAAAACCTGCCCACCCAGGAAAGTAAATTCTCCCATACCCCTGGGGGTGGTACTCACAGTGAGGCAGATCCAGCTGTATGCAACTTTCCACACGTGATTTTTCTTAGGAGAGTATCTGTGGGTTTCGTCAATTTTTTCAAAAATCCAAATGGGTTAAGAACTGTTGCAGTACAATGCTGCACACCTTTTCATGGTTGATAATGATTCATCTCTTTAAAATATAGGATCCCATTCATTTATTTGTCAAATATTTACTGAGCATCTACTAAGTGCCAGCCCTTTGCTAAGCACTGGGGGTACAGTACTGAAAAAAATAACCTTTGATCTCGGGGGGCTTACTTTTCAGAGCTCACAGACTGCCTGAGGTTGGATGAGACATTAGTTTGAAGAGTCTAAGTTTTGAATCTTCAGGTTTTTAATTTTGCAGTTCCAAGAACTCTATGGGGTTCTGTTACAAATCCTGTGAAGTCCTACTAAAGAAGTTGTTGATGACAGTACATAGCAGTGGCAATGACAATGGGCATAGGGGGAGCTCGGGGATCAGGCAGGTCGTGAGGGAGAGACCTATGATGGGCCACAATAGTGAGAAGGCAGGAGAGAACCAGTCACACCCCCACCCCCACCAATGCCAGTGGAAAACACTGGCCCTTTTGAGGCCTGGTTCCTTCAGCCTTCACAGTTCATGTCCTGCAGGAAGGCTCAGGGCCCCAGGCCAGGCCAGGCTGGGATCTGCCCAACTTCCTCCCAGCTGGGAGCCAGAACTAGGGTTTTCTTCTGAGTCAGGATAGGTGAGTCTTCCTGCAAGTGTCCCTGATTGAAAGAAGAATTGTTACGTTGCTCCTGGAGAGGATGGTGTGTGTGTGTGTGTGTGTGTGTGTGTGTGTGTGTGCACACATGCACACGCATGCAAAATGTGCACTCCTGGCCAAGGGTGCAGTAGGAGCAAGTATTCAAGTGAGTATGGCGGCCTGGCCACCAAAGGGACCAGGAAGCTCAGCCTTGGGGTGGGATGGGGTGAGGGGAATATGGCTGCAGAGGCCAGTGGCTAGAGGGAGAGGGCCTGGCAAGCCCCACACCAAGCCTGGTCAGAGAGGATCTCCTCTCCACAGACCTAAAATCCGCCTGTTCCAGAGAAGTTCTTAGACAGCTGGAGGGTCCCAGGTGGGTCCGGAGCAATGAGAAACAGAGACAAGCAAATCATGCGGATTATCAAATGCATCTGTGAGTCAGGAACCCCTGTCCTGGAGCCCCTGCCAGGCTCCCCTGTCACTGCCCATCCCTGGGACAGACAGATGCTCACCAGCTGGGTCTCACCAAGGACATACACACGCACAGGTGCACACCCATCTGCCCCGATAAATGGATACACTCTTTAGACACATCCATTTTGCTTCTGGGATGGCACTACGCGTCAGGTGGCAACAGTATATGTGGCAAAAGCACGTGGTTAAAAAGTCAAAGATGGGCCTACCCAGAGACAAGTGCACGCCCACCAGCTGGCCTGCAGCCAGGATGGGCCCTCAGCCCTGAGCGTTCGGAGGCTGCGCAGAGAGGGTGGGGAGGGGTGAGGAGGGCCCAGGAGGCCAGAAGGCGAAGGAGAGTTAGCAGGCAGGACAATGGGGTTAGTGACCCAGATGGGCAACCTACAAGGCTCCCCTTTATTTTTTTATTATTTTTTTTTTTAAAAACTTGGTCATTCTTTTTTTTTTCTTTTTTTTTTTTTTAAAGATTTTATTTATTTATACATGCACTGGGTACAGTCAGAAGTGTGGGAGGGTGAGAGAATCCACCAGAGCCAGAGCAGGGAGCAGAACAGGCAGACTGATGAAATACACTGCTGAGGGGAGCAGTGGGCGCGGCAGGGGAGGTCAGCGCGCCATGTGGGACCCCCGCCCAGTGACAGGGGATCAAACTGGTGCTGCAGAGGCTGTGGGCAGCTTTGCAACCCAGCGCTCAACTGCTGTGCCACCGGGGAGGCCCACCCCTTTATTTTTGATGGCACTCAGCACTGCATCTAGGAGTTGGGGGTGAGGGGGGTGGCCGTTTCGGGGGAGTGTGATTGGATGGGCACATTTCTGCTTTTGGTCTTGGGTTATGGAGGGTGACCTGCCCCTCAGTTCTCACAGCTCTGTTTTAGAAGGAGTCTGAAGACCAGGTGCCCTGACACCCATCCATGTTGGGGGAGCAGGTGCCCTGTGGCTAGATTGCTGCCTGACAGCCTCTGCATACACCAATGTGAAGCGAGTGCCATTCCCTTTGGCTCACTCCCCAAGAGCCCCTGGAGAGACATACTGTGTGTTTTCTCCCACAGACATGAGAAGGGCCCTCCCCAAGTCCAAGCTGCAATTCTGCAGGCGCTTTCCCAGGCTTGGGGGACCTCAAGGCAGGTTCTGGAGAGATGGGAAGCAGAAGCCCCAGCCCAGAGACCACCTCCCCTCCCTTTACCAAACTCGGGCTGGAGCTCCTTGGCCCCCCTCCATCATAGTCAGATGGCAGACTGGGTCAGCCCCCAGCCCTGGCGCCCGCCTGCCGCCGGTCCAGAGCCAGCTGGAGGGCCTGCCTCACAGTCTCCGCATTGTTCAGAACGTTGTACCGACTCAGGGCCACCAGCCGATCAAATGCCTTGGGTTCATAGGTGAAGCTTGTCGTGCTGTAGGGGGTGTCTGGTCCATTGATGACAAAGTCCCCAAAGGCCTTCTCCTCAGCGGTTTGCCGCTCCACACCTGGGGGTAGGAAGTGGAAGAGAGCTCAGGCCGGGACATCTGGAATTGATGTGGACTGGCTGTTCCAGCAACCTCCCTTGCCCCAGGACATCTGCTGCTCCTGCGTGGCCCTGCTCGGGCTCTGCTCTTAGCTCTCTCACGCGGAAGGAACAGGGCCACTGTGAATGCTGAGGTCCAGAAAGCAGAAGACAGCAGTGACCAATTCAGGCCGCGCAGGAGGTATGCTTTGATCTAACATCCAGGAGTCCACTCTCGGAACGCACCCCATCGCCACCCCAGGACTTGACCTCACCGGGGGCCAGGTGTGTGCGGAAGGTACGGTTGACAAGCGGGAAATGCAGCACGATGGGTGAGCGCGGGTCCTCGGCCTTGGCAAACAGATAGCATTCCCGGGGCTCCTTCAAGTCCTCAGGGCGCACCTCAATCTTGGGGAAGGGGATGCCTCGATCCAGGCAGTACTTCTCCGTCATCTGTAAGACCTGGGTGGGGAGGCAAGCTTCTGAGCCTGCTGCCTCCCTGCTGGACGCACATGGGCCCAGGCTTCACGGCCAGCTCTGCCGTGAACAACTTCAAGCTGACACCTTTCTGAGCCAGTCTCCGCACTTAGAACATGAAAACGAGAAGGACTTTCAGCTGGGGTTGTTGGCAGCTTAATAATAATCACCAGCACCGCGGAGGCCATTCCTCCCTGTGACTTCCCACAGCTTCCTTCTCTGACCCCTTCCGCTCCCTCTAGGGGGAGGCTTTCAGCCTCCCAAAGTTGAGAGAATGATTGCTTGAAGGTCACGCTGGAAGAGGCTTTATCTATCTCCTCAGGTGGAGGAGGCCAGAGTGCTAAGGGCTGACCAAGCAGACCACAGAACCTGCCCACCATCCTCATCCCCTGCACAGGTTTGAGGGAGCTGCTGTGAGAGGCTCCCTGGGGGGACCCTGAAGCTCTGCTGTTACCATAGTCCCCAGGGGTAGCAGGCCCAGGCCCGGACCAGAGCGGGGAGCACGACCAGGAGCAGGCAGGGTCCAGAGCAGGGGTCTTCTCTTGACCAGGAAAGAAGATTCCCAAGGACCCGCTTTGGCTCCTCCCGCTTCCCCACACACACACATAATCCCTGCAATCCTCCTCCCCCACGAGGGGCCTGTGCTGCTGATAGCTCACAAGGCACCCTGCTGGCAGATGTGCACCCAGGCCTTCCATGAAGGGCCTCCCCCTACACCCAGCCAGGCCGCCTCAGCAGAGCCTTTCCAGCCCCCTCTGTCCACTCACCTCAGGGACTCCCACCCTTACCTCAAAAGGGGTATTCAGGGAGTAGTCAAAGGACAGAATGAGGTCCACTTTTCTCTGTGGCCGCAGGCTCAGCGGAAATGGAGAATTGATGGCAAAGCCACCATCCACCAGGCAGAGGCTCTCCAGCATGGGCGTGAGTCGGTTGGGGCAGGCATCCGGGTGTGCTTCTGAACACAGACAACTGCTTGCTCTTGGCAGCAGCCCTCCTCTCTTGGAATTGGGAATACACTCCCCTGGAAAGCTCTCTCCTGCACCCCCTCTATCTGACACCACAGGGTTTCCCAGGCAAGCCCCCACCTGCCTTCCAGCACTGTCCTCCCCCACCAGCCCCAGGGCAGGAGGAATTCACATCCCAGTCCCAGTCCAAAGGAGGCACAGGCGATGGGGTACCCACCCAGAGCAGCACCCACCTTTCCAGGCCACAAACTCCCTGCTAGTCACATAGTCCTTGTGCAGGCAGAGGCCCCGGGTGAAGTTAAAATTCTCCGCATAAGTAAAGCGGGAGGTGAATAGGTCAAGCACAGCCTGGGAGAAGGGGCCCTGAGGGGTGAAGAGCCTGGTTTGCAGCCTGGAGGGGTCGTGCAGTTGGAGCTTCTCGCAGCTGTCTAATGGGGTGGGACAGTGAGCTATCATCAGAAGTGGCACCCCTCTGTTTGGCCCCTCCATCTCCTCCCCCCACATTCCTCCTCCACCAACCTGCCTCCCAGGCCTCTGAACTCAAATCATTTATTCCTAAACTCAAATGATTTATTCTTTTATGTGCCCCATGTTTCAAAAGGTGTTTATGAAATTACATTCATTAAATAATTTATTTCCCATCTTTTGAAAATAAGGTTGTATCCACAATTTCCAATCAGAATTTCATCCATTAGAGCAACTATATGACCCAGATTCCACTCTAGGAATCTACCCAAAGGACACAAAACACTAATTCGAAAGGAAACCTGCACTCCTAAGTTTGTTGTAGCACTGTTCACAATAGCTGAGATATGGAAACAACCTAAATGCCCAAAAGCAGATGACTGGATCAAGAAGATGTGGTCCATATACACCATGGAATATTACTCAGCAATCAAAAAAGATAAACTCATGCCATTCGCAGCAATGTGGATGGAACTAGAAGGAATTATGCTCAGCGAAATAAGCCAGAGGGAAAAAAATATATTATATGGTTTCACTTATAGGAGGGATACAGGGGAACAAAACAAGGGACAAGAAAAATAAGAAAGACAAAATTAGCAGTAAACTATAAATCAGAGACATTCAGCAAGGGAGGTGGAGGGAGAGAGATTAAAATAGGGGAGGGACAAGCACAGGAGACTATGGTGACAGTTCACAGGTGACTTGGTGGTGGGAATTTTATGGGATTACACCTGAGAGGAGAAATAAGACATTGTACAAAGATGAACAATGATGTTATATATATATATATATATATATATATATATACACATACATATACGTGTGTGTATATATATATATAGAGAGAGAGAGAGTGTGTGTGTGTGTGTGTGTGTGTGTGTATAGAGAGAGGGAGACAGACAGAGAGAGAGAGAGGAGGCAAGAGCCATTAAAAAGAATTTCATCCATTAAGCACCTACTGAGTGGTTACGACCCCTGGCGCTGTGCTCCCAGCCTACTTAGGGGAGAGTCTCACAAAGAGACAATGAATCCTAACACACTGAGCAAAAAATGGAGGGTGGGATCTCGGGGTAAGACCATCAGACAGCCTGGAGGGATGGGGCAGGACACAGAATACTGACAAAATGGTGTCAGAACTAAATTTTAAGAGCTGAGCAAAGTTATCCAGGGAAGAAAGGTGGAACTGTATGAAGCAGCAGGGAGCTCATTGGCCATTGAAGGAGCAGATTGAAGGGGAGCCTTGGGGGTGTGCACAGGGAATCAACCTATCACCCAGTAGTCACCTCACAACTCCCATGAGATCTGCTGATGTGGGTGTTCCCCCGGCCCCCGTCTCACACCCCCAGCAGACCTCCGCGCATCTAGAGGCCCTAACTATAAGTTAGACTATCCCTGATAGTGGGACACCCAGGGCTCTCACGCCTCTTGCAGGGTTCTACTGTTAGAAAGAGGTGTGTACACGAGGGGTGGGAGGGGTGTGGTTTCTACCTGTGATGTTTACACTGCCTCTGTACCAGTCTAGGAAACCCAGGCCCGAACCACCCATCTTCAGGAAGATCTCGTCCAGGCTGGCGGCAAAGGCGCTGCCCCACATACCTGCGAAGAAAAGCAAGAAAGCCCTTCCCACTCTGCCATCCCATATCAGGACCTGGCCCCACGCCTGCCCTGTGCCCAGCCCTCCAGCCTAGACTCACCCTGAAGGTAGCAGATCCGGGGCTCAGGCCGACTCTGCAGCAGTCGCCCCATGAAGAACTCTGAACCAAAGAGCTTGGTGGGAATGTAGGCCCCGTACTTGGGGAAGCCCACCTCATGGGGGGTGAACTCACACCACTCTGGGGGTACAGAATGAAGGGAGAGTCATCGGGTGCGTCCCACTAGGATCCCAGGCTTCACCCTGGTCCTTTCTCTTGAGCAAAATTTGGCCTTGTCAGGAGCAAGAGGCAGCAAGACCTCTGTGCTCTGGGCTGCTCGCGTGCCCGCTAGCCGGGCCTCTTACACCCTCCTACCAGCCATCACCTCCACCTGATTCCTAGGTCCCTACACCAGGCACCTGCAAAGTCTTCCCCGCTGATATTGATGTGGACGTTAACGCTGGTGTAGATGGGGTAGGGGTTCTGGCCCTGGCTGACCGCCTCCTGCTGGTCGGACAGCTTGGCAGGGTTTTCCTGGACAGAAAAGAAGGGAAGTCACTTGGCTTCATACAAGTTCCCTTTGCCCAATCCTGTGCTGAGCTTTGGCACCCTGTGGGGCATGGCTTTGGTGGCCAAGGCCAGTGCTTTAGAGACACTGTCTGAGGGACAGACTTCAGGCTGGAGAAGCCAGAAACGGTGCAGGTGATGGTCGCACACCAGGGGGCCAGGGCCCCAGCTGAGAACCTCAGCTCTGAATCTTCTCATCTCCCAGCACATGCTGGGCCTGCAGATCTGGAGCAGCCACCGGTGGGCGTGAGTCATGGCTGCTTGAGTAATGGAGGAGGGGGGTCCCTCCTCAGCACAGGCTGCAACATTTGGGACACTTCCAAAACACACCTGTGCTGGGGTTCACCCCCAGGGTCACCAAAATCAGTGTCTCAGGCCTCAGAGTCTTTGAAAAGCTGTGCTGTTGATTCTAATCCACAGACAGAACTGAGAACTGCAGCCCAACCACTTCTACCCCAGGGGTTAGGAGCAAAGAAAGATGATCGGTGCAGGCCCACTCAGGGATCTCACTCTTGCACCCAGGGAGTGTAGACCTGAGGGGTAGTTTGCAAACCTTAGACCTTAGCCCAGGCCTAAGTCAGGACTAAATGCTGGTAGGGTAGGGGCCTGAAGGAGCCATGTTTATTAAATACCTCCTGGTACAGGAAATACTCAATGAAAAGACCCCAGAGGTCGATGAGGGAAACACTGTGGCCGTTGCTTTTCCGGGCCACCAGTTCCTGGTCGTAGTATTGCAGCCGCTCCTTGGACAGTGCCCCCTTCTTACTGCTGCAGACCCAAGCCTGAGCGCGCTCAATAGGACCCTGCAAGGCTACCTGGGACCAGGCCGGGTCCTTGTAGAGTGTGGAGATGCACCTGCGCATGGAAGGAGAGCCTGTGAGTCAGGAGCAGGGGGGCAGAGCCAGTGGAGGGAGGGATGCAGGAGTCTGAGAAACCTCTCCTCCCTCTCATTGCACCCACTGAACTGTATCACCCACTCAGGGGTCCCAGCATGCCCCCCCCCCAGTCCCTGGAGGCAGGACCCAGCCCCTTCCCATCAGCTCTCCTTGCCATATCCCTGCCCCTTCATATCCATGCCATATCCCTTCATTTACCCTGCCCTGCCTTGCTTACCATGTGGACCCAGAGACCCCGCTCAGGTAGGACACAGCGTCCAGGAAGCCGAGCTCCTGCAATCCTGCCAGGCTGCCGTAGAGGGAAGACATGGCGCGGGTCCCACCTCCTGACCCCAGGACGGCGACCACAGGCACCTGGGCACAAGAATCATCACTCTAACAACCACCACCACCAACACGTGTCAGGCCTTCATCCAAGAGCCTTCCATGTAATCTCTCTGGTGAGAGGCCTCACCACAGACCAGTCCTGATGGTACCTTGATCTTGAAGGCCCAGCCTCTGGGTGAGAAAAACAAATGTCTATTGTTTGAGCCTCCTGTCTGCAGCTGCACTCTGTTCTGGCAACCCAAGCTGACTACCACATGCCCCGCGGCCAGGGCAGTAAGTTCAGCCCTCTTCACACACGGGACCCTGACTCCTAACCGCGTTTACCATCAGCTCAGGGAAACATCTGGCTGCCCCTTCCTCCTCTGCTTCATGCTTCTAACAACGCCTCCTGTACTCTTGGGCTCGCTGTCCTCTCTAGGGAAGGGGCTGGATTTGGCCAGTGGCTCAGGAGCCAGCCGTGCCATTCCATACCTGGCTGCTGTCAGGCGCCTGGCTCAATCCCAGCACATGCTGAAGCGCCTTGGACACAACATGCTTCCTCTTGTCCAGAAACTCCTGTTCCCCATCACTGAGGTCAAAGCCAAGTCGCAGGTCAAGGTTCTTCGAGCTGTCAAAGGTTGGGGAGAGGGACACTGGGGTCAGGGCCTTGGATGAAATCCAGTTTTCACAGGGCTACACTTTGTTGAACCCCTTAGAAGCAGCCACAAGGAACCAGAACCCTACAGGTAAAGACACGCTCCCTTCATGTGGAGCAGAGTAAGCAGGGGGCGCCCTACTTCCAGCTCAGTGCAAGGGTCTTCCTCCTGAAGTCCTGCCTCACCTCATTTCTGCCTTCATGTTCAGAGTCACCTCCTGGCCCTGAAAAAGACAAGAGCCCAGCCCCGAGCACGCTGACCAGGACTGGCCCACTGGCTGTCCCTGCCACTCTGGTAACTCTGACCCAGACGCAGACACCAAGCCTGAGCCTGAGACCAGCCTGATCCTAACTCCCATTCAGGCCCCTCCTCCAGAACATTCTTGGTGGCCACCAAGCAGGCAGGGGCCTCTAGAGCACCCCGACAGAGCCTCACCTTCCCCAGGGTCACGGTGCGCTGCTGCTCCTGGCCCAGGGGCAGAGAGGAAAGCAGAACGCCCCCCTCTCCCAGCTTGTCCGTCTGGGCCTCCAGTTCAGCGCTCGGGCCACTCTGTGGAAAAGAATGCACCCAGGAACCCTTCAGAGTGGAGGGAGACCTCGCTCCAGGGTGGCCCCCTGATGCTCTCCAGGCCGGCCTGACTTACCATCAGGCCATGCCCTGCCCTGGGCTCACTCACCTGGAGGACCTTGAGCTGCTCCCGCAGCTCCACATCTAGCCTGGGGCGGAGCACTGGATTCACGTGGAAACAAAAGGTGGGCAGGAGGCTGGCCTCCTTGGGAGGCTGCAGGGACAAGACCTGTGGCTTCTCGTAGGCCCCAGGCACTGCCAGTCGAATGTGCCTAGAGCCTGGGAGCAGAGGGACCCAGTGAGTGCCCAAGGGTCAATGAGAACAGGGGAGGGAGGGTGTGACTCCACCTCTCCCTTCTCTTCTCCTTGGCAACGCCAGCTCATCACCCTGCCAGCCAGGGAGCAACCCACATGGCACAGCAGACCTGTCCTGTCTCACCTGCTGCTCCCCTCAGCAGTGTGTTTCAGTCCATCTGCCTGTTCTGTCCCCCACTCTGTCTCTGGTGAATCTCTCACCCGCCCCCCCTCACACCTCTGGCTTGTACCCCAGTTTTGAATGCATAAATAAATCTTTTTTAAAAAGAGAAATTTAGACAGATCGATATATACCGGTCATAGCGAGGAATGACAGCACCTGAGGCGGAGAGCAGGTGGGGACCCTGGAGGGCCCCATGCCCAGGCTGGGTCCTGCCCAACCACTTCCTGGCAGTGTGATCTTAAGCAAATGTCTTTAAGCCTCAGCCTCATAAATTAAGAGAGAATAATGATTATATCTACCAACATTTTATGAAGATCAAAACATGTAAAGCGCTTAGCGCAATGCCTGACTCATGGTGACTTCTCGATGTTATCTGGGTGGGGCTCCTCCCAGTGGCTTGGATGCTCAGCGCCCCAATCCAGACCTGCTCCTGAGTGGTGGCCCTGGGGGGCAGGCAGGCTGCATTGGTGGCCCCAGTCCTTCATCCTGGAATTCTTGCTCTGCCGCATCATTTCATCTCCTGCCAGTAAGAGCCTGGCTATCTGCCCAGCCCTCCAACTTTAGGGTGGGCCTAGTGGCTTGTTTTGGCAACAAAATGTTTGTTCCTGTGAGTGGCCACAGGCTTGAACCTTTTCATGCTCCTTTGGACTTGTCCCTTTGTGCCTCCAGCGATGCTTTAAGAACATGCCCTGGCTGGTTTGCTGGTCACAGAAGGTGAATGGGGGCACATGGGGCAGGGCCAGGTCATTCCCAGCAAGCCCTGTCTAGATCGGCCAAGCTTCAGCTAATTGTGAACGAAATAAAGGCTACCATGGAGATTCTGTACCTGGACTCACACAACTTCTATGTGTGAATATGTCCAGGGACAGGAAATTCACTACGTGCAGAGGCAATCTCTTCCATCCTTGGTCAGCTTGGAGCGGTGAAGCATTTAAGAACTTTCTGCCCCAGACCCACCTTCTTGCAGGCGGCGCCCTTCCTACCCCCAGGAGAGAAGGCAAGACCCCAGGCAACCACCCAGACTCACCATACTCTCGATGTGAGGCTGTCCTATCGCCCCCGAGGGTGCCCTGGATTTTCAGACAGGGCTGAGCCTGAGGAGAGCAGAGGTCAGTGGGAGCCTGGAAGGCCACAGGTCCCAGCACAGGGCTCCACCCAGGAGCGAGGGAGAGGGTGAGGGAGGGATGCCTGGGGCAGGTCCAGGTATCAACCTTCCCAGGGCCTGTGCCTTCCAGACAACGTCTTCTGTGGCAGCAACCCCCTCCCAGGACTCAGAGGCAGTGGCCCCTGGTGGAGTGGGGGAGAAGGTGAGGGACCCAACTAATGGTCCTTCAGCAATCGCAGCAGCCAGGGTCCCAAGTGAGTACTGTGCCGACACAGGCTGGAAGGCGGGCTTCAGGCATGTCCACTGAGGCAGACATGAGGCAGTTTTGGGCCCCTCATCCGTGGAGATGCCACCCTGAGGGGTTACGTGTTCTTAAGAGGCAAGTGGGCACAACAGGCTAAATCATAGACTCCTCACTGCCCTCTCAACCCTGAGCTCCCCCAAGTTCCCCTTCCTTACTCACCACCAGGACCCCGTTGGTGATGACGTCACATGCAGGCACTTGACTGCAAAGGATGAGAGGCTCATGGGATATCTGGTCCCCCTGAGGTGGCTATTAGTACAATAATGTGACCCAAGTATCTGGAAATGCCTGAGGAGCATGGCAGGGTTTGGGGCGGGTAATGGTGTCAGCCAAGATGAGAACCTCCCCTCTCAGGAGAGGCTGTTGCAGGGCCTGGTCACTGATAGCTGCCTGGGGATGGTCAGCGTCAAAGTAAATAGGAAGGCATAAGCTCCACCTGGACTCACCTCTTCTCCAGAAGAAACTCCACCTGCAGCTCTTGTGAATCCTACACAGAGGGAGCAGGGAGCACTAGCTTTTAAAGCTCAAAAGCCTTGGTGATCACCCTCAACCCCCCACCCCTGCTCAGCTCCAGGGACTAGAAGAGGAATCTGTTGTGGCTTCTTGAGGGCACAGGAGGGGACGCGGCATCTCTGTGAGGAGCTACAGCCATTCAAAACGCTGTTCTAGATTTAGCAGATTTAGCAGAGACTGAGACAGACAGTGCTGTGCCCTCAAGCAGCCCACATACTGGTTTCACACAGGAAAGTATTGGAGGGAGAGCTTTAGAGGAGCGAATGTCTTGGAGCCCCCTCCTCAGTGCCCCACGCTGGGCCCCCTCTCCTGGGGGGCAGTTCACTATTGGCACAGCTGAGGCGGCTCACCTGCTGGTTGAGCAGAAAGGTGTGTCTGTGGGGTTGACCTGGTTTGAGGCCCCTCAGATCAAACTGCAGCCGAGAGAGCTGGTCGTTGCTCAGAACGTCCTTATCATAGAGGGTGAGCTCCAGAACATTCTGGGAACAGAGCAGGCAGGAGGTGGGAACCTGAGGCAGGATGGGAAGGCAGGCACCCTGGAGGAGCCCTCTCCCTTCAGAGCCCGGGCCCCTGGCTGGCCCTCACCTTCACAGCATCATGAATCCGGTAACAGAAGGTCTCGTTCCACTCGGGGTCACTGCAGTTGGCCACCGTCCTTGTCTTGGTGGGGCTGGGGGACGCCGTGGGCAGCCACAGTTGCACATAGCAATCAGCTTTGGACACTGGGTGGGATGGGGTGGTGTCCTCAGCCTCTAACTCTTATTGCTGAAAAGGCTGGAGGCAACTGGGGTGGCAGGGGAGGAGCAGGGGGGAGCACACTGCCCGCGTGCCAGGGTGGTCTGGGGAGGGTGGTTGTCCTGACTCCATCCTCCCTAGTAGGTAAAACGCCAGCTAGTTGAGAAGACCACATGGCAGTGCAGCCATTGAGTCATGCCCAGAAACTTCCTATTTTCGGTAACAAAGCCCTCCCAGTGCCGCACGGCCATGGAAAGCTCCGTTGACTGCTGGCAACTGCAGGCCTTATGAGTTCACCCAGGCTGGTGCTGCTCCACCTCCTAGACTCAGGAATCCTCAGTGTGCACACCCCTCCCCTGCAGGGGCCTGTCTCTGGACTCCTTCAAGCACATTCTAAATAGACACACACTCACGCCTCAAGCCCACCCCTGCTGGGCTCTGGAAAGGGAAGGGGAGAAACGGTGAAAATGGGGGCCACTCACACAGGTCTGTGTCCTGGATATTTTTGGCCTTCAGCACCTTCACCTGGAGGTCATAGTATGGGTGGGTTTCCCGCTGAAACAACAAACCTCAGGGAACTCAGTTCCCGGAAGCCAGGGGTGTCCTCCCCGCCGTGGCGCCCAGCTCAGGTTTGCCGCATCCCACCACAGAGCAGCCGGCTGGCCCAGGGTCACTCTGGTCAGTGTGTCAGGCACCTCGGAGGCCTCCACAGGGCCCAGGTGTGGGAGCTCAGCATGTTGATGAGCCTGGACCCTGGAATCAGCCTGAGCTCAAATCTAAGCCCCACCATGGACTAGCCGAAAGGCCTTGGGCAAGTTACTTGACTTCCCTGGGCTTCCATTTGGCCCTCTCTAGGATGGGGGTTATGATAATCTCATAGGGCTGTGGTGAGTTTTAAGCGAGAAGTTAATATAAAGTGCGGGGTCTAGGTGCTTAACACATGGAGCACCACAACCTTGCTACATGTGGCTTGAGACCAGTGGAGTAATGTGCTTAAGGAGATTAAATATTAAGAGAAAGCTGTGCTCTGCCCCACCTACCAGCTTCCTGACACAGGCTTCATTGACACACTGCCGATGAGACAGCAGGCAGGTGAGGAGAAACTGAGAAGCAGCCAGCTCGTCCTAGGCTCACGTGTCACTGAGGACACACCAACTTGAACTCAAGTGGTAACAGCAGACTGCAGCCTTCTGGGAGCTAGGCCTTCAAAAAACCCAGCCTCCTTCTCCTTCCCCTTGGTCTCTGCAGCCAGCAGGCTGGCTAGGGTCTTCTGGACAAAACGCAGCCAACAAGAAATGTCACATGAACTCACACTCCATTTCTAACTGGAGAGTTATTTTCAAGAGCCAAGGTCTTGTTAAAAAGAAAATGACAGAGCCTCCCCAGTGGCGCAGCAGTTGAGCGCTGGGTTGCGAAGCTGCCTGCAGCCTCTGCAACGCCGGTTCGATCCCCAGCTGCTCCCCGGCCACCGAAGGAGGGTCCCGCATGGAGCGCAGACCTCTCCTGCCGCCCGCTGCTCCCCTCAGCAGTGTCCTTCGGTCCTTCTGCCTGCTCTGCTCCCTGCTCTGGCTCTGGTGAATTCTCTCACCCTCCCGCGCTTCTGACTGTACCCAGTGCTTGTATAAATAAAAAAAAATTAAATCTTTTAAAAAAAAAGAAAAGAATATGGCAGGTGCAGAATGGCAGTGCTCGTGCTAAGCCCACTAAGAGTCTAACTGTGGTTTCAAGTTCCCTTCAGTTTCAACCTCCCCCAGAAATGTCGTCCTAATTGGTCAGTACGGAGTTGTTCGGTTAGCGCCAATCATTCCCCAACGGAAAACAAGGTAACTGGCCATAAAACCTTTCTCCACTCGCCACAGGTATGTACTAAAGCCTGAAATGACTTCCTCTTCCCTTATCTTGCTCTTTCTACCTATAAAACCTTTTCATTTTGTAGTTTTGCATAGCACCTTTCTGCTTGCGAGATTGAATGGTGTTTGATTGACAAATGGCTTAATAAAGCCAATTAGATCTTGAAAATGAACTCGCTTGGATTTTAGCTCTGGAACTCAAATTCAACCTTCACCAGTTTGTCTGCAGCAAATTAGTTCCCCCTAAATCCAAGCCCAATCTGGGGGCTGGTCTCAGTCTTCACAGGAGGCTGTGCCCCCACAACTCCTCCAGACCCCAAGTTCCCAGGGAAGATCAGGTACTTTACCCGCCATTGCCCGCACTCAGGTCTCTTCTCTCTCTTCCGCAGCAGCACTGCCCCCAGGAGGGGCAGCCCCTTGCCAGCCAGCCACCTCGGCCAGAGCACCCAGAGCATGACCCAGCAGCCAAGTTCCCAGCAGAAAACCCTGCCTGCTTCCCAGAGCCACTCTGTTCTCCTCTGTCTACACTGGCTGCTAGCTCAGGTCCGACAGGTATCGCTGGAGTGCAGAGGGTGGGGCTGGCAGCTCTGTGGACTCAGGGCCAGGTGGCCCGAAGCTGGAGGTGGGGTTTGACTTGCTCCAGGAAGCAACTGCAACCCAATTTTCACAGGCAGGAGACACTTCAGTCCACAGCCGAGAGGATAAGAAACTGGTACTCACATTCCTGAACCCAGCCCCCTGGTGATCACTGGGCCGCTTGCAAAAAAGACACCTGAGGGGCCTCCCTGGTGGCGCAAGGGGTTAAGCACTGCACTACGAACTCATCTGCAGCCTCTGCAGCATGAGTTCAATCCCCGGCCGGCGAGGGAGCTACCCACATGGCGCAGCAGACCTCTCCTGTCCCACCCGCTGCTCCCCTCAGCAGTGTATTTCAGTCAGTCTGCCTGTTCTGTACCCCACTCTGGTGAATCCTCTCACCACCTGCATCTCTGGCCTGTACCCCAGCTCTTGTATGCATAAATAAATAAATCTTAAAAAAAAAAAAAAAAAGACACCTGAGCTGCACTCACCATTGGTTTGATTAGTGGGTGTAGATAGAACACACATGTTTGTTATTCCAACAAGCCTTGCAGTGCTGACGCAGCTGACCTGGGGGACAGCTGCCAGGAAGTGCTGTATCAGGAGCCAGTCTCCTCCAGCTCTCAGAAAGACCTAAAACCAACTGACTTTCACGGTCCACCTTCTCCAGAGCTCTCAAACAGAAGCATGGAACTCTCCAGGTCAGCGTTTCACCTGGACTCAAAGATGTTTCCAATCCCTCATTTGTTCTTGTAGGGTCAGGAATGGACACAGTGCAGGTTTTCTAATCCAGCAGACCAGGTGAAGGAGTCAGAGTCCTTAGTAGCTTTTTGCAGGTCTTTTTATTTAGATTACCAGGTACAAGGCAGGCAGGGGGGCTGGGGGCTGCCAGCCTCCCAGCCCCCAGCAGGTCTTCACTCTGGGCTCTCCGGCCTTCTCTCAGCTTCTGCTTCTCTTGCTTCTCTCTCGGCTTCTCTTTTGGCTTCTACTGGCGTCCCATGACGCCACCCTTAAAAAGCACAGTCTTAGCCCAGGTGAATCCCATCTACCTATGCCCACACCCTACTCCAGGTGCCCGCCATCAGGCATGCATTCAGGACCGCAAGGACCCATCATCTATCCTGATGGCGGGAGGGCAGAAAAGCCTGACATTTTTCCTTACCCTACAGTTCTCCAAACAGTGTCTTCCCTGTGCCAGTTTCTAGAACTAAAGGTAAAGATGGCCTATCCATATTCTGAGGAAATTCACAGCCTCATGTGGCTTCTGCACACACCCTCTACCTGGGCCACTGGAAATCTCTCAGTGGCCCAAGCACAGAGATAGGGGTGCGCGCAGGTACAATTGAGAAGTGCAGGTAAAAAGCAGGGCCTGTCCTTAAGCTACTAGAGATCAAGGCTTCAGGGACTCCTCGCTTGACCATCACAAACCCTAGACTGCAGAGATATGGGATGTCTCCTTTTCTGTGGACACACCATCTGTGCGGCTGAGACAGCCAGTCTCCACTAGAAAAAAGGATCTCTGAGGTGGTGAGCTATTGGGAGATACATCTCTTTTCCTCAAACAGACCCAGTCAACTCTCCGCTCCTCCCCAAGGGCTGAGTTGGAGATGGAAAAACAACTTCCCCATGGTGGAGGAGCAGGGGTGCTTGTGTGCAGTGATGGTAGAAAAACTATGGTGACCGCACCTTAGGGAGAAAGCCTGTACTATAAAAAAATAAACAAGGGTATTAAAAAAGAAAAGAAACGTCCCCTAAAGAGGTGATTCAACTTTCAAATAAAGACTGTGGGCAAGTTCAGACCAGACATTCCCAGAACAAGGGGAAGGTGTGTTTCTGCTGAATTTGGAGTGTAAAGCCAAGCCCTGTGCTGAGGTCTCAGAAATGCCAGAGTCCAACTCCCTGGGTGATCTGTATTCAAGACCCTGCTAGAGGCCCCAGGATCCACACCAGAGAGCCTGAAGGAGGGGTACAGGACTAGTTGGGAGCAGGAGGCAGGCCTGTAGCTCAGTGTTCCCGGCTGACTCGCGTGCTCTCTAGGCTGTACCACATCCTTCCCTGAAGGTCACGTCTCAATGAAGTTCCAGATGTTTCTCATCCTCAGAAAAAACTCAGGATGGCCAAAGACAGCTCAAGAGAGGAACACAGGGACCTAACTGCCTTTTTTGGAGCTGGCAACGTGGACCAACACCTCCGCTTCTCAAACATCTTTGGGCCCCTCAATCCCAACAATTCCATACCTTTCAAATGACTCTCTCCCCAACCTTCCTCCACCTCCCCCCGCCCCACCCCGCCCAGTCATTATGAACTGCAGGAAAAGGCATGAGGGCCTAATATGTGAAGTGAAGGGGAAACTATATGCATTAGCTAGAGCAGCAATGTGTGCCACAGAGCTCGTGACGCTGGGCATGTTCAACAACTGTGCTGCCCTCCACATTGTGCCCAGGAGGTGCCCAGTCTACTTACACCAGCCACCAGCCGTGTTGGGCAGCACAGGTCAAAATATACGGACCACAGCGTCATGCTGCTTTTCTTGGTATCTAATCCGTTTATCCAAATTCTTATTTAAATTACTGTTCTCTCACTATTTCATCAAAGTCTACAAGAAAGGGGAAAAAAAAGAGACTCAAATTGACTTGGATTCTTACTTTGTGATGTTTATTAGAGAAATCTCCATTCATCCTCGATACAGCTTTTCATCTCCCGCCTTCGCCACACCGCTGCGGAGGGCAAAGAGCATCTAGGGAAGGAGTGCTGGAAAACCGGGTTATGCATGTATTCCAGTTTCACATCATGTCGTTATGCATTCCAGATATGCATTCCAGAAAGCACACATTCTTTATTCTATTGCTTCAAACCTATGTGCTGCACAGGGAGCAGGAGTGGAACACACAAACACAGTACGCCGGGAAGGCAGGGCTTGTGTGTGGGGACAGGTTCTGCTGCACAGCTGAGGGTCGGCCTGAGGAGTCTACTGCTGTCCGAGGAAGCTCGGTCCCAGCCTGTGCTAACAGGGCCAAGCATAGCACTGCTTCTTGGGGGCAGCTGTGGCCGGTAAGGCTCTGGTGAAGTGCTGGTTGGCCTCCCAAACCTGAGCAGAGCACCCCCTCTGTGTGAAGGATGCTGATGGCACTTAGTCTATCCCTTTAGACGCCCCTCATGTGCCCAAGAGGGGCCCAGTCTACTTACACCAGCAAGTCACTCTATAAGACAGGCCCCCACATAGCACAGTCTGCAATTTAAAGAGGTCCACGGCATGTCAAGGACAGGCCACTAAAACAGCGTCACACCCTGTCAGTCACCCAAACTCACTACTGTTACAGACACCAGGGCAACAAGGTTGTGAGTCTGCAAAACCCCAGGGAGGACAGTGTGCAGGGCTGCTCTGCCTGTGTGCTCTCAGTCTGTATAGAAGATACTCTCCCAATGCCTCTTGGGGATCCTGTGGGAAGCAGGGTGCATGTGTATGTGTGTCCCTGCGCACACGTGCACACACATACACACACACTCTGAACACATCTGGCAGTGGGTTATTTCATTCACCCATGGGCCACAGTTTCTCCTGTCTCCGACCTGCCCCCAAGCAGCTCGCAAGCACGCCTGATATGTCCTTGTCAGCTTCTGATTTGTAGCAGAGATCTGCCTCCCTACAATATCCCATCACAAATCCCCCAGCCTCCACCAAACAAAGCTGGACAGTGACAGCCAGGCCACGCTGTAAGTTAGCGCCAAGTACTGGCTGGAGGAGAAAGGCACTCAGAGCGCCGAACACTCCACTTACAGACTAACCCAAGTTGCCACGGGCAGCTGGAGGGCGAAGCAGGAGTAGGATGTCTGCCTATGAGGTCAGATGCCCAGTTTGGTGCGTCTGTCCTTACAGCTCCCCTCACACTCAGCCCCGGGGGAGACCAAGAGTGCCACTCTCCTGGGCTTCTAGGGGTAGCGCGCACGGACCAAGGAGGACCTATTTACAACATACCAGATAATCAATTATCACTGCAGTCGTAGAAACTGAGACTTCCTCTTGCTTCTCATTTTACCTTGTTATACATTAATTATTCCCCATGTCAGGGAAGTGGGAGAGAAAGCCTGGGTAGAGCAGTAAAGAGAGAAAGAAAATAAATAGTAAGAAAAGAAAAAAAAGACTAAAGAACAGATCAGTGGGAAGACCACTGCGGAGACACAGGGCCCAGCTGCTGTGGAGAAATCACTGTGGTCACCAAGAGGACAAGCTGTTTGGCCTTTACAACTAGTGGAGCTCGAGGGAGGCGCTATTCACAGAACTCCAGTCAGCTCTGAGGAGGACTCCCTGTGAAATCCCTCGTGGATCCTGATAGAAAACTCTCGATAAACAACCCTGGGGTTACATATAGTTGAGAGTTTCCTTATTCCGGTACGCAAAGGCAAGATGGTGGCTTTCCCCACCTCCTCCTGTCCAAGCAGGTATTAAATTCTCTGGAATTGCCTGCAGCATAATGGCATATAAAGTATAACTAATCTCTTTTTCTATGAAAAAGCTGACGATGCCAGACCACGAGTCTGTGAATTCAGAGATACTCCAGGGCACAAGGGAGCCAGTAGTGTTCATGTGGGGAGACACCTGGTAGTGGCAGCAGCTCCCAATTCCTAAGGCGGGGTGCTTCATCCCTTCTCTGGGATCACCAAGCTGTCCATCTGCTGAATCCTTGGCATGCTGGCTCAGGTATCAGCCGGGTTTACCTCTTTGGAACAGAAGTAGTGCACGACCACTCCGTTGGGGTATCTTGCAAATGCACTGTAGGGAGGAAAGTGACTTGGGACGACTGTCGCCTCTGAAAGACCACTTCTCCAGTACCTGGAAAAGGCACTTACCTTGGAGCCATGCCAGAAGCAGCCCACGCTAACCCCAAGAACAGCCTGCTCCCAGCGTCTCTGGATTTATGTAGCCATCATCTCTGCCACATTACCCACAGAGGATGAACTCCACACAGTTTGAGAGCATGGGGATATTTATTATGGCATCCAGGTGAAACACATGGACAGATGGGGCAGGACATGGCCTGGCTCAGCACTGGCTTACTGACAGCTGACAATGCTCATCAGAATGTTTCAAGTTCATTCTAATGAAGGACATTGAATTAGATCTTTCCAAAGATAAGGATCCCTCTAGGCACACAAGAAAAAGGACAAGTCACTTGTCTTTAAAGGCAAAGGGAGGGCCTCCCTGGTGGAACAGGGTTTAAAGACAGTGCTATCAACCTATCGCCAGCCACTGCAGCACAAGTTCAATTCCCAGCTGGCCAGGAAGCTACCCACACAGGGCAGCAAACCTCTCCTACCTCGCCCACTGCTCCCCTCAGCAGTGTATTGCAGTAGATCTGCCTGTTCTGCTCCCCACTCTCTCTAGTGAATCCTCTCACCCCCTGCACCTCTGGTTTACACCCTAGTTCTTGTATGCATAAATAAATCCTTAAAAAAATAAAGGCAAAGGGACTGACTAGAAAATACGCCTAAATAGTACAATGCTGGCTCAGAATTTCATTCAAGTCATGAGGCCATTGATTGAAAGGTCTTTTTCTTCCTTCAGAAGCTTATCCTAAAAAGATAAGGACTTGGTCGCCGCCGTATACAATTCTTACAAACCCACTATCTACATCACAAATTTTACCTTCCACGGGGAAGGGCTTTATGGGAAAGAAGTCAACAGTCCTATGCCATATATTTCAGGTCTTTAAATTCTCGAAGCCACCCCTAGTAGATAGCATGGAATGCCCTCTGAGGGTCAAGAACTAAGAATGGCCAGTCAATAGGTTGCTTTCCTCTTTGGCTGAGGGGGAAGAATTCACCTTGAGTGAGACCCACATCAGAGCTGATGCTGCACAGCTACCGAGGAGGCTCACCTGTTTCCAATCTTCTTCTTGCACACCATGCACACCTTCTCCTCCGTGATGATGCACTTCACCTGCTGGTGTAAAATCCGTTCTTCCTGGACCTGGAAGAGCAGTGAGATTGGAGAAGTCCTATGGTTGGTAGAAGCAGAAGGCAGAGGCAGCACAGGCTCAGATTCCAGATTCCTCTAATTGAAACACTTGTAACTAAATGTCAAATTGGTGACCAGACCAGCTTGACCTAGAGTTAAAAGAATACAAGGCTCTGCCTTTGTCTAAAGGGACTATGTGGTAATGGCCTCAGACTAAGAAATGCTATCCCCCCACCGTGCGCCCACCCTCACCCCGAGTCTGGAAGGCTCATACCCGCAGGAACTCCGCATGGAGAAGGTTCTTGAGTATTTGATTGAACCGTTTCTTTTGTGCATTTTCTTCCAAAACCTTCTCCAGAAAGATGCGTATTTCATTAATCTGAGTGTTTGCTGGCAGAAGGTTGATGGCCTAAGGACAAGAACAGAGATGGACCAGCATGAGGGGGGACAAGAATGAGGAAACGACCGAAGCCAGAGTTCTCAGATCCTGGTCTCTTTCTCAGTCCCCTCTTTTCCTTTGATGCTCCCCCCAGGGCTCTCTATCTCCCAGAGAGCTCCTGACCTTGGTCGTGTCCAGTTTGCTGTGGTGCAGCTCGAGGACCTGCAGGGCGGCCTGGAGGTTGGCTTGTGGCTCCAGCAGTTCTAGCTTGATTGGCCCCAGGCAGTGAACGCTGGGGGGCGACAGGTACATCCGCAGCAGGGACAGATATACCTGTCTCACACAAGTATAAGCCACACGCATCAGGCTGGCAAAAGCCCTCCCAGGACCCCCCAGCAAGACATGCCTGAAGACAAGAGGTGCTCTTATAATTACTACTGTCGTGGAGCATTTAAAACTCCTCTTTTTTTCACCTTTTTGAAAAAATTAAGGCGTTTCCCTTGAGAGAAAAAAACCAAATGTGTCTACAGCCACACCACCCTGAATGTGCCTGATCTCAGAAGCTAAGCAGGGTAAGGCCTGGTTAGTATTTGGATAGGAGAAAACAAATAAATGTGTGGTATTTGCTTAGCATTATACTGCTGACAAAATGCCAACACTGTAAAATGACTCAAAAGATCACTTATTTCCTTTGGCTTTAGAGGCTGTGACCCTGTCACGTTCTGGCAGATGAGGATTAACCCAAGAGATGGCTCATTTCCTACTAGTAGTAGAATCACAAGATTTCTCACCTGAGCACTCAGCATTTTGGGTTGGGTAACTAACTCTTTGCTGGAGCTGTCCTGTGCCCTGTTTAACAGCAACTCAGCCCCTACCTTCTAAATTCCAGCAGTACCCCCACCCTCAGTGATGACAAAAATGTCCACACACATTGACCTATCCATGTGGACTCTAGACAGAGCACATAGGTGCACCTCATCAGAACCATCAGGTGTTCCTCCTCAACAGGCCGACCACAAAATTTATCATACAAGGGAGGACTCTTTTGAGAGTATAGGGCTAGGGGCACCACTACTAACCACAAGGACGGTAAGAGATATAAGCCAGAAGTGTCCCAAGCAAACCCGGATGCACAGTCCCCATCCCTTAAGACGCACATGCAAACTCCATCAGGGCACGGGTCCATGCCTGTGTCTCATCTTAGCCCCCACACCAGAGCCACCTGTGGCCACATCATGCCAGAGAGAGCTAGGAACGCAAGAGGGACAATAAAACGCCCCTGTGCTCCCTGGGGCCATGTCACTACTTACATCTTTGTTGCCATCTTTGTTTTGGTCGTAATGCTTGTGGCAATACCTGCAAGGGAGAACGGGGGTGAGATACGGCCAGAGCAGCCTCGCTGAGAGAGGTCAGTGGTGCTGCCTATTTGAGCAGCCTAACGAGAAACAAAATCAGGGCTCAGCGAGGTGAGTCGTGTGCCTGGGGGAGAGAGGAAGAGGTGGATTTCTCAGCCTCATCTCTGCAGCCTGCTTTTAAACCCCTCAAGATGGGACCATAGGGCCAACGTACTCCTCAGCCATCCTTGTATCCTTCAGGATGTGGACATAGATGAAGAGCGCTTGCTCATGCTTCCCCATGCGTCCCAGCAGGAGGGCACGTTCTTCTAAGAGGCCTGTGAGGAAAAGGAATAAAGTAACCACCTTTGCCATGATCTGAGCACAAGGCTCAGGGCTCAGCCATGAGGAATGGTTATTGGGCAATATAAGTGGGAGAAAGGGGTCTCCCTGGTGGTGCAGGGGTTAAAGACAGTGCTATCAAGCTATCACCAGCCACTGTAGCACAAGATCAATCCCTGGCCCTCCAGGGAGCTACCCACATGGCGCAGCAGATCTCTCCTGTCTCACCTGCTGCTCCCCTCAGCAGTTTATTTCAGTAGATCTGCCTGTTCTGTTCCCCCTCTCTCTGGTGAATCCTCACCCCCAGCACCTCTGGCCTGTACCCCAGTTCTGGTATGCATAAATAAATAAATCTTAAAAAAAATAAATGGGAAAAAGTATTTTTATTACTTGGGATTTTTTCAAGCTATTTTAGCAGTTGCTTTACATTGTAAATAGGGTAAGAACACATTCAACAACCAAATGCATATTAAGTACCTAAAGTATGCCAGGCACTTCAGCTCAGGTAAACACCTGGTCTCTGTCTTCACAGAGTTGATACACCAGACAGATGTGTGTCCTTTCCAGATAAATTATGCCAGATTATAAAAATTGCTACACAATGAACTTGGCTAAGAACGTGTACTGACGCAACAAACCAGTTTCAACCTGGTTATCAATTAGCATGTGGTTCACACTCAAGAAAGACCCCTTTCAATCACAATAAAAAAGTGAGTCTTCAGAGAGGACAAAACAGGAGCTGGACCTACAATGTGGTTTCCCCAAACCCAGCTTTTTGAAGGGTTGGGGAGATAGTAAGAAGGGAAAAGCCGGTTTTTGTATTTCCCTCAGCTGAAATGACTCTGGCCCTCGGTTAGACACTCACCATCAAAAGGGAAGTCACAGATGAGCCGTCCTGGATCATAGTAGCTGGAAATTTCCAAGAACATGAGGAGTTTCCGTCGGTATTCTCCCAGCTCACCCTCTTCGTCTCCAGCAGGGACTGGAGTTTTCCCTTTGAGGAAACCCAAACTCAATGTGAAAAAATGCTGCTAGTAGCAACATGGGATCACAAGGAAAGTGAGGGGGATGGCTTCAATAATGTCACCCCAAAGCTCAGAAAGGGTTTCCCAGGTAGTGTCCATTTGGACACCTCTTATCTTATGGTCTCTACATGGCCCCCAAACATCAGCTTGAAGTAAAAACACACACACAAACAGAAACAAGCTGCTTAGAGAAAAACTCTGGCCTGGTCTACAAATCTGTTTCTTATCAGCACAGCTGTCCTCTTGCAGATCATCTGTTCCTTCCCCATGCCCCAGCCGATGCCCAGAGTAGTTCAAATCCAGACAAGAGCTCCTGAGTTCCAAAGCTAGGCCCCTTTGTTGTCCTTGCTCCTGAGAAACTTCCTGCCCACGTGGGCCCTCACAGAAGCTTGAGCCCTACTTCCCAAAGTCACAGGAGGCATCTTACTTTCAGGCCACCCTACTTTCTAAGAGGAGCAGTACCTGCAGGAAAGGACAGGAGATACTCCTTCATGAGACCTTGCACCTTCTCACAGTACAGCTGGATCAGGCAGTTGTGGAACGAAGAGCCCGTCTCCTCCCAAACGTGGATGACGTGTTCCTGAGGGAGACGTAGGTCTGCCTGGTACCCTCCACACCAAGACCCAGCTTGATCCCCCAGTCTCTCTCGCATTTTAAAGGCCCAACAGGTCCCATCCAAATTGTCCCCTAATTAAGCTGCAAAGATTACAGGGATAGCTCTTCTAAAACCATCAGGAAATTTCTGCAATACAACCCACAATGTAAGGAATTTTCTTGATTTCCAGTCTAAGCTCCTTCATTAATTTTGTCCTATAACCCCCCAAAACAGTCCATGTAATGAAGATTAAATGTTTCTCTTTGGGTACTGAAAACTCATTTGGTTGTCCTGGGGTCACACTTGAGACGGCTGTACAAATGTGGCTTTGACATTTTTTTCTTAAACATCCATTTCTTTCAGTCCTTTATGCTAGTAGGTTTAGAAGGCATCATCCAAAAGGGCCACTTCCAGCTTGGTCCACTGGGCTCTTTCTGCTGAGGAAGTTGAAATAACCCCTTTCCTTATATTTCTACTGCTCCCCAAGTGACACAAACCCCAATAATTGACCCATGTGGTCCTGCAGTCTGGGTTTAAGTCTTTTTAGTTCAAACCAAACTAGATCTTACCAGATAAGGAACAGCCAGACCCTTAAAATTCTCTACTAAGAAGCCGAGCACTCGGTCTCGTGGGAGGGCCTCCACCTCTGGGAGATCTTCAGTAAATATCTGTTGGAACAAACCCCAGATCTAGCAGCAGAACTGTCTCACTGCAGTGCTGCCCACATATGGACAGCAGGCAAGTGCAGGGCTCAGAGGAGCAGGCTTGGCAGGGGGTGGGGCATGAGAAGGCACCAGCAGCCTGTGTGTAACGTGTTAGGTCACATACCACATCTACTCTGATACAGCAGAGAAACCGCACAAATCCTCCCACCCTCTCCATCCACTGCTGTTTTAAGTAGAATCAGGCAAAGCAAAGGGCCACATAAATTCAAAGGCCCCTTGTGACCTACCCTCAGGCCATCCTCCGGGAAGTCTCTCAAGACCCACACTGAGTAGGAAAAAATCAGGTGCAGATTTTCTGTGCCTAGAGGGAAAAGTAGGACTTCTTAGCAGGCGAAGCCCATCCTGCCTACACAACCGAGAAGGCAGGTTGCCTCAGAGTTTATTTTATGGAGACACTAGCTCCGTCCAAGCACCAGTTACTCAGGGCTACATACCAATGGACTGTCGTGGATCCACCACTGGGGACTCTGACCCCAGCTGGAGGAACAAAGTTGAGTAAATGCAGGGATGGATGGAACAGGCCAGCCAGAATGCAAAGGGAAGATAATCAGGTCCATCTGTACATAACCCCTTTTCTGCTTCCTTTTCAAACACTAGACTTACCCAGATGTTGCAGGTACTGCACTGTCCTCTCATGGCCTTTCAGAGGGGAGTTCGCTTTCTTGGACTGGTCCACCAGCACCTGCAGAGCTGGCCACGAAGCCCAAGAACAAGGTCATGAGCCTCTTCCAGAAGGTGCATCCCCATGGGAAAGGTCTCACACCTTGGTAGGTTGTCCTAGCCAATGTACAAGAGACCCTCCCAGGTCAAAGGAAGCCCCTCCTCTGGTCACCTTTCTCATGGAGCCCCTTCTTCTCATACAGGATGATCAGTTCACTGTACTTATGAGCCTTCTTCAGCACATGCTCACTTTCTTCGATGTGGCAGTGATTATTCTCCAGGCGCAGCAAGGGGGCCACCAGAGCCACATTGGTCTGCAGAGGAAGCAGGACTTCAGCGGAAACTGCTTCGTGGAAGACTTCACCCTTCCCCAGCCCAGGCCTGCCTCAGGCCGAAAGGCCAGAGGGGCAACACAAGCAAGAGAACAGACAATTCATCTTCAAGGTGACAGAGAGTGGCCTGACAACATCAACGCTATTTTACCCAACAAAAAAAAAAACATGTTTTTTAAAAAACATGTTACCCAACTAAAAAAACATGTTTCAGTAGTTTTGGGGGGTGGGGAGAAGAAGAGGATATTTTCTCTGAGGAAATATTGTCCCTGTTTATGTTATAATACAAACCCCAATCTTACCAGACAAGACCAGCCCTCTTTAAAATTCTGGGTCAGTCTCTTGCCTTATTCTCTTAATGTCAAGAATCTCATAGGCATCAGTCAAAGATAGGTGGTTCCCATCATGAAGATTTCACTCTTACTGGTGGCAGGTGCCCCAAAGGAGAATATTTTCTGTTTTAGGGGGCCGGGGAGCTGTTCGTACTCAGGTGTTCAGATAACTCACATGGAGGTAGCACTTGAGCAGGGTCGTGTCAATGATTTGCAACAACTTCTTCTTGGATTTGATAGTAGGAGTGCCTTCCATGAGCGGGGAGGTGCTGGACTGGTGATCGGAGTCATTCAGCTTCTTTACCAACTGGCTTCGTTTCTGCAAAGGCCAAAAAGAGTGAGGTCAAGACCAGAGCTAAATCTTCTCTCTATCCGGTATCTGAGCTACCAGTTAATTCCAAATACCTCCAAGCAGCTCACACCAATCCATCCTGATCTCATATTAGCAAACCATTTTTATCATGGATCAAAACAGGGGCGTGCCAAGTTGCCACAGCTACAGTAACAAGAATTTACTGAGAATTTACTACACACCAGTGACTACGCCAAACTCTTTATAGATCAACCTTCCTCCGAACCTAAACCAAATTCAGGTATTACTACTCCCATGTCGCAAGGCAGAGAGATTAGATACCTATCTAAGAGCAGAAACAGGCTTCAAATTAGGGTCTGATTCTAAAGCCCATGTTCTACCTTCTTTGAAAAAACATCAACTAGTGGTATAGGTCACATACAATACAATGTACCTTTTCAAAGGATACTATTAGATACATTTTCACAGATGTATTGGGTTGTCAGAAAAGTCATGATCCATTTTTGTATGAAAAACATAGAAAAAAAAGTCATAACTTATCCAACAACCCAATATATATGGAGGTAACCATCATCTCCATCAAGGAACAGAACATTAGTTTTACCTATTCTAGAACTTCACGTAAAGGAATCATCCTCTCTGGCACAGTACCAGTATTAGTCAACTTCACACACTGCAGATATCAGTGGAGCAGGCCAGGGAAGGGAAGAATGTGCTGGCTTCCTAAAGCTAAGATACTGGCACTAAAGGGCCTTCTGTAATGCCACCGGCTCAGGAGACATTCTATGCCAGGAACCTTCTCATTTTTTAACATGGTTCATGGGGTGCACAGGCTGAAGCAAGTGTGTGTGTGTGTGCCCCTCACAGGCTGCCTGCCGCAGCCGGGCACCCCTGGAACCCAGAGTCAAGGAAGTGCAGAGGTGGCACATGCCTGATCAGACCTGAATTCAAGAGCCGCACTGACCCAGGGCAGGTGCAGGAAGCCGGCTTGGAAATGGCCCAGCAATAGTGCCCACTCAGAGACTCTCACAAAGGTCTGCAAGACAATGAGGGGGAAAATGTGCCAAGTTTTCTGACTCTGAGGGGGTGCACTCAGGATAAGTAAGAGCCTTCTGTGATGGATATTTGAGGTTAAAGGGCTTCATTAGAGATGTTTTAGTGTTGATTTAAAAATTTCACTTATCTGTCTATAACAGTAAATTGAAAAAATTTACATCTTTATACTCTCCTTAAGAAAACATGTGCTGGAAGAATATTTGCTGACAGGGAAGGACTTTCCCAATATATGGCTTTTAAAAAATGTGATAAAGTGACATATAATTTATCTTTTTTTAATAAGATAAAACATAAAACTAATTCACAAATACATATAAAAATCTGGAAAGGCAACATTAAATGTTAACTAATTTTCTCTGGGTGATAAGAGTTATAGTTGATGTGTATCTTTGCTTTATACTTTTTGATATTTTCCCAGTTTTCCACATAGAGCACTACTTTTTTCCAGTGTTATGTACACTACAACAAAATTTGTTATAAAAAACTTTATCTAGTGTTCTAACAACTAAAATTCACTCTTTTTCATTCCTGTACAGCTTTGTGTGAATTTATCATGACTTGTGTTCCCTGGCATCAGGATTTGGCAAAAACTAGCTCAATGGTACTGTTAAGCATGGAGAAGCAGCAAAATGAAACTTTGCCACCCCACAGATCTATGTATGGCAGGCCCTTCATTCCCTGCCAAAGAGAGGAAGGTACTGGAATTCCCATTTACCTTCCACATACCGCTGTACCAGACCTACCTGTGTCAGGTAGTCAATCAGAGCTAAGTGAGCCTTCTCCAGCTCAGCCCCTGAGAGCACAGGCAGTGGGTTTGGATACTGCAGCTGCTTCCTGTAGTCTGCGGGCAGCAGGTCTGGGTACAGGCCCATCACGTGGGTAGGATCTACATGGAAGGTAAAGATGATTCCTCAGAAGGGGCCCAGCAATTTAAGGACAAAATAAGTAAATGCCAGGCTGGTTTTCTAAAAAAGGAATGACTCTAATTTGACACTGACACAATGAGCTATATACATATATTTGAGCACTATTAATATGTATATTTCACTAAAATGTTACAAGAAGGGCATGGCTATATTGTGAGACACACATAAACAGGATTAGAAAAATTTACTTTAAAAGTAGCGGAGAAAATATTTCCCAAGAAAAAATTGATAAGACACTGAAGTTGGAAAGGTCAATAGAAAATAATAAAAAAATCCTATGTTAAAAAAGGAACATCACTAAAACAAAAAGACCAGACAATATGCTCACTAGGGAATATGTGTGCAGCATACATGGCAAGAGGTGGATATATCGATTATGGAAAACAAATTCACACCAAGTGGTAAAAAAAAAAAAGGGCTTGAATTTACCTTGAAATTACCAGCCTAAAAAGAAGAGCTGTATATCTTCCTAAGTGGTCTCAGTAACCTCTCTCAGCCACTTTCAATTAATCCTGCACTTCTCTAATTTTTATACTGCAGCAGAGGTTCTCTCTCTAAGATGCAGGTCTGATGATGATAATAATAATAATAATAATAATAATAATCAAGGTGCCTTGATTTTTCCCCCTATATTGTATTCTGAACACAGAAATATTACAAGATTTTAGAGTGAACATCCCAAATCCAGCTTCCTAAGAACTTAAATTGACACAGGAACCACAGTTCATTATCGGCAAGGTTGAGGGGAGATGGAAAAAAGGAAGAGTAATGAAGAGAATTGATATTATATGTACTTAAACCAAGTATATGTAGATTGGTCTAAACTGAGTAAAAATGGAATATTCAGAAACAAAAAGTTTAATTGCAATAATAGCAAAGACCTAACTAGCATTTAGCAATTACCACACACTAATCTTCACAGTAACAGTATGAGAAAGGTGTTATTTGCACTATGTTGTAGAGAACAGAGCTCAGAGAGTTGCAGAAACCTTGCCTACTGTCAGGTAATGTGAACCCAGAGTACTTCTCACCGGGAAACTCTGATGGCTGGAATTTTTAGGACATTGAGAAAAGCAAGACCTTGCCAGAATGCCCTGTAATGGCTCTCAAAAATGACCTACTGTCTAATGCAATTAAATTCAGGTCAGAGACTTTTGTCAGAATAAAACTTTGTTGAATTGAAATGAGCTTTCTGCCACTTTTTTCTAATGGGTAAATCATCCTAGAAAATTACAAGTCTGTTTCTGTGGGTGAGAACAGATTCTTAAGATTAGGACTGTAAACATGTAACTACCATGGCCATCCACAGGATTCTGGAAGGTATGACAACTGAGATGAGCAAAAACCTTCCCTGTACCATTTCTCCCTGTCCTTTCCAGTGTCCCCTCCCTCCACCTTATTCCAAGGTCACATTTGCTTATTAATTACCTGTGCCCAGTTTAGCAAAGACCTGCATGGACTCATCAAAACGCTTCTGGCAAAAGAGATTGAAGGCATACAAGTTCTTGATGTGATGGATCTGTTGCTGCTTTTCACTGTCGGAATCATCTTTCATTTCCTAACGAGAGCAGAACAGGTAAGAATTCAATTACTGAGCAAATATTTATTCAGTATATATGAGGTGTGAGAAAATACCCCAGGAGGTATAAGACAGTCAGGTAGTATCTGCCCACATTCTGCAACTATAGTCTAAGCATAAGACTGATAAGTAACTACGCCATTATATTACACAAGGTTTTGACAAAATATCTGACCAATACTCTGGTAAATTGCCATGGTTATGAAAAACAAGGGAAGATTAAGAAACTACCACAGATCAAAGGAATTTCTGGATTTAAACCTGGAACAGAAAAACAAAAAGGACATTTATGATTAATTTGTGAAATACAAATAAAATCTAGAGTGTACTTTAAAAACACAATGATCAAGACCCAAACAATACAGGGTAATAGTGATGACAGAAGCACTTGGGAGAGGCACTTAATTTGGAGGAGGGGGTGCATTTCCAAGAAAGATTCCGGGAAGAATATAAACTGAGCTATAAAGGAGAAGCTAGGTCAGCCAGGCCAGGCTGGGCAGGTGACAGATGGGAGGGGAAGGAGGGTGTGATCCTGGCAAAACCGAGAGCACCTAAGCAGGAAAGAGCACGGCTTGCACAAGGAACGACAGACATTTAACATAGTTGGCACAGTCAGAAAGGTCCTGTTGATAGAAAAACTATAAGTGTAGCTATTTCTTTACTCTTGTTTCTTCCCCATAACTTCTTTCCTTTATAGCCCTTGTTATCCAATCCTTACTGATTGAATTTCTTCCTTCAGAACAGCTCTCAGTGTTTTCCTCTCATTTCCTTCCCTTTTCAACTGCCATCTCCTAGTCCAAACCACCATCAACATGTAGCCAAACCTGAGCTAAGCTCTTCTGCTTGGGGCATCAAAAGGCTCAAAACTTGGCACCAGCCTCACATGCGGCTTATTTCCTGACATTCAAGCCACACCTGCTCCAGGCAGGATGACCTCCAATATTCCTGAAAATACTTGTTTCCACTTTTTTCATTTCTGTGGGCTCTTCAACACTTCCTGTTTCCTGCTCTTGATCTCTCCTGAAAGGGTTCAACATTAGGGGCTTTTTCCAGCCCGTGGGAAATCGTCTCTTTTCTAACATTTTGCTATACATTTTGTCAACACCAAATTTTGGCATGGAAGCTGCCCTCTGAAAGTTTCATGTATGTTCTCTGAATATTAAATGAAAGGCAGGTTCCTCAAGAACTAACAAGTCAACCAACCATTTGTGTCACAGTGCAGGACAGCTGGTAAGTACAAGTCTAAGAAAGAGAAGGAAATGGACACCTACTTCCATCTTCTCTAGCAAAGGTTATAAGCAGATTAAACAAACAATTGGCAGCAGGAGGAGCACTGAAAAGACCTGAGACATTCCTGTAAAGAAAAACAGATGCTAAAAAAGCTATGTACTGCATGAGTCCCTTATATACTTCAAAAACTAAACACAGTATTCAAGTACATACATAGACACACACACACACACAAATAAACCAAAGAAAATTTCTGAGGGCAGGATATGCACAAAATTTAGGGTAATGGCTGTGTCTGGAGGGGATACAGAGGGGTGAAGTGGGAGGGGCAAATAAATTATATGGGTTATTTTTCTTGGGTAGGATGGTGGGTTCAGGGGTATATATTATTTTCAAAATGTAAATGAAATAAAATAACAGAGGGTATAATCTGAGTGGCAAAAAAAAAAGAATAAAATGCTGAAATTAAATGCCTCAAGAAGGAAATCACCTTTATAAATATTAAACATTTTTAACTATTAAGACTAGATTTTTGTTTGTGTGACTGATTTTTTTTTTTAAAGATTGATTTATTTATGCATATAAGAATGGGGGTACAGGCCAGAGGTGTGGAGGGTGAGAGGATTCACTGGAGACAGAGTGAGGAGCAGAACAGACAGACTGATTGAAATACACTGCTGAGGGGAGCAGCAGGCGAGACAGGAGAGGTCTGCTGTGCCAGGTGGGTAGCTCCCTGCCTGGGGATCGACCTCGTGCTACAGTGGCTGCGGACAGCTTCATAGGTTGTGTCTTAACTCACCCTTGTGCCACCAGGGAGGCCCTGTGTGACTGATTTTTAATGTAGAACTTATACATCCAAAATAAATGTTATTCCTCAAAAGTATCTACCACATGACTATAAACATAGGTTTTACTCCAATATTTGGGTTGTTGGAAAAGTCATGATGTAATTTTTTTCTGTTTTTCAAGCAAAAATGTCATGACTTTTGACAACCCCCAATAATTTCTAAGATACTCTACACATTACGTTTTCCTACTATTATCCTCATAAAAATATCTATTCCACTAAATCAGCACTGCTCAGAATGACTTTGGGCTGTTTCCTAAAATCAACCCATTCTTCAGATGACAGCAATCAGCACTGCAAATGTATGAAAGAAGACATGACTGGGAAGTCAGTCCAAGAAGAGTGCTGGCAATGGGTGCATCACTGGGACAAGAACAGGGTTCCTACTGAGCTGTGAGCAACATACCTGCACAATTCAAGGAGAGTGACAGTCACAAATCTAAGGGTGCAGCCCTGCTAAATGCAGCAACCTGAGGTGCTTTCAGAACACCTAAAGAGGGCCTGTTTATCCCCACAGAGGAGTCTACTAGTGGGGATTTTATGAGGCCTCTAGTCATTACATCAGCTACACTATAACCTTACATTTATGATTGCTACTTTACTCCAATGTTTGCAATGTCTTTATCATATCATATCATACCATATCATATCATTCTATGAAGTCTACAAGGTATTCTATTACAGTGGGCATGCACTCTACATTTAGCAGGTTAAGCCAACTGAAAAAACAAAATCACTTGGAATTATATAGATATTTTAAGGCAGAGTCAGACCCAGAATCTAGGTCTTCTGACTTTCAGCTTTGTGCTTATTCTACCAGTCCAAAATAAGTATGAACATCTAAATCCAAATCATCTGCTCTGGAGAACAAAGAAGGGAGACTCAAGTGAATCTCAGAAACAAGACTTACAGCGAGCTGCAGAGCCAATTCAAACTGCTTGTCCTGGAGAAGCTGTTGGATCTGGGTTGCCATGGGAACAGGAATAAGTCTCCAAACAAAATGATTGCTGGCGACATAGATGATGTTTGATCTGGAGGTAAGAGTAAGGTATTAGTAAAAGAGCACAGGTTTGATGATAACATAGGAATTTACTCTAGTTTTGGAATAACTAGATGCCATGTGGCAGCTAGAGTAAAGATTCCTCACCCTCCTGAGGTAATAAAGCGGGGCCTTTGCAATTCAATGCTCTGGACCAGAAGCCTTGGCTCAAATGTTCGGATCTCCACATATCGAGGCAACACTGCAATGATGTAGGGAGGCTGGTGCTCTGTGCAAGAGAGAACATCTTGGTTACAGTACTGGTCTAAGGCTAATTCAGTGGCCCACTTCTAAGTTACATTTAAATGAATCTCAAAAAAATCCACCAGTCAAATACCAAGCCAGGATGCGACAATGTGGTAGCTATACAAAGAAAAAAAAAAAATTGTTTGCCTAAGTAACGTTTAGAGAAATCTCTTACACAAAAAGGAGGCACCCAGCTTTGCTGAGAGTTACCTGACCCCCTCCTACCATTTCCCCCAAAGAACTAGGTAAAAGCTTCACTTGCTCCTTTGTCATTAGTCACAAAGCTAGGCCTGCCAAAGTCAACTGCAGCTGCCCCTACCAATGCATCCTTCTTTCAGAAAGAGCAAGAAGAAGGTAATTTCTTTTTTCCCCAAAATTATGCCAAAGAAAGAGTTCTACATTTCTGGCCAATGTTGTTCCTGCTTGAGATCTTCACAGGGAAAAGATGCAAAACTCTACTTGCTATTTAATGGTTCACAGAGAAGGCAGCCAGAAGACATTCTCAGTATAGTTGTTTCTTATTTGACACTTGCCGTGAATCTTAACACTGTCTTCCTATATTAAAACACACATTAAAAAACACTTTCATTCAATTATCCTTGACCCCAGATTTACCCTATTGGGAAAGGACCTGTGTAAATAAATTCTTGAGTTCAACCCCCTTTCTTCAATCTTTCTTCCTCCACCTCTTGAAAATAACATTTACTATATCCATTCCTGTTCTTTTTGAAGGCATGTGGCAGTCCAAAGGTTAGAATGCTGGTAGAAGCAGAATAATGTCACAAAAGTACTAAAGAAGTCCATATGAAAAAAGCAAAAGCTGACAAAACCATAAAATTCTTACAAACGAAGTTTTTCATTTGAGAGGTAGCATGGGGAAGGATATTTAACATAACTGGAGAGAATTAGCAAATACAGCACACAAAGTGCATCTTTTAAAATACAAAAACTCAAATCTAACATTTCAAATGAACTTTGAAAGAAAAGACTATTTGTACACTACACTCATCAATCTAAAAATAATAGAAATATTTCCTATCGCTGTATTTCAAGAATTAGTAAAACACCACAGTGAGATATTACCTCACAGCCATTACGATGGCTCCTATCAAAAGCAAAAGAAAATAACCTATTTGGTGAGGATATGGAAAAACTGGAACCCTTGTGCACTGTTGGCAGGAACGTAAAATGATGCCGTCTCCATGAAAAGCAATACGGCGGTTCCTCGAAAAAGTAAAAACAGAATTACCATATGACCTGGCAATTCCACTTCTGGGTCTCTACCTAAATGACTGAAAGCAAGGTCTTGAAGTGATATTAGGACACCCATGTTCACAGTATTATTACAAAAGTCAAGAGGTAGGAGTCACCAAAATGTCCATCAACTGATAAACGGATAAAGGATATGTGTTATATATGTCCAATGGAGATATACAGATACATAATATATATTATTATTCAGTATTAAAAGTAGTAATGCTATCAAACACTACTACCTGGATGACCCTTGAGGACATTATGCTAAGTTAAAGAGACCAGTCACAGAAAAATATTATGAGTTTGTAACAGGGTGGTCCCCAGGAAAGGGGGAGGTTCCCTGCCCCACCCAAGGGAGGGTGGAGCTGAGCAGGAAGAAGAGAAGCTGCAGAAGAGACTGAGGAAGGAAGCAGGATGGAGCCAGGAGACCTGGAGGAGGCGCATGGAGCCTAGAGACACGTGAAGAAACTGCGCTTGTCTTTTGGTCGTGGACTGGGTGAGAAAAGGGCCAGAAACAACCAGACAAGCCCAAAAGGAAAAAAAGCAAAATCAACATCAAGATAAAAGCTGCCATTGTCACCTCCCCACGGGTCTCACCCACATCTGTGTCACCCAGTCCACGACCAAAAGACAAGCGCAGTTTCTTCACGTGTCTCTAGGCTCCATGCGCCTCCTCCAGGTCTCCTGGCTCCATCCTGCTTCCTTCCTTCCTCAGTCTCTTCTGCAGCTTCTCCTCTCCCTGCTCAGCTCCACCCTCCCTTGGGTGGGGCAGGGAACCTCCCCCTTTCCTGGGGACCACCCTGTTACAAGTTCACTTATATATGGTATCTAAAGTAGTCAAATACATAGAAACAGAAATTAGAATGGTGGTTGACAAAAGATGTGGGGAGGGAGAATGGGGAACCAGTGTTTGCTTAATATGTAGTTTCTGCTCTGCAAGATGAGAAAGTTCTGAGTATCTGTTGCACAGCAATACGAACACACTTACCACTACTGAACTGTACATTTAAATTAGTAAAAAATTAACCACTAGATGGCATGATTATCACAGGGAAATTTAATCTCAAAGATATATTCATACACAGTATTTATAATAGTCTTAGTGTGGCTAATTTGCTATGATTTTATTTTCCCAATTATCTATCTTCTGATAAAAACTATTTCAAATTATATTATAATCTATACTATAAATAGTATGATACAATTTCAAAACCAGAGGGGAACTGGAACTCAGAAACAAGGAAACCAAGACCAAAGTAATACTTACACTGATGTGAATGCTATTGCTGTTATTATATTGATCTATTTCACCTCCCAAAATATAAACTTAAAAAAGCATGTTGCTTTTGCTTTTGGATTTTATTTTCCTTTTATGCCAGAACATTTTACAATGAGTAAAATTTTCCCTAATGTTAAGTTGTATAAACATGTAAAATGTCTCCCTCCTTTTAAAATCCGGCCTACTTTACAGGTAGGCCAGGGTTTAAGTATCAGCACTATCAAGCTATCATCAGCCCCTGCAGCATGAGTTAGATCCCTGGCCAGGGGGTTGACCCAAATGGCACAGCAGACCTCTCCTGTCTCGTCCACTGCTCCCCTCAGCAGTGTATTGCAGTAGATCCACCTGTTCTGTTCCCCACTCTGTCTCTGGTGAATCCTCTCACCCCCTGCACCTCTGGCCAAGACCCCAGTTCTTGTATGCATAAATAAAATAAAGTAAAATTTAAAAAATAATAAAAATAAAATCTGGCCGACTTTAATAAGGTCTTATTTAATAAAAATGGCAATCTATAACAGAAACCCTTTAGGTCGTCATATCTTTGGTCAGTCCTCCCACCTCTCTGGCCACAGTGATGGTCTAGATTTAATGTCTCTAAAACTTGGAGGAGAGGCTGGCGAGCCGCAGAGTGGCTGGTTCACACTGACAGCGATTCATCTATTTAGTAAGAATTTACTGAGAAGCTCTGATGTTTCAGGCACTACTCCAAGCAGATCAAGACATGAGCTCCTATAAGAGCAGAGGAAACAGACAACCACTATAGACAACCACTGCAGCCAGTGGGGAGTGTGGGCTCCATGACGGAGAAAGAAACCCAAGAGGGAAGCACCACAGGGGAAGTGAATGACTGTGCTGTGGGTCAGAGCAGACTACTTAGAGGAAGTGCCACTGACGAGGGCTTGTCGCAGGAGCAGGAGCCATTGGGCAGAGAAGAAAAAGGTACAGAAGATGATGGTGCAGTGTGTAAGGGAAGGGGCAAAATGACTGGAATCTGAAGAAGTAGTAAAGGTAAGATTAGAAGAAAAATAAATGATTGTTAAAATGCACACCATTCTAAGGACAGCATTCTTCCTGTCAGATAGTGATCCTCCTACTCTACTTAGAAAGAATGTCCTCTGGGCCTCCCCGGTGGCGCAGGCAGTTGAGCGCAGCACTGTGAAGCTGTCCACTGCAGCGCAGGTTCGATTCCTGGCCGGACAGGGAGTTACCCACAAGTCACAGCAGACCTCTCCTGTTGCACCTGCTGTTCCCCTCAGCAGTGTCTTCGGTCTGTCTGCCTGTTCTGCTCCCTGCTCTGTCTCTGGTGAATCCTCTCACCCTCCCATGCCTCTGGCCTGTACCCCATTTCTTTTATAAAAATTAACAAATTTAAAAAAAAAAAAACAAAAGAATGTCCTCTCCCCCAGCTGGGAGCTTGAAGGCAGGTATAGGAACAGAAATGCCTAATATGTAGGACAGACTGACGGCTAAAAGTAGACTGCAGCTCTAAACTACAATACCAGCAGTGACAAACCACCACATCAGAAGTCCTTCGATACTAATTTATAAGATCATAGGATTAAACAGGTCCACTAATTTGCAGATATTGTCTATTTGCAGAGGACTCAATGAAACCAATAAAAAGGTAAAAAGAAAATAAGCTAGAAATTAAAATAACAATCACTCTTAAAATGTAAAATTTAGTTGACATTTTCCCACCTCTAGGGCAAGACCCAGCTTCCTAATAAGAACCAGAATACTGGGCCTCCCCGGTGGCGCAGCGGTTGAGCGCTGGGTTGCGAAGCTGCCCGCAGCCTCTGTGGTGCCGGTTCGATCCCCGGCTGCTCCCCTGCCACCGGAGGAGGGTCCCACATGGCGCGCAGACCTCTCCTGCCGCCCGCTGCTCCCCTCAGCAGTGTCCTTCGGTCCTTCTGCCTGCTCTGCTCCCCGCTCTGGCTCTGGTGAATTCTCTCACCCTCCCGTGCTTCTGACTGTACCCAGTGCGTGTATAAATAAACAAACAAAACAAATAAATAAATACATGCCTCTTTAAAAAAAAATAAAGAACCAGAATATTCTATTTTAAAAATGACCCCAGAAAAGAAGGGGAAAAGAGAGCAGATGACACTGTAAACCACAGTCTGCTAAGCTGGGGGTGGGATTCCATTCGGCCAGATGGCACACAGCCCCACACCCAAGTGGCAAGCAGCAGGCACAGCTGGACTCACCCATGGCCACAGGTATGTCTGTCCAGTTCAGGGCACATTTCTGTGTGCAGATTCCTTCCTCATTGAGCACCACGGTGAGATCATCCTGACCCACCGCCACTTTTCCATCTGCCAGGGGTGCAACTAAGGGCTCCAGCTGTTTTCCTGTTGGAAAGAGCTCTTTGATGGACCCCTTTCCATCCACCTACAGGAAGATACAAAGTGAGTCACCTAGCATTCTCCAGCCAACACATGGACTCAGCCTGGACAAAGCCAGATAAAACCCAAAGCTCCAGAATGCAGTAATATTTTTTTTATGGTATAAGGAAGTATTACAGAGTTTGTTATGACAAATCACAATGTAGATACTGTCTCATTTTCTCTCTCACAGAGATGAGCACCTGGCAACAACGATGTCAAGTGCCAGTGAGGATGCAGAAAAATTCGCTACTGATGACAATGCAAAATGGTACAGTCATTTTGGGTGTTGGCTTCTTACAAAATCAAATACAAACTTACCAATGACCCAGCAATCCCATTTCTAGGCATTTGCCCAAGAGAAATGAAAATCTGTGCTTACACAAAAACCTGTCTGCAAATGTTTGTAGCGGCTTTGTAATAATGGCTAAAAATTGGAAAAAAGTTTGTCCTTCCACTGATGAATGGATAAACTATAGTTCATCCATACTGTGCAATACTATTCAGCCATAAAGAATATATTGACATGTACAATACAGATGCATGTCAAGTGCATTATGTGAAGTGTAAGCAGGCAGACTCAAAAGGTTTCATACCGTATGACTGCACCTATAGGACATTCTATAAAGGCAAAACTGTAAGAGATGAAGAACAGATCAGTGGTTCCTGCAGGCTGGAACATAGGAAGAGGAGCTGACTTCAAAGGGACAGTATGAGGGAATTTTCTGGGGTGATGAAATTGCTTTGAATTGTGACTGTGGGAGTGAATAGCTACACAATTCTAGGCATCTGTCAAAACTCAGAACTATACATCAGAAGGAATGAATTTTACTGCATGTAGACAAATTTTGAAAAACCTGGTCCTAAAGCACAATTTCCAACCCTTAAAGGACTCTTTAAGGAGTGGCAACATCCCAGGTAGTCAGAGGAATGAAAGCCCTACTCCACCTCGGGGCCCATCCCTCCTCCCAACCCCCTCTCCCTGCAGCACCCATATGCCTGGTTGCCATTCTATCAGGTGCACAGCAGTGATTCCTCTAGGAGTTTGCAACTCTGATGCTAATAAAATTTGGAGATGCTAACAATATAAATAAAGAATATGTTAACTAGTAAACACTGAAAGGGAAACAGAGTACAGGGTAGGGAAGTGGGGAGGTGGAAGAGACACTTCTCAAATTGCTAAGTCTGGATTATGAGAGGGGTACGGAGCTAAGAAAGGTGTATGAAGTAAATGGTACATCAGACTTTTCTGCCTTATTGGCGGGAAAAAGACAATTTGTGGCTAATCACTGCTCAGGTTAGGAGAAAAGGCAGGTTATAATACATGCTTGGCATCACATTTACATAAAAAGGGTGGAAGGACAGATATCAAAGGTTAATGGTGATTATTTCTGAGTGGGGAGATTATTTTCCTACTTTCTATAATAAATACATGTGACTTGAAATTAAAAAAAAAGTGAAGATAATTTTTAAATAAATATACTAAAAGATGGGGTGGGAGGTGCACAGGAAACTCAGCCTTAAAATACTTAATACTAAAACTAGTTTATAATTCCTGAACACTGAAGCCTCAAGATAGCATTTCATAACAATGCTATGCCATTGGACAATACTATTTTGTCTCAGTAATTAGGAATAGGAATGTGGATAATTCATTATGTTGCGAACTAAGAGTTGACTCTTTCTGGCTTCAGTCACACAGACATCTTATTTGTGTAAAATGCAAGAAGCATGAAATATAACCCCAAAAAGACAAACCTTATTATACCAAAAGCTCTATCTACTTAAGGTAGTCTTTTGACATGTATTTCAGAACATGGAATTATCTCCCTCAGGCAACCTCATAATCTTCTTCCCCAAGGCAAATGATGATATTTGCAAAATAACAAATTTTTACCCTTATTAGGTAGTAGTCTCTCTTGAAACCCACACAGATAGAATTTCCACACCATGCCATGGACTTGGGCACATCTGGCACACTAAAGTCCCCCTGAAGAAAGAGAACAAAAGTTCAATTGGAAAGGTGTTCTAAGAAAAAAAGCATGACTTGCCTGTTATTCCACCTCCACTCTGAAAAATCACCTTCACCCTTGTCTGAATAGAATCCAACAAGCACAAGGCCAAGACATCACCCTTAATAAAAATAAAATTCACCCATGAACTGGATAGGTGAAAATTGGAAAGGTGAAAATTTACTTTGAAATAAACCAGTCTGTACAGATGTTGAACTGTATTGCCCCTGCCCCTGTGGCCCAGGAGACTTTGGCAAGTGGGCCTGAACTAGCTCTCATCTACTCAGAGCAGAGCATCCACGTGGGGAGGACTCCAAGACCAGGATCCTGACTTTCACTAGAACTGAACAGGAAGTCTTTTGAGAGTGGGCCAAGTGCAGAAGCAGCTCCCGCCCAACCCACAGATCAGGTAAGAGTGGATTTTACCTGCAGTTCATGAAATTCTCTGTCTTTCCAGAAATAGAGTTGCAGCTTCTTTTTCACAGCCACACACATTTGCAACACCTCCTCACCAGTCTCTGTGTGCTGGGAAGAGACACCGAGAACAAATAATGACCCCATAACTGAACGACAAGTAAACTAGAGATTTTCTACTTGAAATAGCTACTAATCTGAAAATCCCCATAAGACAAAGACACGTTGCCAGGCAAGCTGAAAGAAAGAACGCCGTCCTCTAAGATGTTCTCAGAAATGACAGAACGAGGAACAAAGGTGCTGGCCAATCTCGTGGACATTCATAATGTAGAGAGGAAACTCTCCAGGCAGGCCTTGACCTACAGAACCACTTCCTCCTTTTTTCCCTTAAATGTTCACTCATGGCAGTCAGCAGACTGGATCAGGGAGGAACATGTGTCGGGGACAGCGGGCCCACTTTCAACCCTCAAATGAGTGGCAGAAAAGAAAATGCCTAAGCACACAACAACGCAGTGTCAATGCAGACCAATAAAGCTAAAAACTAGTAGTCAAAGTTGAGTGGAGAGGTGAGGCAGATTTTGAAGAACATAAGGCTAATGAGTTGGCAACAACTCTCCTGAATAACAAACACCCTAAAGACAAATGCACATGACATGTTTAGAACAAGAGTCAATTTAATGTTGTATAATTATGTTCATGATACTGTTAGCCTTGTTTTTCTACTAATGGGTGTCCAGGACAAGTATTTTTATCCTTGGTTAGCTCCTGCTATACAGATGCCTGGTATTTGAATTACATACACAGGGAATGCAAATGTTTCAACTTTAAGCCATATAATAAGGGGACATTTCTGTAATTCAACCAAAATTAAGTATTCTTTTTGTAGTCTCTGTTGGGTATATATGCTATTCATCTGATCCACTGGTAGGAATTATATAGGAATTATATAGGAATATGACCGCCCTTATTATAGCACAAAGTCAAATTTCGCCTGCACCCACCTGGAGGTCACATGTGAAGAGTGATGCTCCTTTTGCCTTTGAAACTGTAGTGATTTGTTGAAATGTCAATAGGTCATGGACATAAATGTTGTTTTCTGTTGGGAAGGAGGTAAAAACATCACTATAAATTATTACAATTCTTTAGTATACAAAATCAAAACCAAAAAAAAAAAAAAAAACCCAAACTTTAACAGAACCAAATGGCTTTGATGGTTGGAGATGTACCTTCAGTCTCACTAACAATGATTTATTGTGGTCCATTACCAGAATAACATTATAAAACATTTAAGAGATAACCCACAGTCAATCGGTCTTCTGAACTTGGATGTTTTGTTCTTCTAAATTTGGGTCGGCTTCAATAAAAAAGCTTCTTTTTCACATTTATACTCTGTCCTCAAATCTGGAAATTTGTGATACAATATTTGCATCAGAAATGGTTTCAATGCTCCTTATGTTAGAAGGTTCCAAAAGAGAAAGGAAATCCCCTGTGGATTCTGTACAAAACCACAGCAAGTGTTTCCTTCTAGCAAAGCATGCAAAATACTTTGAATTGCACCTACTGCTCTCTAGTTTTAATCATGAAGACTGTTATTTAAATGTTCTTTTCTCAATCTAGTCATTAAGTTTAAGATGATTCTACTATTTGGGTCCTGGCCTGAAGAGCACAAAGCATGAGGCAACTTTTTAGTCCTCTGCTGGCTGAGTAGGCTGGCCCTGAACTGTCTCTCACCTGATACCTTCTACTCTCTGCCACATACCATAAGTTTGGTTAGATCTCAGGGGTTTTGTTGTTTTATTTGCCTAGAATGCCCTGCCCGCATCTCTATCAAAATTCTAATCATCCACATGACAATACAGTATTTCCCATTATATATGATCCACTGGTAGGAATTATGTAGGAAAGACTGTACTTGTGGTATAAGATCTTAAAGTAAAAGATCCTATCATACTTTACAAAGTTCCACTGTATCATGATTACTTTGTCATTTTAGTTTTCATATCACAATATAGGTTTCAATGATAGAAACCATATCTTGTTCAACTTGGTTTCCCCAATACTAATGCAGGCTTTGCACAGAGTAGGACTCAATATATTATTCACTCAATTACTGGCTGAATGAATGAAGTAACACTCCTTGGAGAACAAAGATCAAGTTTAAGGCAGATGCTGATGCTTTTACTACTTTGTATCCTGCTGTATCTTGTTTGGAATATGTCAGTTCCATTGTTAAGTACTACCAAGTTAACTATGAAAGAGTTGATTAGGTAACAGCTTTTGTTTTCTGACACATGAAACACAAACGCAACTCCTTTTCTTACCTAACAAGCTGACCAGAATTTTAAACTGGGAAACCACATGGATCTGGAAAATAGCAAATCACCAAATTCAATTCAACATTTCTGACATCAGCAAATGTTCATTAGCTATAGTACTAAAAATACAGGTGCTAAAAAGCCCCAGTGACAGGGATGTAACTTATAGTTATGTGCAATTACAATTTCTGCTTGTAAAGAGAAGCTCAGGCACATGACCAAACCCTATGTTAATGGGAGGACAGACAGCAGAGGATTCAGAGTTCATTGACTCCTTAATAAACTTTAGTAATGTTACCAAAGTTCCAGCTTTGACAGGGTCTCATACAAGGAAAATATTAGTGTAGCAACCACCATCACTGCCTACCTGCTGAATCTTTTTGGAGAAGTTCTTATTGGATTTCTCTAGTGTCACTTCAAACCTGTTGCAGCCTACAGAAAAGAAAGAGATATTCACAGTCCCAAACACAGGAACACACATTAAAATAACCACACCAACAAAACGCAGTTCCACGTTGTTCTCCTAGAGGACTCTTCTAGGAAATTCCTCAAAGACTGGACGTTGGAGATCGAAAATAGTTACTGTCTTTACACTGAGCATGGTAAGCTGCTTTCCACTCCAATTTTAGAAAAGGGTTTCATGCATCTTCACTTGGCATTAGCAGAAAGGACCACACCACAGAAGTTTATTGAAGCTACAAGGTACTTGTGAAGATCTTACCCTACACAAAATGGTACCTTGGCAAAGTGTTTCACAAAAAAAAAAGTTTAAAAAGTAACAGTCAAATATAAGAGTGCAAGCAATAAAACCCAGTCTAAAGCATCCTTAGATCTAGATCAACTAAATCCCAGCAGCTACCCTATGTCCTACATCACAGGACAGAGCAAACATCATCCCCAGAGCTAAAGCAATTTAATGCATCTACACTTACTGCCACTTTCAGGTGATGCTACATCTGCTGGCACTGTTCCAAAAAAAGGGGAAGGAAGTTACATACTATAAAAACATGCGAAGCCAGACTTGCTGGGATGACAAAAATAAGTAGTCTCAAAAGTCACTAGAGTCAAATTATAATAAAGTAAAAATCAAAATCAAGCAACTATAAACTAGAGACACACTATGGGGAGGGGGGCGGGGAAAGGAAGGATTAGGGTCAAAATAAGGGGGGTGGTGCAATTGTATGGGGAATATAACCAAAATGAAAATGCATATTGTGCAAAAATGATAAATGATGTAAGAAGTATATAAAATACAAAAAAAAAGGTCACTAGAGTCAAAATGCAAACAAATATCACGATAATAAGAGCAGTTAGCACTAAGCAATTACTAGGTACCACGTTCTAGATTTAAAAGTTTATATATATTTTCTGGAACCACACAACCACCCCAAGAAGTAGGTATTATAATTCCAATTTCCTATTTGACAGACCTGAAGGGTCTACCAGTTAGGTAATAAGCAGTAAATTTGCCCAAAAGCAAACTCTAGGCAGACTGTAAGGCCTATGTGCTGAGCCCAGAAACTATCACCTGCCTCCCAGTTGGAGAGACTGTTCACAGTGCTGACTATGGTCTGCTCCCCACAGCTAGCAGTGGCCTGTCCCCAGCATCCACACGTCATTCAGCAAAGGAGGTGAAGAAGTGACACTAAACTTGCAGAAGATTCAGAAGTTGTATTCTGTCATTTTATTTCACAAGGAAAAAAAAAAAATTCAGTAGCTTCCTGATCAACAGAGTTCTGTATTTGAAAAGGGTTTTATTACTTGTAACAATTCTCTTTATAAGTACAACAATCTAGGGCAGATATCCTCAAACTTCTGGTCTTGGGATCTCTTCCTAATCTGAGAAATTACTGAGGACTCCAAAACTTTTATGTGAGTTATAGCTATCAACGTTCATCATATCAGAAATTAAAACTAAGAAATTTTTAAAATGTATTCATTGAGAAAATTTAAAAATATATTCATCCATTTAAAAATAACAGCAAGTCCATTATATGCTAGCATAAATAACAAATTTTAATGAAAAATAAGTATTTCTCCAAATTAATGCATTGTCTAACACTTTTGCAAATCGCTTTAATATCTGGTTTAATAGAAGACAGCTGGACTCACATCTGTTTGTGCATTTAATCTGTTTTGATGTACTGTTTTGGTTAAAGTATATGACCAAAAAAATCTGTACTCACAGATGGACATATAGTTAGGAAAGGGAGTATTTTAATAGTATTTTCAGACAATTGTGGATCATCTTTAATATCATACCAAAAGTTGACAACTAGAATTTCTTATAATGAGGAATCTGAAAACTATTTTTTTCCTACTTATAGACGTATTTATTATTTTCTTTTATTGTATCATATATCTTTTGATCTGTTTAATTTTTTTTATTTTTAAACAATATTTGCTTCCCCCCACCCCCTCAGATTGAGCCCCCATAGAATTCCCTTCCCCAAGGCACCCGTGCACCATCACCACAGTCCCCTGTGCTCCTCCCTCCCTCCCTCTGAACCCTCTCCCTCCTCCTCCCCTGCAGGATGTCTCTGACTTATAATAGTCTGGTTTTGCTTTGTTGTGCTTTGTACTGTTATTATTTTTTTTACACTGATGTCTTATTTGGTTCCCCTATATTCCTGTTGTAAGTGAAACCATCCGATATTTTTCTTTTTCCTTCTGGCTTATTTCACTGAGCATAAAGGAATCTGAAACCTATTAATGAACTTTTCTGTTGGTGAAGTTTGTTGGTCTATCTTCACTTTAAATGGATCTTTTACTCATGCATGATTTAGAAACTTCATGAACTGGAAAAAACTGGTTTGCTGAGTTATGCAGATTTTACAAATGTTGGCATATTTTGTTACAGGATATATTAAAAAAATCATTATCACTCTCAATCTCAACAGAAAAATCATTAAGTATTGACAAGCTGAGGTCATGGGGGTAGATATAAGTATTCTATAATTCTAATTTTCTCTTAGAAGCTCTAACTTTATTATTAGCAAAAAATATTGTCAATTATTCCCTTTGACATGACAGATTCCCTCTGTTCATTTTTGAGAAATCTACCAAATAACCAGATGGTGTGAAAAACCATAGTCTGTCAGTCATTTTTTCCAAGCAAAAATGATAATCCGTGAAAAAGTGGCCAGTTGAGCTTGTAACTCAAACAATCACAAAGTACTTCACAAAGTACAATCATAAAGTACCCAAGACAGCCCTGTACTCTGTGCCTTGTCACCCAGCAGAAGTGCTTTATGTCCACTTCCCATAACATCACAGATTAAACAGACATGTTCTCAAAGGTCAAGATACAATAAAATTAATAATTTTTACTGCCTCACAAAGATCGTTCTTAAGTGAAATTATTTTTAAAACCACAAGAACCAATGTGAGTACACGCTGGAGAACAACACAAAGGTTATGAGTATAGTTTGGTATGAACAAGTTTGCTGACTACTATCTTAAACTTGTGCTTAGAGGTCAGCAGTTTTAGTTACCATTACTTTTGTACAATTAGTGCAAATGTGAAAAAATGTCAGTGAGAAAAACAAAAAACAAATGATGTTCATGCTTTAGGGTTACTGTGAAATTAGCTGTGACCTTGTAGATGCTCTCAAAGATCTTGGGGAACCCCCAGGATCTACAGATCATACTTTGAGAACCACTGCTGTAGAGTGATGGCACCACTGTAATAAACCTGAGTTTGTTAAGACCTTGGAAGTAAACTCATCTAACTGTTCTGTTTAAGATGCAAATAGAAGCAGGCCTACAGACATTTTTTAGCTCAAAAGATGGCTCATATTAGATCAAAGTCCAGGTCATGACATTTTATTAGTGCCTTCATTTCCTCAGAAAGACAGTATAATAGCAGTCCTATCTAGGTTTGGAATATTTCAAATTTAGAAGTCAATTCATAAAGGCCAGGGTCTAACTTTAGTCCAAACTAGACCAGAGCTAAGTCAGAATTAAACTGTTCTCTAAGGGTATAGAAAGAGAAATAAAGTTTCTAATCAGAGTTGGACTTGATAATTGTCTAAGGTAGGTTAGTATTGCTAGTCAAGTTACATATGAGGAAGATGAAGTCCAGAAATTAACTAACTTGTCAAAAAGGCAAGGAAGAATCACCATCCCAATCAGATTAATATCATCAGTCCAGACTACATGATGCATAAGATTCACTTTTGAAAGATTTACTAGTTTTCAGTTCCTCACCACTTACATAGAACTGGTATCTTAAACAAGTCACTTTATTACAGTATTTAGTATTTGATGGCAAAAACAACTGATTAGATAACAACTGTTGGGGGTAAAAATATCAGGTTCTCTTATCTCCCTGTCCTACACAGTACCTAAGTCATAGCAGATAGTCAAAAAAGACTGCTGAATACTGAATAAAATCCAAGGCAAGCTTCATTTTTAAAGTACAGACTAAATAATAATAATAAATGTCTCAGAATAAATATTCTGGCTCTGAGAACTAAAAATTTAAAATATGGGTCAGCAAAGTACTGCCATGGGCCAAATGCAGCTACCAATATGTTTTTGAAAATAAAGTTTTATTGGAACACAATCCTCTGTATGTACATACATATTGTATATAAACTGTATACAATATGTTGTTATATTGTATACATAGTGTACATGTTTACATACATATTGTAAATATGTAAATTTTCCATTTTACATATTATAGTCTACATATTGTAGGCTGCTTTTCAGCTATAAGAGCAGAATGAGTGGCCTCCCTGGTGGCTCAAGGGGTTAAGACGCAACCTATGAAGCTATCCGCAGCCACTGCAGCATGAGTTCGATCCCCAGTCAGGGATGTGACCCACATGACACAGCAGACCTCTCCTGACTCGCCCACTGCTCCCCTCAGCAGTGTATTTCAATCTGCCTGTTCTGTTCCCAACTCTATCTCTGGTGAATCACATCACCCTCCACACCTTTGGCCTGTACCCCAGTTCTTGTAAGCATAAATAAATAAATCTTAAAAAAAAAAAAGACAGAAAGAGCAGTCATGACAGGGATCTTACGAACTACAAAGCCTAAAATATTTATTATTTTAGAATAAGTCTGACTCTTGCTTTGAAGGAAAATTGAAACACATAAATGAAACCATCTGTTTTAATCTTCCAGTTTCTCTTGTGATTCTCACCATAGAACCTGACCAGATACTTTCTTCTGTCCCTACTACACCAGTAAAGGGTAGCAGAATATGCTATCCCAAAACACACTATTTGATGTAAAGACTATTTTGAGCTGAAGGTAACTAAGATACCAAAAAAAAAGCTCTCTGCCCTTCCTCTTTTTGCCTAAAAGCATAAATTTACAAAGGAATCCTCCTTCCCTCTCAACCAGAAAGAACAAAATTTAATCGCTGGGGACAACTCTAGGCTTTTATCAGCCAAAAGATAGCATCAGAGGAATCTATGTAACTAACTTATCTCCTGTTAGTTCCCCAATATATTCACCTTTCTACAATTTACCACTTTAGAATCTTAAAGTCCCTTTTCTTCATCTTGTTACTTCTCTAAAAGTTTATTCTTCACTTGATAAGATGCTTTAGAAGACCAAATTCTTATGGTTACTTATCACTGAATACTCCCACATGTGAGGCACATGTTACTAAAAATCTGTTCGTTTTTCTCTTGTTAAGCTGTCTTTTGTCATTCCTTTTACAGGAACCCATCCACAGAACCTAGGCTGGGTAGAGGGGGAAAAGAATTTCTTTCCCTACACCAGAAGATGCTCTTTTCTTCCAATGGTACCCTTGTTCCAGGTTCAAAGAGAAGACTCTCTTTCCTACCCTTACCTTAAACTATTTATTAAGCAAAGTTATATAGTCTTGTGTTTTGTAAAGAATCTCTGTAACTGTAGAGTATAATCTCCACACACATCAAGTTTCCATTAAGAAACCATAGAAATAAATTTAGGAAAAGGCAGTGAGGTACTTTTTTCCCCATTAGAGAATACTCAATTGGAATAAATTTCAAATACTTTTAGTTATTATTCTGTATTTTTACTGACAAAGTTATTTTGGATTAGAGCTTTAATTTTAAAAGTACTTTCAAGCTTATTACTGTATCTGACCCCAGTGACTTTATAAAACACACAGTTTACATAAGAGGAAACTGACATTGGAACGGATTCACAGCCACGTGGCCAAGGAGAAGTAAACTAATCTAACCCAGGTCCTCTATTTCCTACTCTCTAAGTTCACATGATCTTTTATATGAAGAATTTCTAGTTTTTTTCCCTACTACCATGTCATTTACACAGAATCCTATTCCCATCAGTATTTCTTACTTCTGGCAATAAGTCTCCAAGAAGTGAGGCGAGAAGTAACATCCACTTTACCTACTAGATGGGGAGTAGGGGAATAGTCTTTAAAAAAATCTCTAAAGATTCTCACATTTCTCCCTGATATCTTTGTGCAACCTCCTCCCCCAATCACTATGTTAATGGTCCAGAAATCACTAATTTCACAGTAAACTAGCCAACTATCCAAATTCTTTTTACATGCCCAGTAAGCCACCTCTTTTCAGTTCTGGAAAGTTCCACTTACCAACGTCCTTCCGAATCCTATATAGAAGAAGATGTCCTTGTTTGGTTCCAACGAGAAGCCATTCCTCTGAAAAATAAAAGATTTATAAGATAAGAAAGGCCAATCAATGTTAGTAAGACCTTATTTCTTTAGCTAGGGCTTGTAGTAAAAAATCAAAGAGTCCAGAAAATGAGCTGCGTTTGATAGCTGATGTTTTGCACAGCTCAGCAATATTTAGTTAAGAAATCAATTAATCAAAAAATATTTCTTGAACAATTACCAATCCAGATACATTAGAAGATTAAAAGAGTTCTCGGTTTGTTTCAATATTAAACTAACCCAAAATATGATGGAAGTTTATAAAATCATAAAATGGATAGCATAAACAGGAAACTAGGTATCTAACTTCAGAAATAACATCTAAAAGACATCCTTTGGGGCCTCCCTGGTGGCGCAAGGGGTTAAGACGCAACCTATGAAGCAATCCGCAGCCTCTGCAGCACGAGTTCGATCCCCAGCTGGCCAGGGAGCTACCTACATGGCGCAGCAGCCCTCTCCTGACTCGCCTGCTGCTCCCCTCAGCAGTGTATTTCAGTCAGTCTGCCTGTTCTGTTCCCCATTCTGTCTCTGGTAAATCCTCTCACCTCCCGCATCTCTGGCCTGTACCCAGCTCTTGTATGCATAAATAAATAAATCTTCAAAAAATAAAAATAAAAAAATAAAAGACATCCTCTGAAGTCTTTATGATTCCAGTTTAGGGAAAACAGAGGTGCCATAACGTATTACAGCTACAGGATTTGTTAACTCAAAAGCTGAGGACAAGAAACTTTGTCCATGGCCTTGAAGGTTTGTTCTTCTTCCCCTTCAGGGCCTCTCCTGCAACCAGGCTTCACCAGATCCTCCGTTAGACAAAGAAACATCCTAGCTTGATCTCCTTCATATTTATTGGAGAGGGAGGTGCTGGAGCAGCACTGTATGTCATGCATCTGGCTTTGTTCAACCCAGATGTCAGCTGGGGCAGAAATAACCCACAACCCTGGAAAAAACTGTGTCCCAATGATACATACAAGTTCTAATGTAGACAACAGCAAACTGAAGGAAGGAGGTCCAGACTTCTAAATGAAATATTTCACTATAAAGCTGCTTAAAATGAAGGTCTTCCAGAAGTTATACATACAATTTTCCACTTCTCCAGGAAAAACTTCCCTCTGAATGAATGAAATCATGTTGGTGTATTGTACTGGGGTTCACACTAATTAATAAACATCTGAAGCTTGGGGAGGGGGAGCTAAGAACAATAAAAAGTGTTGACAAAGAAGAAATTGGAACCCTCATAGATTATTAGTGGGAAGGTAAAATGTCGCTGTAATTTTGGAAAAGTCTGGTAGTTCTCAAAGATTAAATATAGTTACATCCCAGCAATTCTACTCCTGGGCATATACATATGAAAAACAAAAACCCATGTCCACAGAAAAATTTGCACAAACGTGTGATAGAATTATCTGTAATAGCCAAATGTCTATCAACTGATGAATGTGAAAGATCAGGGCAGTGGATATTAGCCAAAATGTGAAAGATTAGGCAGTGGATATTAGCCAGCCAGTAAGAGGTATGAAGTACTGGTATAAGCTACAATAGGAATGACCTGAAAACATCTGCTAAATGAAATGAGGCAGACAAAAAAGGCCACATATTGTATAATTCCATTTACATGATATATCCAGAATAGGCAAATCTAAAAAGGCAGAAAGAACAGTGGTTGCCTAGGGCTGATAGGTTGGGGGTGAAACATATGGTGAAAATTAATGGATATGGGGTTTCTTTGGGGAGTGATTAAAAATGTTCTAAAATTAACTGTGGCATACAAGTACAGCTCTGTGAATGTACTAAAAACCACTGGATTGTCCAATTTAAAAGAATTATATGATATGTTAATTTAATCTTAATAAAGCACTTATAAAAATGGTCTCAGGCAGTGGTTGTACATTTTGGTATGTATCAGAATTATTTGAGGGTGTGTTGAAATAGACTGACTGGAAGGGAGCCTGGGAACCTGCATTTCTAACAATTTTCCAGGTGATACTGATGCTGTGGTTCAGGAATTGCATTTTGGGAGACATTGGTCTAGGCTAAAGATTACAAAAGTATTTAAATAATTATCTTCACATTTCTTTTAAATCATTAAGAGAAATTAAATATATATAATCTTCCTCTGCTTCTTAATGTTGCAACATAAAGGTCACTTACTCATTCCTTGTTTACACTCTCTTAATCCTTTATTAAACAAAATATTGGCTAATGGTAAACAAAATTTACTGAGCATACATTATGGTCCAGGGAATGCCAAGCATATATGATGTTATTTCAGTAATCTCACAACTATCCCTAGAAGCATTTAATTCTTTCAATCTCCACCTTCTAGATGAGGAAATTGAAGTCTAGAGGATAAATTAATTTGCCCAGACATGTAATAAGTTGGCAGATCTGGATTCTAACTCCAGTCTGTCTGACTCCTAACAATCTGTCTAACCCCTAAGAACTTTGACGCACTTACTAAGGCATCCCATGTCAAAGGAATGGCTGTTGGTTAGAGCTTATCTGAAAGACAGTGGTTATATTTATGAGAATAGTTTTCAGTAGCCACATCAGGAACATTTCTCCAGGTTGATGTCCTTGGTCTTCCAGAATATATGATTGTCTTTTACATTTTTTGGTTTAAAGTGAAGGCAGGACACAGAAAGTAAGACATCGTGTGCTTTTAATGACATAAGTGGAAATTAGAAATAACACTAACTCTGAAGGAATGCTGGAGATTTATGTTGGAGCAGAATATGGTGAAAAAGTTCAGCTCACAACGCTCACTTTGTACAAGGTGTGTTTAGAACTCTACTTAGGCATGTCACTGTATCAAGCATTTGGCAATATTATAGTTGATTTTTAGGATACCCACTAATATTTCAGATTTAAATAAAAAGAAGTGGAATTTTTAAAATTCACTTATAATATAGATAAAAATCTATAACCAAAAGGCCAATACTATGTTCACCATCTTTGCTGTCCTTCCCTCTCCACTCTCCCCCGTTCCCGTACTAGCTCGTTTTTCTTTATTTCCTTTAGCGGTTTCAGCTTCTATCCAGGTCTACGGGGCCTCCTAATTTTGCCGCATCAAGAGAAACAACCCATTTCCATAGAGTCTCTCCAGGGTCCCCATGACAATCTCAACTGGTCTCATTCTACAAGTTTACATGTCCTTCCATTTTTGCTGTCAATTACCTTAGAGCAGTTCTCTGATGCCGTCACACTGGGGTTTAACAACAACAAACCCCCCACGAAGTCACACTACAACCCATATGGAGTCAAACTCATATATTTGAGAATCTATTTTTCATTTTTACTGAAATGTTTGTTTTCCAATAGAGCTTTCTTGTCAAATATCTACTCTATTTGAGTGTTTCTCAAAGCATAATGGAACCAGATAAATTCACTGCAGTTTTTTTTAAATGTTCAGCTGAATTTTTATTTGGTGAGCCTTCTCAAACTTTCAATTGGAGGTGCTAAGGAAAAATGCATTTATCATCTATGCAAAGTAGTCTAAGCAACTTGTAATAGTAGACACATCACCTATATACTCATTCTTAATCCTCAAACTCATAAGGAAAAACAGTGCATCATTCAAATGTGATGATGACACAGAATCTTGAAGAGGCTTAATATGGTTACAGAAATCCGTGGAGGCTCAAGCGGCTGGAGGAACTGATCTAAACCAGGCCTCCACATTCTGACATATCATCACATAACACAGCTGTGCCTGCCAAACACAGAATGAGATGCATTTGGTGTAGGCATGGGGTGGGGAAGACACTCTTCTGAGACTCAACAATGCATTTCAGAAAGTGGGATATACTGTACAAATGGGTGACACGCATTTGTAGGACACAAGAGTCAGACCTACAAAATTCCTCACAATCTAATCCTGAGCCACAGGGTTGGACCTAATCCCACCTGGGAAGTGAGTAACGTTGGGTTCTTTTGTTCATAATTACCCTAATGAACAGTACCACAGAGTCCAACCTCTTGTAATAAATAATTACAGTGCTGGCAACTTCAGAGAAGTCAGAGATTAGTAAGGGAGTGATCAGTTCCTTTCTTTAAGCCACGGGGCAAACAACTGTGTTTCTCAAAGTATAAGACCCTAATTAGCTGCATCAGAATCACCTGGACTTATGAAAAAAGCATATTCCTGAAAACTGTTTCTAGAGATTCCGAGTCAATGTGGTGGTGTCCTCTAATCTGCATTTTTAAAAATTGTTTTTATTTTTTAATCTTGTCTAGAAGGCTTTCTTGAGCAGAACTGAGTGGAAATCTAACAGAACCCACTTCATAATGGTCACATCGGCCATTAAATAGTGTAACTCACTGTTGCAGGTGCCATAGTTTGATCTAGAACCCTAGAGATCTACATGGTCTACACTGTGCCTTCACTTTTGCAGCTTGCCATAACTCCATGGTATCTTTTCCCATCACCAATACCTTTATTATTTTTAATACTGTAGGGTATGCCAAATCACATTAATTTATTTTATGAGACATTTACATAATGTCAAAGAATGATGAGAAGTCTGGCTTCCACTGTTTACTCTGCAGTGAAGGCACCCTACTGAAGAGGCAGTGAAGAACTCACCAGGTGACACTGTCCATAGATGAATCATAAGATGCCAGCCACAACCAAGATCCATGAGGCCCATCATGGGCACCTAACTCAGTATAAGATTTAATTAAGAGCTCTATGCCACCTTTATATGGCCATTGATTTCTAGGACCTAGACATTAACAGAAAAGAATGAAATTATTTGTTAGTTTTTGCTGGCTATTACCAGACACAACTACTCATACATAACTCATAGTTAAGATTTGTTTAGTCAAGATTTGGAGCCCTGAAACCATCTATATTCCAGAGCCCACAAGAGCTGCCTGACGCTGCTTTCTGCACTGGACAATCTCAGAGTACTATCCAAGTTAACACGGGTTAGATATCCTGACAGCCTGGAATAATATTCCACCTATGGAGTTAGTTAACTGGAGCACTTTGGATACAAGGCAATCAACCACCTGGTTAGATTAAGCGTTTGGAATAACAAACTGAGTTACCCACAGTAATGAAGTGAAAGATGAGTGTTGAGTAAGGGAAAAAAAGGCATATGGTATTAACTTGTTCAATGTCCAAAAAGCCAAAACTCAAACACAACAGTGCTGTCCTTCACTTAGGAAACAAAACAATCACCTGGACAAGTTCAACTCCCTACAAGCTGAGAACTTCCCACTGCTTTGTTATTCCAAACTAAGTCTTCTTGACTCTAAATGCGTCAAAGCTGGGCACAATTAATAAGAAAAGCTCAATCTCCAACCGAGAGCACAGGTAAGTGGAAGGTTCCTAAAATGCCTGGGTCCCTGGGGATCGCCTCAGCCGCTCCCCACTACCTACACGGCTCTGCCGTCCCCTCAGCCAGGCACTCTAGGAAGAGTCCGACAGGAGCCCACAGCCAGACGCCATGCAGCCCCCTCGCCTTGTGCAAAGTCTGGGCCGCTCCCGCGCTGGCCCAGCCTCGGTCTCCTGGCCCCTCGGCCCGTCAGCTCACCCCAAGCAGCCAGGCAGTCGATCTGCAGAGGCAGCTTTTCTAGGATCGGCACGGGCTCGAAGGCGTCGTGCATGGCGGCGAGCAGAGTGTCGCCGCCGCCGTCTTCTCACCCGGAGCGGGCCGGGCCGGGCTTGGGGCCAGAAGCAGGCCCCGGGGACGCGAACCGGGAGGCGGGAGAGGACCCCCAGCTACAGGCCCCGCGGCCACAGAGCCATCCCCGACGCCGGACTTCCGGGCCCGCCGCTCCCGCCCCTTCCGCCGCCCAAGCCCCGCCCCTTCCGCTGGTCCCCGCGTCGCCCTGGACACGCGGGTGCTCGGCTCCGCATCCTCCGGCCAGACTCGGGGCGTCTGCCTCGCGGGGTCCGAGTAGCCAAGAATGTAACAAGGAGAGTTAGTATTAATCTTAGGACTGTTACAGACATTGGAGCGTGACGGTGAAGAATTAGCTCTTTGCGTCAGTTGGACCTGGGATGGAAATTTGCCATTTAGGAAATGAGCAGTGACTTTCAGGAAATGAGCAGTGAATTTAAATTCTTCGCTTTTCTGCAAAGTGTCATGTACCTACCTAGCATTGTGAACGCTTAGCAAGGTCTGACACGTTGTAAACACGCAATAAATGGTATTGCTGTTATAATCCCAACTAGTTGGGAGTACCTCACCCACACATTTTAAATGCTCTAGGTCAAAGTGTGGATCCCAGACCAATGGAAGCAGCAGAATCACCTGGGAACTTGTTACAAATGAGAAGTCTCAGGCCCCATTCCAGCCCTAATGAATCAGATACTGGAGGGATGGAGGGAGAGGAGGTGTGTGTAAGGCATCTGTGACTTAATAACATGCACTTAATAAAGTGCATGAGTCCAAGGAAATAGCAGGTGTGACACAAAATTAAATATTTAAGTTTAAAGCAGAAATGTCAAAAAATGAGTGAGAGATGGGCCTCTCGGGTGGCGCAGCGGTTGAGCGCTGGGTTGCGAAGCTGCCAGCAGCCTCTGCAGTGCCGGTTGGATCCGGGCCCCTGCTGCACACAGACCTCTCCTGCCACCCGCTGCTCCCCTCAGCAGTGAACTTCGGTCCTTCTGCCTGCTCTGTTCCCCGCTCTGGCTCTGGTGAATTCTCTCACCCTCCCGCGCTTCTGACTGTACCCAGTGCTTGTATAAATAAATAAATAAAAATCTTTAAAAAAAAAAAAATGAGTGAGACTATGATATGAAGAAAAGAAAAAACAAACCCTGACCCTGGTCACTTTATTTTTACACTAACTCCGGATATTCATCTATAAATTATGAGTACTGTTTCTTTACTAAACGTTGCTTCTGATGATCAAAATATTTTCAAAACTTGCTAAACAAATCCTTTGTTATGGCTGATTTTCACAATGGAAACTGAACACCTTGAAATTGTGTTTAGTATCAATTGCTATGCTGAAAGAAGGCCTAGTATCTTCTAGTTCAAAGCTGAGAGACAAAGATAAAAAGAAACAGTGTAAATGCTAAGGTTACAGGCAATGTGACACTATAAATTCCTTCTCAATCTGTCCTAAGAAATGATACATTATGTCCAGTCACAGTAACATAAGAAACCATAAAATAAAGCAGAAGAGATTATGATGTCCCAGGATACAGAACTAATAAAGTGTGTACACTTCTGCTTAATACAATAGTTTCTTTCCCCCTAGTCAACTTCTAACTCGGTCTCAAAATATACTTGACCAATATGCTGCTGCATTGTAATTCTCATTCACTTGGTAAATTTTAAATTTTAACAAGAGGAGCACATGACAGTAGTCTAGTGCTGAGTTAGTCTTTTGCTGAGTTAACCTTCTTCGTATTTACCCTTAGAGATACAGACGCAATGATTTTTTTTAATTAGCACAACAAATAGCTATAGAGAAACATTACATAAGTGTTAACACATTTACTACAGTATGAGTTAAGGAAGAGTGTAGTCATGTGATCTTTGGTTCAACCAGAAATTATATAGAATAAAAACCATGAAAAGAGGATTTCCACAAGAGAGTTTGGAAAGAAAAAGAGGTCTTTGGAGAGAATTTGGAAGAAGAAAACACGGGAGAAACAATTTTGTTAAAATTTTTTTATATTAAAAAGTGGCATGAACTTTCTATGTAGAACAAAAATCTTGGAAAGGCAAAATTGGATAAAACCATTAAAACAAACATAGTGCTTCAAATGAATCCCATCACCTTGTGATGTCTCTTATAAACAGTCCCTAAGACCAACACCAGTTACAAGAATAGTCAATCCTAAACAATGAGCAGCAAGTCCAGGGCCTCCATACTACTAAATGGAGTGAAAAATGGTTTAAATTAAGCCAGAATGACCTGTCTCCTTTGTATCAGCTCCTCCTCCTGAAGCATCACAGTACCTGTAGCAAGTAGCTTACTCATAAGCACTTAGATGAAGAGCCTCTGCATCTAGTGCAACACCCAGTGAATGGCATGAAGGCAAACAGCAATGCTGCCCTGGAAACTTACAAAACAGTAGTTAAAAGTTCTGGAGTGTGCACCACATTGCCAGCAATGGGATGTGTCACAATAACAGATGTCAAAAGAGTTAAACTAATATTTCTCTCTAAAGTACATCTGAAATAGAAAAATCTTTAATATACACCATTTGTAAACAAAATTGCACTTGATTTTGCTTTTTTAAATGATCTGAATCACACTATAACAGTTTCTTTCTTTGAATCATTGCTAGACCATGGCTCTCCTTAACGCAGAAGGACTCTCTCAAAACTACCCTTGCAAGATGTAACCTTGGCTAGCCAGGAAAGGAAAGATAATTAACAATTTCCCCCCATCACCTATGTAACGCCCTAAATAAATAAAAATTACAGGCAGTTGCTCCTGGAGATTACGTATTACAGCACTGATGTCGTAGTTCTTTAGAAGATGTTAAATTTTTTTAGTTTGACAGATTAAACAATTTAAATATTATAGAAGACTCAGGAACAACACACATAAATTGCATAAACATCCATGTCAGGATATGGGAGGGAAAGGGACATCATGTCGTAAATAAGAAAGGTAGATTTTTCTCATCCTATGAACTTGTTTTCAATAAGATGTTCTCCTTGTTCTGACACTTCTCGCCAGCTCTAATGCACAAAGATCAAGGAACAGATCAGGATGTCACTGCCTCCTTTAATCCCATGGAGCAGTGTAGAAGACTGACACAGAGGCTGATCTCCCCCCAGACATTAGCCATCTTCAACTGCAAATCCTTCCATTATTTACTCCATTTTGGATCTTTCAAAGTGTGTGATCATTCGTTCCTAGGGAAAAAGAATAAGTTAATTTTAAGTATATTAACTTTAAATGGTCTACATTACGAGTGTCTTCTACATAGACAATGCACAAACATGTATTTCCCATTGGTTCTTGTTTATGTTAACTACTGAGAGCAATGGCTCCTAACCATAGAAAGACTTTGAGGGGCCTCCCTGGTGGTGCAGGGGTTAAAGTCTCAGCACTGTCAAGCTATCACCAGCCACTGAGGCATGAGTTTGATCCCTGGGCAGGGAGCTGACCCACATGGCACAGCAGACCTCTCCTGTCTTGCCCACTGCTACCCTCAGCAGTGTATTTCAGTAGATCTGCCTGTTCTGCCCCCAACTCTGTCTCTGGTAAATCCTCTCACCCTCCCTCCCTCACCTCTGGCCTAGTCCCCAGTTCTTTGCATAAATAAATAAAAATAAATCTTAAAAAAACCACATAAAAATTAAAAAAAAAAAAAGATTTTGAAACATACAGATGGTCCAGAGTCCACCCCAAATTACATCAATATCTCTAGGTTTCAGGGTATCAAGCCACATATCAAAACGAATTACATTTTTTTGATTATGTAATTTTTTTTATTTTTTAAAAAAATTTACTTTTTACATCATTTTTCATTTTTAAGCAATATTTGCTTCCCCCACCCCCTCAGGTGTAGTCCCATAGAATTTCCTTCCCCAATGCACCCGTGCACCTCACCTCAGTCCCCTGTGCTCCTCCCTGCCTCCCTCTGAGCCCTCTCCCTCCTCCTCCACTGCAGTATGTCTCTGGTTTATAATTGTCTGTTTGCTTTGTTGTACTATTATTATTTTTTTACACTAATGTCATATTTGGTTCTCCTATTTTCCTGCTGTAAATGAAACCATCTGATATTTTTCTTTTTCCTTCTGGCTTATTTCACTGAGCATAATTCCTTCTAGCTCCATCCACGTTGCTGTGAATGGCATGAGTTTATCTTTTTTGATTGCTGAATAATAAGGAATTGCATTTTTTAGTCAATTAAGATGATTACATATTTACTTAAGATTAAGCATTAATAAAAAATGCATACCCTGTCTGACTCAGGAATTTAACTTGACTAAATAGTCAAGTATTTAAACAATCTATGCACATAATTTGATTACTCACCTCATCTGAATCCAGAAGGGCTGGAAGTGCTCTGCAGAGAAAAACACCAAATTGAACAATGTAATATAAAACTAGAAATAGTTCATAAAGGATAGTGGAATAATGAACACAGTTTAAAAAAGCTTTTTTAGTATTATCTAAGATTTATATGATAGCCATTTCAGGGAGAAAAAGAAAATACAAAAATTAATTTAAGAGTCACTGAATTTCAGTAGATCGCCTGTTCTGCTCCCCACTCTGTCTCTGGTGAATCCTCTCACTCCCCCCCTCCCCCACCTCTGGCAAAACACATTCTGCATTGTAATGGGACCAATGTTTAATTGAAAATGTAAAGTCATGAGGAATTAAAAAATGCCAAAGGAATACCCTATCCCATTGATTTTAGGAAGACCTACAGCTAAATGTTTTCAAGCAGAAATGTCATCTGAATGAGTAACTCTTGATTACTTTTGCTTGTATACATTCTCAATCTTTAAATATCTTTTAAACATTTGGTATTCTTTTAAGTAATCTTTTACTTCTAAAAAGTTAACTACAAGCATTCTCATTAGTATGCTCTTTAGCTCATTCAATTAAAACAATAATGTAACACTAAATTTGAAATAGGATTCCTGAAGTAAAGATTCAAAAACTTACACATCTGTCACAGAAGAAGGTACATTCTCTTCTACCCACTTCAAATCATCTTCCGGCTGGGAACATACAAATACTAGCTGTTACTAAAATACACCAAATAATACATCTCTAGAAAGCATCTGAAGAAGTCTCAAAATCTTTTAAATTGGTCTTTGTCACTCTGAAGCACTATATACACCAAACAACTGGGATTGCTAACAAGAAAAGTCAAATAATTCAAAAAATTATATAGCCAAAATATAAACTGATGCCCTACACCCTTAAAACCTTTCTTCTCAATGGCCTAATACCCAGAGTTTGCTTCATGTAAGCTTTGATCCTTAAAATTGAGTTAAGTTCTAAAGTCCTTAATGTAAATGAATTCACAGTTCTTAAATATAGAGACTGAAAAAAAAATCTCAGTCTTTACCAGGAAAAAAAAACCTTAGGTTATTCATGGGACTATGACTTCACTAATGAAAATAAAAGGAATCATCAGACTAATCTGGTAGGTTTTTAGGACATAGTAGCAAACCACTCAGTTAAAGATTACTGGTCCTAGATAGGATCACTTGCTATTTTAAAAACGTAAATACAGCATATATTAAAAGGTTCATACAGCATGCCTAATCACAGCATGTGAAAAGAGAGTCAGTGAGGCCTACACATATAACTGCTGCGCTCCCCCAAGGGCTGAAGGATAGGGCCAACAGGAAAGGAGAAGTCACACTTACTGCTTTGTTTACTTTACTATTTCCATTTGGTTCTTGTTTGGTACTTCTCATTTTCATTCCTTCTGTAGAAGAAAAAATAAAAGTAGATTGGTTAGCCAGGTCAGTGGGGTATTTCTACTGACTGCAAAAATGAATTCAGAGCTTTAAGGTTATTGACAATGAATTATAAAACAGATAATTCTCCACATTACAATCATGCTCGGGAGTTCAAAGTCATACTTTCTGCTCATCTCCAGCAAACAAACTGGACATTCAATGTGTAATTGTTTACTGAATTTACCATGGCTCCATCTCAAGATTCATGCCCTTATTTTCACTTCCCCCTAACTTCACTACACACCAGATTAAGAAATAATATGGTCCTAAAATAACAAACATGTACTTATATCAAAGTATTCTGATTTTAGTATTGTAAATATTACCCTTGTTTTACTCTATTTCTGAAAACCAGGAATGAATATTTAAAACACAAATAAGGGGCCTCCCCTAGTGGCGCAGGCCAGTCTCTGCAGCACGAGTTCAATCCCCGGCCAGGGAGCAACCCACATGGCGCAGCAGACCTCTCCTGTCTTGCCCACTGCTCCCCTCAGCAGTGTATATCAGTAGTAGATGATCTACCTATTCTGCTCCCCACTCTGTCTCTCGTGAATCCTCTCACCCCCCACACCTCTGGCCTATACCTCTGGCTCTTGTGTGCTTAAATAAATAAATCTTTGAAAAAAAAAAAAACCCACAAATAAAAGGTAACTTTTATCACTACCAAAGCTTTCTTTAAGCATCGGTTCCTTCTGCTCATCCTCCTCCTCTTCCTCAGACAATGGTGAAAAGGCAAACCTGACAGAACAAAGTAGAACAGAAAGGCATAAAATCAGAAAACCATGAGAACTGCTCTCTGGATTTTACAGAACTAATTGTTGAACCTGCAATTATTTATAAAATCTTAGTTAATAATAAAATGATTCTTTCCCTGCTCTCACTTGCCTATATTAACAAGGAAGAACTGGCAGTTGTAATTTAAGACTCAGCCACATACAACCTTAGAGATGTTACTTATTCTCGCTGTGACGTTTCCTCACCTACAAATTGGCATAACAGAACATTAGTATAGATGTGTTTTGTGAAAAGTCATTTCAAATAAAGAGCTTAGAATAATACATAATACAGTAAGCACACAGTGCTCACTTACAAGCATGTGCACCACACAGGTAAGCAGATTATCATGTGACTTAAAACCTCAGCCCTCAAACTGGTAGTTAAGAAAGGATGTCCTGCAGCAGCCTCCTGCTCACCTGTCCCTTGCAGGTGTGTCTCCTCACCACCTTTCTCCCTTTGCAAAGCAGCAGAGGCAGCTCTCCTCTCAAGGCTGCCTGCCTGTGAGGTCTCTCTTTTAATAAACCTGTCCCTTTCAGGGGCAGCTCCTACTGCCCGCTTGTGTCTGAGCAAGTGTCCTTTACTTTCCTTGCCTTTTCATAATAAACCTGCCCTTCTGAATATTAAAAAAAAAAAAAAAAAAAAAAAGGCAAAAAGAAATGTCTTGATTGTTGGGAGCCTGCTGCCCGAAAGGGAGCTGGAGTTTTTGGAGAGTACCTGTGTACTCTGCATACGGAGTTCCAGGACGTTAGAAGTTTTTTTTGCAGAACTTCTTCCCAGAACTGACTCCTGTTCTCTGAGAATGTGCCGGCTTGTGAGCATGTTCCCTACTAAGCAGGAAAACTTGTTTTCAGCAGTAATTACTAATCTGTATAAGCAAAAACACAATTGCGTGCTATTTTCTTGTTCCTTTGTTCATATCTGTAATAAAAGCTTGGGCTGGGAGAGTGAAAGGCAGAGCTGCTCTCGATGGCTCTCCCCAGCCTCCCCCCATTGCAAATTCATTTAGACTCCGAGTCTTCATTAATGGCAGAGAACTTCATCGGCTGTCCTGTCAGGGGCACCTGATCTTCTGAGTTGTAGTTCACTTAAAATCTCAGTTTCCCAGTGAAGAGCTGAGAAGATGAAGGTATTGGATACAACTCAGGTATCTTTCCTTTACTTCTAATAGATTCAAAAAAGCAACTGCTCAACAGTTAATCCCTAGAACACTTTCATTTTGAACTCGATCCGTATTTTCCATTTTCCTGTTCCCTATTATTTTCTTTCATTTTTTTAAATAACCAGAAGGCTATTTAAAAGACAAAGTCTTTATAAACCAGGAAAAATACAGAACATCTGTAACCTGTTAGAGGGTTAACAAAAATTCACAGTAACTATCAAAGCAAAAGATGATAGCTGCTGGGGCCTCCCTGGTGGCACAGGGGTTAAAGACAGTGCTATCAAGCTATCTCCAGCCACTGCAGCACTAGTTCAATCCCCTGCTGGCCAGGGAGCTACCCACATGGCACAACAGACCTCTCCTGCCTCGCCTGCTGCTCCCTTCAGCAGTGTGTATTTGCCTGCTCTGCTCCTCAGTCTCTTCTGGTGAATCCTCTCACCCCCCGCACCTCTGACTTACACCCCAGTTCTTGTATGCATAAATAAATAAATCTTTTAAAAAAAAAAAAGACAGATGACAGTTGAAAAGCCATTTACTTGAAAGTCAGAATAAGATGAGAAGGCACATTCTCACTGTATTATGCAGGAAGGCCTGACCAACTCATTCTGAATCAAAAATGAGACAGAAGATTATAAGGAAAAAAAGAAATAACACTTATTGATTTAAGTAACAGCAATCTAATGAAGAAAACCTAGGAATTTTCAGAAGATATTGTAGGAGAGTTAATAGATATGATAAAAAATAAAATGTACGCCTGAATGAGCAAAGGAAGACTGTATCTGAACAGAGAGTAAAATATGAAAGGGTATATATCATGTTAGGTTTTTAACACTGGAGTTTCAAAGAGTGGGCATCATGTTTTAAAAGAGGAGAGAGAGAAAGCCAAAAGGGTTAAAGCAAAAATTTTAAAAAGACTGAAGGGAAATTTGTATAAATAAGCAGAGCTAGAAGTGAGCAGCAGATCTACAGACTGATATAAAGGAAGGTCACCAGAATGTCTAGGTTCTTTCTGAACAGTGTGATTTCATATTTCCTCTATTCTCTTTGACATCTTTTCTCGACTTTTTAAACTTTTTTTTTTTTTTTAAAGGAATTCAAATACTAAGTGAAAAGACAAGGTTATTTTCATGGAGTAAAAAGATGTCATTTATTTTTTCTTCCTAAAGCTTTTATTGGTATGTCTCACTATAAAATTAGCTGTTTGGTTATGCCATCTACTCTTTTCCTTCATCAGTGGTATGCTGCATACTATAAGCTCTTACCTATCTAAATGCAAAAGGGAATAGAGGGAGAAGAGAAAATAAAGACAGGCATATTCACAAAATAAAGAAGCCAATTTTTAAGTAAAAATTGCCTATAATTGGACAAAGCAAATTCACATATGGGTTTTTAATTCTGAAGTCAGTCACATAAGCCTTCATTTCCTCTCTATTATTCAAAGTCAGTTGGGCTACTCACTACAGAAATTGTTCTTTCCTTCTGGAAACCAGGCAGTAAGACCCTCATTACAAGTGTCATAACCTTCCTCCTTTATTAACCCATATAAATATTTATATTATCAGATGTCAGAACTAAAAGGGGCATCCTACCAAATGGCTCAATTCCCCCTCAACATATGTAGAGGAAACCAAGGCTCAGAGAGGTGGGGGCTCAGAGGGGGTGGGGGGGAGGATGCCAAAAATCATAATGCAAATTAATAGAAGAGTGGAGCTATAGGAACCCAATTCTCCTGCTTGCAGACCCAGGGAGTGTTCCTTCCACTATCTGAAAGAACCCTCCACTGTCACCCACTGAACCAACCAGAAGTATGACAAGGCCATTCAATGTAAATAAAGTGTTTAAGAACCTCTGGTTGTTTGCAGATGGTCTCCAGAGAACCATGATGACAAAGAGGATCATGGAGAAGAGCAACCTCCAGATGGCGTCGTCCACCCACAGCTCCCGCCAATCCTAGCAAAAGGGGGAAAAAGTATATTTATATGCATTATCTTAACCATTTGTTCACATAAAATGCACAGAACATAAAGCTCCTGGCATAGAACAAGAATCATTTACTCATTCAACTTATGTTTACTAACAACCTACTATGTGCTAGTAGGCACTATGCTAAGGGCTGAGGATACAAATTGAAGGAACAGTTTCTTCCCTTGTAGTAGTCACTGTTACACGATAAAGAAAAGGCACCAACTGCATGAAGCACTTGACAATGCTTCATTATAGCTCTGAGAATCTTTAGGGAAGCATTTTTACATACAATAAGAAAAAGTAACTTTAGGTTGTTAAAAGAGCATTAGCCATCTCTCCAAAGAAATTCTATTGGCCAGTCTTTGGGCTCTGCTCCTAGGAGTTCGCTTCTATTCAGTTAGTATCCACACATACTTAATGATTAGAACTCTGGATTTCTTATTCAAGAATTTTCAGTTAAGGCAAGATGGGGTTTTGACAGCTTGTAGTTAGAAAATTCTCTCCCACTACTGGGATAGTCAGATCCTTCTCCCCCACAAAACAGAACAAAACTCGCCCTATCATACCAAGCACTTTGTTAATATGGAACACTGAGGAGGAGGCCAACATTCTGATCTTCAAGGGGGAGACCATTAATTGTGTTTAAGATAGTTCACTGTGTTCAAAAATGCATGTGATTATAACTCACCGACTGACAAGTTACTATCCTGAACTTCATGGTTGTCCAGATGATAAACACAATAGATGCTAACAAGAAATGGAAAAGCTGATGTTGGTTTACATCCCCATGATGTTAGTTTACATCCCCAGTTACATTCTCCAGTTCTGGTGAAGTAGAAGCCCACACAGGCCTAACCCTCAACACATGACAATCATTTCCCAGTAGTTATTTTAACAAATTTATTCAATAAAAATTTACTTAACAATTTACAGTAAGCAAAGTCCATGGTAAGTACTCTTGTCAAGTCTGTATTTATGGTTTTATTTAACATCTGGCTACTTCAGTAACCCTCAGAAAAGAAGGTGCTAGAAATATGGCTTTTTCTAGTATTATCAACAATATAGTTTTTCCCTTCCTTTATCCTGAGTATAGTAATACTAATTTTTTTTTTGGGGGGGGAAGGGCCTGCTCAGATGAGAAAAAAGGATGATAAAATGACTGAAACACAAAGAGAGACATTGGTTCCAATCACAGGCCAGACCTATTATCCGTTACAAGGGCCAAAGATGCAGGTAAGCTAACCTAGCTTGCTAGCTTGCTAAGGTTTACCTAATGGCTATATTTCAGACATGCTTAGTGACATATGTAAAAACAATCTAACAGCAAGGTATTTTGATCTAAATTTTTATAATTACTTAAACTAAATATACAAGTATTAATGCCTTCTAAAATTAGGAATCTAAATGCTATATGGGCACTCTAACTTGCCTCAAGGAAAAAAATGCCACAACAAAGGAATGGAGACAAGAAATACTGAGTTGAAATTATATGTAGCTGACTTTCAGTTATTATGCATAAAATAAGTGGTTCTCCATTATTTTCTTGAGCCACAGATTCCCTCGGAGAATTTGACAAAAGCTAAAGACCCCTTCCCAAAGAGAAATGCACAAAATTTTTCTATCTAATTTTAAAGAGTTCACCTATGGCATATCAGATTATATATCTGTTCTAGAAGGACTGCATTTAAACAGCAGGAAGAAATTCCCCGACTTACCTGCCACTGCCAAGATAAGTGTGTTGGTGAAATGTCGGTACAAAGAGAGTTTTACAATGTTTCTCCGAAGTTTTAATAGCTTCATTGTTTGAGTCAGGCTGATAAATATGTGTTTGCAAGTCAAGGAAATCAACATTCAGAAAAAAAACCCAAGTAGTAAATTAACGCTCAGTTTTCTCTGAGTGTGATCTGGGGTCATACTGATAGAGCCACAGATCCCAGAAGCCTTACCGTTCTTTTATTTCCAATCTCACAAATACCGCAATCCTCCCAATGATTAATAAGAAAGTCTTCTCTTTCAATGAGACATTGAAGAGAAGACAGAACCAGGATAAAGCAAGAATATAAAAAATGGGAAAAACACAAAAAAAAGAGTGAAAATATCAAAGAGAAATGAAGACAGCAAGAAGCTTTATAGAGAATGAAGATGACAAAAGTAATGACAAAATGAAGAAAAGGAAATGAAAATGAGTAACAGGCAGGGGAACAAGAGCCAGCATCATCATCTCTTTTTCTTTAAGGTAGGTGGCTCTGTTCTCACTGACCCAGCTAATTCAGTCTAAGGTCATAAATACACTCAGGCCTGCAACTTTCCTTAAGTTCTACACTCAGTGCACTCGTGCCATGTTATGGTATCCACCAAGATAGCTGCCTGAGCTCCCCCGAATTAAAAGGCCATAATCATGAATTACAATTGGCTGAGAATCCCAAGCAGTTAGGCTCTCAAAACAGTGATTCTCCATTGGCAGAACATTATTCCCTAGTAGAAATTACCATAGGCAGACAGAAGGGGAACTCATGTCTACTAAAGATGGTCTCTGCTCTCATATCCAACTTTCAGGATGAGCTGATTTGCAGATAATTAAGGTGGATCTCGGTCTACCCTTTGACAGAGCTTAGTTACTAGCTAGTCACTTGGTTATTGTCCTGTGTGGTCCAGTCTCCCCTTCTTTTCTATTCCTCCCAACATTCAGAGAGTCACAAAAGTGCATTTGAAAGATACTAACCTAGTATCTTTTGGTCATTTGGACTCAGGACACTGCAAACATTTTTGCTATGTGTCAATCAACTCAAATTCACAAAATTATAGTTTTGTTCATATTCCACTTTTTATAAGAACCCCACAATCAAAACAGTAATTTGCATATTTGCATTGTACATAGGACCAGATATACAAAAACCAAAACAAATTCAAAATAACATCCTAAAGGTCCAAAACGTGAATCCTTCATCCAACAGGTCAAGTTCTTAATAAATAAATTTTAATTTTAAGAAGCAGAAGGAAACAGATTACTGAAATAGAAACTTGTTATCGGGTTGACTTTGGCTATAAATGAATCCGTAATTTCAAACAGTGGCAGTCTTCAGACATTTCTAAGTCACCTTTTGAATTAGGATACAAAACATGTAAGGGTTAAAGTCTACTAAACCTACATAGAATTTTAAGAACATCAACCAAGTTTTTCTATAGTTCCTGAAGCCACATTTAAGAATCAAAGTCTTTTCATAATTTTCAAAGTATTTAATAATTGCTGGTGCCTGAAAGGGACAGCAGAATCAGAGTAGTCAGTGATTCTAATACTAAGCAGGATGCACAATTAAGTCCAAAATCAAGGTGGAATGGTCATTAAAAAAAGCGAGAGGCTTTTCTCTTGTGCTCAATCCATAATCACCAACTTCAGATGTCTGTCTGAGCCCCGGTTGGACTATAAATACCCTATCCCCCAGACTAAAGAGTAATCAACAAAACTGGTAAAAATCCATTGCAGATAGATCAATGGACACCCATGTCCAAGGGGAGAAAATGAACCGCCATCAAAGAAACCAATGAGAAGGATATCCACCAGCACAGGGCAGTGTCTAGGAAAGCCAGGGGGATAAAGGCCAAGGAAGCAAGATCAGTCTGGGCCTGCTGACAAAGAAAAAGAGGTAGTAAAAAAGAGATGTCTAGAGAAGCACAGAGAAGAAACCACCACAGGATTCTGCATTTTTATAATCATCTGGAATGGTTTTGTATTTGAATTGATAGAAAATAAAAATGAGTAATGCTTGAAACCAATATTATTCTTCCCCTCTGACAAACCATCACATAGAATATACAGCTGTAAGCATTTCATACAAACTGTAGATTACAATCTCAATATAATAAAACATGCTGGTAACAAATAAGAGGTGACCACCAGGATTACAGAGCAAAGATCCATGGTAAGAAGTGACCACATCAAAAAAATCATGGTATAATAAGCCCCATCCCATCCCAACATTTCCTATCGTTGTGATTTTTCACTACAAGTCTATAAAGACCCTCTCACTCTAAAATAAAATGTAAGGCAGGAATCTATCTTCAAAACTATGAGCTTCAAAACTTTCGCAAGTTTACACACACACACACACACACACACACACACACACACACACGTTATTTATAAAGCCTAATTCCCCAATTAGCAGGATATTATTCAAAGGATATCCATAAAATAATACAGGCATCAATTGCTGAGAGGGCCAGGTTTACTATCAGAGTCAAGGGATAAGAAAAATACTATAGCAGCAGAAGAAAGAATTGACAGAGGGTTAAAGTTGCTAAAAGTCTAAGAAAATTACATAATGAATACAGTGTGGCTTAGAAAAACAAATTTGTATCAGTAAACGGTTTTACTTAAAGGACAGCTTACTGCAAAATTTACTGAACCAAATTTTCCTGAGGGCAAAGTTAAGTTTAAACCATTTACCACTTTGAAGCCAACAGGTTATTGTAGAGAGTAATTTTTTAAAAAATAATTACTGGAATAACCTAGGGAAGCCCATTTCACATTAACATAAATTTATCACTTACATCTCCATGCTTTCATTTCCTTCCCTGGCAATCATATAATTCTCAAAAATGATGTGATACTTAATCAGCTGTATTTTATGAAAGTCTTTGAAAGTCAAGTGCCTGTAAACTACTGTCACTTGAAAACAAAAATCAGACTAACCAGTAAGTGCATGATCACAATGTCTGCAACTACAAGAATGAGAGCCCACAGTCCAAGAGGCAGAACGAAATAAAAATCAACTTGGGGACAGGTGGGAAAGAATTCATTTCTAGTCACACATTAAATTTATAAAGCTCTGATAGAGTGAAAAGAAAAATGAAACAAATACATTTTGAAAATCAGAATCCAGAGGTGACTTAGAGAAAACAGTAAAGAAGCCCACAGATAGTTCAAATTGACCCTCTCATGACAAAAAAACAGTATATCTGAACTGACCACAAAAACTAAGATTAGGTAATACTCACCCCAGTAACTCTGAGGACCCCTTCCATACCAGAGAACAAAAGATAAAGGGCGCCTGCCACCACAACCTTGTGAAGAGTGACGCCAAGGCGAGGCCTAAAGCAGCAGCAAAGCAACAGTTTGAGTACAAAAGCGACAAACTCTAGAGAACCCAGGTAAAAGGAACTTGTGTTAACTTTTCAGGCCAACAACCTGACAGATAAACAAGACATACCTGATTCACCTGACAATAAAAGATGCTTAGAGCTCCCTGACCTCCTGGGGATCTTAGCTTAAATGTCACTAAGTGAAGACTTTCTTAACCACTCTATATACCATTACAAACTTCACCTCCTGCCTAGCATTCTCTATACCCTTTCCCAGCTTTCTCTGTTCCGTAGTACTTATCACTGACAGATTAACATTTTACTCACTTATTTTTCTGTTTCCTCCCTCCACAAATGTAAACTCCAAGTGTATTGTCTACTTCCTGTATCCCCAGGAAGCAGAACAATGCCTCATATATAAAACATACTCAAAATTTTTGTGACTAAAACATAATTTTTAGACTATTACAGCAAGATTGTTTGCCCTATTAAAAATTCTGTTTTGTGGGCCTCCCTGGTGGCGCAGCGGGTTGAGCACAGAGCTATGAAGCTGTCTGCAGCCTCTGCAGCGCAGGTTCGATTCCCAGCCAGCCAGGGAGCTACCCACCTGGCACAGCAGACCTCTCCTGCCTCGCCCGCTACTCCCCTCGGCAGTGTATTTCAGTCAGTCTGCCTGTTCTGCTCCCCACTCTGTCTTTGGTGAATCCTCTCACCCTCCCACGCCTCTGGCCTGTACCCCAATTCTTGTATAAGTAAAAAAAAAAAAAAAACCTGATTTGCAAAAATACTTTGGAAGAGTTAAGTCCCTATAAATTCAATCTAAAAGTTTGGTGTTTCAACATCATTCACCACATTTTCAGACGCGTCTTGAGTTCTAAGTAGTGAAATGAAACACTAACATTATCCAACTTTTACAAATCTACAAAATTTCAGATACCTTTTATTTCAGAAATCACTCTTATATCAACTGTTTCCAAACTACTACACTGGGAACCTGCAAAACTGTTAATTTAATCAGCATTTTAAAGCACTCTCCGACACAGAAAGTTAATACTTACTTGACTATGCCATATCCCAGACTGACTATGATGACCAATGTTCGAGCCAATGAGCGTTTAACTGCTGAGAGCAGCTCTGCCAGGATGAGGGCTCCTTGGACTATTAGAAATAAGAAAGGGGGAAAGGGTGCTGTAATCTAGGTTTGGGAAAAGGCATGCCTCTAGAACCAGAATGTAGACTAACATGCTTCAGCGCAAACACTGATACTAATCTTACTAAACGAGAATAGCTCTTCTGCAATTCTGTAAGCACACAAGATGCTATCACTTATGACCTTACTCATTTGTACAGCAATCTGAGTGTAATCAATTACCTTTTCTTGTCACCTTCCACACGTCCCTAAAACCACAGCAGAATACCTCACCCTACACCGATAGTTATAGCATCTAGGGGATTTTTTTCTCTACTTTTTTTAAAATAGCGAAATATAGTTATACATAGAAAAACACAATACACACACACAGTTTTCAACTTATATGCACATCTACTTTTTTCAAGTCCTTTCAAAGACGAAAGTTCTTATTAGTATAGCTTATAATAGTTAATAATAATTCAATGGCCTGAGGAGAGAGAACTGTAGCTATGATAAAAAAACTTCTGTACAAAGCAGTTACTGTCATTATCTAGTTGCCTTTCTAAACTATAAGCACCCTTTTATTTTACCAATTCTTAAATGCAAACCCCCAACATTTTTAACATCCTTAAAATCAAGTGTCTATTGCAATGCTATCTTACAACTAAATAGGCAGTATTTACTTTCTTATATGTAGATTAATAGTGATGCCTTATATGTAGGTTAATAATGATACCTTAAAAATCAATGACAGTTTAGATTCAGTAACTGTTATAATCTTCCTCAAACAGTCACTACTGTTATATATTCTTTTTTTTAAGATTTATTTTACTTATTTACGCATACAAGAGCTGGGGTGTAGGCTAGAGGTGTGGGGAAGTGGGTGAGAGGATTCACCAGAGACAGAGTGGGGAGCAGAGCAGGGCAGATCTACAAAAATATACTGCTAAGGAGCAGAGGGTGAGAGAAGAGAGGTCTGCTGTGCCATGTGGGTCAGCTCCCTAGTCAGGATCGAACTCATGTTGCAGTGGCTGCTGCTAACTTCAGAGTGCTGAGACTTAACCCCTTGTGCCACGAGGAAAGCCCTGTATATTCTACTTTGTGAATATATTTCAGTAAAATTACTCTTAAATCACTAATCCCCTAGTTATAAGAATAAAAATGTAAGTCACAACCACAGTGACTGCTTTAGAAACTACTATAATTAACTGAAAAGTTAAATCTACTCAGTGACTGCTGACCTTAGGAAAATCGCCACATACACCTACCAGTCACTCAGACACTGGCAAATATTTTTTGGTTACGTACCAGATTCTCCTTTGTATCGAATATTCTGAAATTCTGCATAGAAGACAGCTTTTTCAAGCATCCCCAGGAAAATGACAGCACCGATCCAAAACTGAATTCTCAGGAGATCTCTCCAGTAGCAGGCAGACCATGCCAGCCACAGAACACCAAACAGGACATATACAATACACATAACCATGAAAAACTGTCATCCAAATGGAAAAGAGATGAAAAGGAGGATTAGGGGTCAAGAGACAATTTAGAATCAGTACATAGCCTTAACTACAAAAAAATAACATTATACCCCCATTTTAAAAATAATTTTTCTATTTCTTTGGAATTCAATACTAACATCAAAAATTATCTCCTCTAAAGCAGAGGAGACTGAGGACTTGTCATCAAGAGTAACTGTTATCCTGTATCAAAAGTTTTTTAAGCTCACATAAAAATATTATAAAAAGACAATACTATAGAGGAAAAAAAGCATGCCAGGGTTAGTATATATCTGAAGGGAATGAAATAATGACAAAGTGGGAAAACTAAAAAAAGAGAAATGAAGAAGGAAAAAAAAGATCACAAAGGAAACTTGAAAATACATAAAGGAAATTCCCAGAAAGAAACTCACACACACTGAGAAGAAAGAAGTTTTGTCATTTAGTTACTTATAGTCAGAAACTCTAAGGTTTTAAGAAGTGCCCCTCTTTGGATCCTAGAGAGAATGTGAGATGTGAAATGACCTTTGAGGTACTTTCTAACTCTAAAATCCAGGAGTCATTGATCTCTTCATTTTACAAATCAGAAAATGAGGCACAGAGGGGTTTGCTGACACTCCCAAGGTCACGTTCTGCTAGGAAGTACAGATCTACAAACAGTATTTTCTGGACTACACAGAAACAATTCTTTAAAAAAAGAGTATTATCACAACACATAGGCAATCTTTTAAGTTAAACTGATCTAATGTTGAGGTTAAAGAATATGATTTCCAAAATCAACAAACAACTATAAACCAGAGACACACTCTGGGGGAGGGGTGGGGGTGAGGGTGAGGGAGGAAAGATTAGGGTCAAAATAAGAGGGGTGGGTACTGTATGGGAAATATAACCAAGATGAAAATGCATACATTGTGTAAAAATGAAAAATGATGTAAAAAATATTAAAAAAATATGATTTCACTTACAATCATCAATGGATACTCTTCAAGCGTGAGGTATTCATAGGGACCCTTTACTTCAACAGTCACTGAGAAAACACAGTCCTCAGAATTAATGTAAGGATGCAGAAATTAACTAAAACATTGTCTAATATTTGCTTGATGAAATAAATGAAAAGTTCATTGGTCACAATCCTTACATTCGCAGAACACTCAGAAAGTAAAGAGTTCTCATAGTTCATACTATACCCCACATAGGCCATCACACGTAACTCTGCTCGAGTCAGTATATGAAGTGGAAAGGCCCTTTGTTCCCAAGCTCACAACCTTTAAGAACTAGACACTCAGTTTCAGGATGCCCAACTGAAACTATGCACCATCTCTTCCAAATTCCAAACACATTTCATATCTACTTATCCTAACAACACATCACTTTGAGAAGTATAGAACTTCATTCTGCCACCCTTCTGTCTTCCATCGCTCCTTACCTATATTTTCCTAATATTATTATTTTACCTACTTCCGTTTTATGTCTTTGCTATACAAATGTATTATTTTCAATAAGTGCTTAATAACACAAAGTATTTAGTGAAGCACAGCAAGGGACAGTAACAACAATCTGAAAGACTGATTTCCATACTAAAGCAAACCTATGACTATTTTTAAATTATAACTGATAAAACTATTTGGGTAAATTCTAGCTATGATTAATAAAAAACTGATTTATCTGAAAAGTAATAGTTCCAGAAACAAACTAAAAACTGCCTATTCAACAAAAATTTCCTATTGATTACATGCGATAAAAAGGGCACACTATTATGGAAAGTAAATAAGGTCCAATATTTATATGAACAAAAGTTAACATCCCAAAATAGCAGCCATGAAAATTTCATAGCAAAACTTCTTAATTTAATTAAAGACCATATAAAGTAAGCAGTAAATATTTGTCACATTTTTTGCTAATTCTATGCTAGGGGTCAGTAAAATATAGCACATGAACCAAATTCGGTCATCTACTTTTTATAAATAAAAGTCTTATTGGAAAGCAGCCACATCCACTCACTTACACATTGCCTTTGGTTGCATTTGTACCACAATGGCAGAGCTAGGAATTTGTTGGTATAGAGAACTATCTGCCCCTTTAAGAAAAAGTTTGTTGACCCCTGCTCTATAGTAACATATAATGTACATTCACTGAACACTTTCTATGTGACAGGCACTATGGAAAACATGTGCTAGAAAGATGAGTAAGATGTTTTATGCCATCTAGAAGGGAAAGGGAGTTGAAAAGCAACAGAGAGACTACTGTACCTGTGAGCTAGATCCAAACAAGTATGTGCATTTTCTAGGACAAAGGAAAAGGCTATCTGGACAGAGGATATAACATGAACAAAGACAGTATGAAAATGCATGATAAATTTAAAGAACATGTTAGTCTGGGACTTCACATAGGTACCATATAGCCACATTTTCACACAAGGCAATGAAGGGCTAGCTGGTAAGTTGTAGAATTTTCTTTAATAAGTCTTACTCCAGAATGTGGATATTTTACAGGCAATCAGGAGACAGCCAAGGTTTTAATGAAGGGAAAAAGATAAAAACTGTTTTAGAATGAGAGTTCTAAGACTTTCACATGGTATAGTTGAGCCCATGCTTTGACGTGCCCTCTTTTTAGCTCTAAACAGCAGATGGATAAAATATAAAGAGAAGCAAAGAGGATATAAAGCTCAAAAACATGTTTAACATCTCCAAATATCAACACTGAATAGAAACTTAGAACAGTGCATGAGGCTGAATACATGGTAATACTGGAGAGCTCTAAAGCAGGCTACAGTAGTTGGAAGAGCAGGAGGTCCAGAGCCAGATTTGATGCACAAAGAAGATGGACTAGAATAGAGCAGGGATGCTCCTCCAACCTCTTTAAATAAAGAAGATGAAAATTAATGTTGGCAACTGCTCCCTGAAATCATTACTCATTAGAACATGGGCCTAAAGACACAGGGGATATACATATGTCTTAAGTCCACGAACTGTGCCAGGCCACCCACTGGTTGCCTATATCTGCTGTAGCCCATATTACTATGCGTTAGGAATGAACCATTCAACCCAATAATTCATAAAAATGAAAGTGTAAAATCAAGTCAAATGAAAGAAATAGAGGTAAATGTAGAAACTCGTTAACAAAGAAATAATTGGAAAAAATAAAGTCAAAAGCAGATTCATTGGGATAAAAATTGAAGTTCTATAAAGATTTAAGAGGTTAAAAATAGGAGAGGACAGTTAGCACAATAGACTTTGTGGCAGACTATGGGTGACTGGTGGTGGGTACACTATGGTGGCAATACCTGAGGGGGCGAGCCTATACTTCCAAAATACCAAAAGGAATGTAATGCACTGTTACTTCAATTTTAAAAAAACAACACATTTTTTAAAAAAAGAAGTTAAAAATTAAGACACAAAGCAATACTGAGAATAAAAAGGGCTATAAATATTTTCTGATGAAGAAATATCAATAACTTCATGCTAATACATTTGAAATCTTGAATGAAATGGGCAATCTTCCCCTCCCCCCCAAAAAAAACCACAAAACCCTGACGCAAGGAAAAGCAGAAAAACTAAAGTTAACATTTATTAAAGAAAATGAATCAGTTGTTTAAGTCTGGGAGGTGGAGCGGGAAGAGCAGAGAGACAGTAGGCTGAAACACCATCATAGTGAGGTCTACCATTCAAGGAATGGGTAATCCTATCCTTACAAAAACCACTCTGCAGATATAAAAAATAGGGGACTTTCCTCAGTTCACTGTATGAGCCTAGCACAAGCTAGATGTCAACCAGTAAAAGACAGTATGATAAAATAAAATTATAGACCAATCTTACTCTGAACATAGACAAAAAACTAAATAAAATTCTAGAAAATGGAATCCAGCAGTGTGTGTGCCAAGACAAGTAGTGCTATTGCAGAAATTCAAAAATGAGTTAACACTAGAAAAGCAGTTAATATAACTCATCAATTAACAAATGAGGAAATCTATGATTATTTTAATCACTAAAAGCAAAGTATTTGACAAAATTGAGCATCATTCTTAATACCAAAAAAACTCAGTAAATTAGCAATAGAAAGGAATATCCTTTTTTTTTAAGATTTATTTATTTATGCATACAAGAACTGGAGTACAGGCCAGAGGTACGGGAGGGTGAGAGGATTCACCAGAGACAGAGTGGGGAACAGAACAGCCAGACTTAGTGAAAACACTGCTGAGGGGAGCAGCAGGCAAGTCAAGAGAGGTCTGCGTGCCATGTGGGTAGCTCCCTGGTTGGCCGTGGATGGAACTCGTGCTGCAGAGGTTGCAATAGCTTCATAGTGCTGTGCTTAACTCCTTGAGCCACCAGAGATGCCCAGAAAGGAATATCCTTAACCACATAAAGAACATTTTGAAAAACTACCATAAACATTGTAATGTTTAGTGGTGAAATATACCAATATTCCAATAAAGCCAGGAGCAAGTTTCTATTCAATATTCTACTTGAGACAGTAGGGGAGGGAAGAAAACTACAAAGAAAGGGAAGAAACAAAACAAGAAAATAGAGGAAGTAAAAGCCAATTAGTAAGTTATTCCAACATTCCAAGTAAGAGATAATGACCCATAAACTGGGCAGCAAGAGTGAAAAAGAAAACTAAGAAACACTGAGATGTTAAAAAATTACCAGTCGATTAAAAAACTTCCATGTTTCGATTTGGCAGCCAAGTTTTGCTAGAGTTCACAACACTGAAAACATGACACCAGTTTAAAAATTTTTAAGCAGGGGGAGCAAATGAAGGAAAACGAAATCTAGTATCCATAATACATGCTAAGGAAATATGATGTCAGAGACTGTCTGGTACACATTGGTGCAGATAAATGTTAATTTCTCTCAATTTTTTTTCCTTCACTACATTCTTAATGAGTTATTCACTCTTTTAAAACAATTTTAGACTATTCACCACGCAGGACACCACTAGATAACATTAACACAAATGTTAAAAAAGAAATGAAATGAACTTACTGGTAAAAAGATTACTTAGTAAATTTTCTCTTGATGGTTCCTTTGAGGATGAAATGCCAATATGTACAATAAAAATGTATGGTGCATCTTGCCAAGTTTTTAATGGTTCATGCATCACCTAGAGGGGGAAAAAAAGGCATCAAATCTTCAAATTTTAAGTTAAGAAAAACTAGACAAGTTAATATGATTTTTTTTGTTCCAGAATGTGCCCAGAAACATGGTAGAATCCTTCATTTTCATTCATTAGACTATTAGGCACAACTAAACAGTCCTATAGTGTTTACAATAAAGTAAGTTAAATTATAAATTACTAAAATATAAGTCATCCTGTATCTTGTTATACCCAAAAATCGTAACTTAAAAGAAAATTTTACTTATTACAGGAGAACCTCAACTAAAATCACTGCATTAAGTCTGTTTAAGCCATGTTAGGATACTAGATTATATTTTACAGGTATCCTAAACAAACTAAGGCGGTTATTTGAGTTACCTAAAAAAATCCAATTCCTAAATCTAAAAACCTAAATCACCTAAAAAACCAATTCTTGTAATCCCCTTGTTCAAAGCTCTAAGACTTTCCAAGACTTCTACTTACAAAGACATTTATATGAAAAACTTCATCTTGGGCCAGTCTATGTCAGATGCAAGAGTCGCTGTCTCCACCCACTCCTGCTGTCTTCTCCCCCATTCCTTCCATCCCCCCACTCCATCTCCCCATCAACGTCAAAGAAGTAGAGTTAGAGTGCTTGTTTACAGAACCAGTTTCTTAGAAAGAATCTGTTTAAGGCCAGTTGCCATACATTCAATGAACTCAAGACTTTCACAAACACAAGACTAAGACACAAAGACAAAGATAAACTTAGAAAATGGGTGGCTTTTTCCTTGTGTGTGAAAGGAGGTACTGTTTTTGTTTCCTTCTGGTCTTACAAGAAGCTTTTACCCAGAGATCTCTAGGTAAGCATCACTGACCTATAAAGCCCCTCAAAGTAGACAACAGATTTTGCCCATTTTTTCATCTTTCTGTAGAGTTCTGAGTTTTCTCAAAAATGAAAATTGCCCTGCAATGCAAGAAAAGGCTAAACAAGAACTATAAAATTACATTTCATGATACAAGTATCAAACAGACTGAAGGATTCTTCAGCTATACGTTTGGTAGGTTATCTCAGTAATTGAAGAACATTTATGGCATGCTGAATCATATATTGATTTGTCTCTCCCTAATAGGTTCTTTCTGACAAATTAAGGAACAGGTTGTGAGAAAATATTATAGCTACATAGCCATAAATATACCACATGTTGTACTTACTCATAATTAACAGAACTTACTTGTTCATTAACCAATAAAACTTTGGTGTGATACGATGCTGTTATTAATTTTATGTATCTTAAAACTACTTCTTACAAATTTCAAAAGAAACTGAATACTTCTTATATTCCAGGATAAATCAAAGTTTACATTTAAACTTCAGAATATAAATATTTAGCTAGCTAAGTAAAAATAATATTTATATGTTAGGTTCTCTATTAAAACATGTGATATTTATTACAGTCTTAAATGCTCACCAGATACCTGTCACCCTCTCAGTTAGGTACAATTACAGCGCCTTTTTTCTTACTGGGACAATTTCCTATAGCATAAAATTCACAGTCTTACTTTAATGTGAATAATACAATGGCATTTGGTCATTCACAATGTTGAATAAACATCACTCTATCTAGTTTAAAACATTTTTCATCATCTCGAAGCAGACCCCGAACTCATTAAGCAGCAACTACTCCGTTTCACCCTCTCTATTCCCTGCCCCACTTGAAACCACTAACCTTCCTGTCTCTATGAACTTGTCTGTTACAGATATTTTATATAAATTGAATCATTCAATAGGAGGCCTTTTGTGCCTGGCTTCTTTCTCTTAAAATGTTAAACTACATAACATGGATCAGTGCTATCTCCACTTTTATGGCTGAACGCCGTCCCACCATATGGATATGCAGCATGTTGTCTATTCTTACCTGTGTGGGGTCTGCCTGACCTTTGTGAGCCTCTTGATATTTTGGATTTATGATTTTAACAGGCTTGGGGTTTTTTGCTCAATATTTCTTCAAAGATCCTTTCTTTACCTTCCTCTTCTGGTGAGAATCTCATGCTGTATGTGTACGCTGGTTCTTTTAAGTGCCCCACAGGTTTCATTGGCTCTGCTCATTTTTCTTTTTTCTGCTCCTCAGACTTGACAATCTCAATTGACCTGTCTTCAAATTCATTCTTTCTTCTGCCTGAGCAAATCTGCTGTGAACCCCTCTGGCCAATTTTTCATTTTTGCTGTAATTTTTAGCTCCAGAATTTTTATTTGGTTCCTTTTGTATAGTTTTTAATCCCTATTTGGGGAGACTATACTCTTCTGCTTCATTCATGAGGTTTTTATTTTTTTTTTAATTTATTTTTATTTTATTTATGCAAACTAGTACTGGGGTCTAGGCCAGAAGTGCAGTGGTGGTGAGAGGATTCATCAGAGACAGAGTGGGGAGCAGAACAGGCAGATCTACTGAAATACACTGCTGAGGGGAGCACCCATTGAGACAGGAGAGGTCTGATGCGCCATATGGGTCAGCTCCCTGGTCGGAGATAGAACTCCGGCCCCCCATGCCACAGTGGCTGGTGATAGCTTGACAGCACTGAGACTTTAACCCTTGTGCCACCAGGGGGGCCCCTTTCATTTATGAGCTTTTTTAAGACAGCTGATTTAAAAATTCTCCAAGTCTTTAACAGGCTTCCTAAAAGGCATCTTCTTTTTTTCTTTTTAAGATTGATTTATTTATTTATACAAGCATTGGGTAGTCAGAAGCGCGGGAGGGTGAGAGAATCCACCAGAGCCAGAGTGGAGAGCAGAACAGACAGACTGATGAAATACACTGCTGAGGGGAGCAGTGGGCGGCAGGAGAGGTCTGCACGCCATGTGGGGTCCTCGCCCGGTGGCCGGGGATCGAACCGGTGCTGCAGAGGCTGCAGGCAGCTTCGCAGCCCAGTGCTCAATCACCGCACCACCGGGGAGGCCCAAGGCATCTTCTATTAATTTTTTTCCCCTGTGAACAAGACATACTTTCTTCTTTCATAGCATGTCTCAGATTTTTTTTGTTGAAAATCAAACATTCTGCATATTATAATGTGGCAACTTTGAAAACCAGATTCTCCTCCATCACTGGTTTTTGTTGTTGCTGCTTATGTGGGCTGGTGTTTGTTTAGTGGCTTAGGAAAAACCATTTTTACAAAGTCTGTACTGTTGTCCTATGTAGCTACTAGAGTCTGTGTTCCTTTAGCTTACTGGTGAGTTTTGACAAAATTTTTCTTAAACATCTAGAACCAAAAACAAAAAAAGGAAAAGGAAAAGCATACTCTCCTAGTCTTTGCAGATTGGAACAATTCATGGCTTAAGCTACTCCAGTTAAAACCCTTCTTAGGCTTCACTTTTTCGCTTTTGCAGAATCTGAAGTTCAGCCAGAGGTGGAAGCTCGTGATTGTCTAAGGCCTTTCTGAGCATGCTTCCAGTCCCAGTGGAATTCTCAATTCCCCACCATAACCAGGGTCTTTTTTTCTTTTTAAGAAGGCTTTTTTCCCTCCCACATTTCTCTTTCCCCAATCACTTCATTTTAGAATGTACCTATTGCTTGCCCTGGCTCATGTCTTTCTCTATCATGCTGCAGCCAATACTTTTACCTTCAAGTGCTTTCGCCAAACACAACCCAGGAAACCACCCCAGTCCTGGGAATGCTCTGAGTCTGGCAGAACAAAGGCAAGTCCTCGCACAGGTCCTACAAGGAGTCACCAGACAGGTCAAATCACACAACCACAGTTCTCTGAGCACAAGATTCACATTCCCCCTCTTGCACTAGCCCCAGGACTGCAGTGGCTATTCCCCTCACTGCTCTGTCACAGGGGATGACCAGCATCTAACAGGACCAGCGTGCTCGCGTAATGGATTACTGGGGCATTCTTTCACTGTTATTTTAAGTTTTCACTAGATTCCAAAGTTTTATAAAAGCTGAATCTGGCAGTTTTTGCCAACTTAGTAGCTAATTTTGTGGAGGATGGAGTCCAGGGAGGGAGACTGGACTTCCCTCTTCCAGGATTCTTGGTGACATGACTCTAATCACTCCATTTTATAATGTAACGAACTGAGGCAGAAGAGAATATTTTTTCCAAAATAAGAGGTAAGTTGTAAAGTTGGACTTCGAGTAAGATCTGACCTCAGGACCTATGCTCTTAACTACCACCTCCACTATTAAGTATCTTCCTCTCCTTCAAGAAATTTTCAAAAACAGTGTCTTCGTGGTATTGCCTTAAAATTACAATTCTCCTTCAACAGAACTTTCTAACACCATTAGTAAGACAAAATGATTAAAGCCATATGTGACTATCTAATTATCAGTGCTTTCAGAACTGTTATACTACAAAGGTAGTCTTGTTTCCAATACATTTTGCTTCTATTTTTCATTAAAATTATATCATCTTATATAAAATATATGTATAATGTCAGAATATATGTATATATAATGGCTACAAAACTAAACACACTCTTACTACACAATCCAGCAGTCACACTCCTTATATTTACCCAAATAAGAGGAAAACTTATGACTACACAAAAGCCTGTATACATATGTTTATAGCCGTTTTATTCATAGTTGCCAAAACCTGGATGTAACCAAACTGTCCTTCAGTAGATGAATGGATAAATAAACTGTTACACATCCTGACAATGGAATGTCAGTCAGCACTAAAAAGAAATGAGTTATTAGGCTATGAGAAGACATGGAGAATCCTTAAATGCATATTACCACGTGAAAGAAGTCAGTCTGAAAATTCAACCTATTATATGAGTCCAATTATACAACATTCTGGAAAAAGGAAAAATACGGAGACAGTAAAAAAATCAGTGACTGCCAGAGGTAGGAAGGAAGGATAGATGAACAGGTGGAGCCTATGAGATTTTTAAGGTAATAAAATTATACATGACATTAGAATGGTGGATATAGCTATCATCACTCATTTGTAAAAGAATATAAAGCACAAATAATGAACCCTAATGTAAACTATGGAATTTGGCTGATAATGATGAGTCAGCGTAGGTTTACTATAACAAATGTACATATTGGTACAGGATGTTGACAGTGGGGGAGGCTGACAGTGCAAGTGTAAAGGTAGATTTGAGAACTCTGGGTTTTTTGCTCAATTCTGTTGTGAATCTAAAACTATGCTAAAAAATTCAAACCTACTAATTTGAAAAACATTCTAAAGGTAAATATACCACATTTCTGCCTAAAACATATCATAAAACTAAGTTAATCAAAATATTAAAGTGTTTTATTTCTTAAGAGGAAGAGATGGCGAGAGCAACTTTCCTCAAAAAAAAAAAAAAAAAAAAAAAAACCCAACCTTTTGGTACTCCAGAAATTCAAGACTTCCAAAAAGCCAAGGAGTGTTTCCTCAAGTAAGAATCTTTTTCTCAAGGAAAATGAGCTTGAGATGTTTTTTCTTCAGCCTAATCTCACGTCCCTCTTCCAAGTCCCTAAAACTAAAATTCTCCTAACAATAACGGATGTGAAAAGCAGAATTTTGGCAGCTAGTGGGAACAACAACCACCACCAAAAACAAACAAACAAACAAACAAAACAGGTTTGGAAGTTCCTTTAAGGTCAAAATGCCAGGGCAGTCAAGCAGGTACAGAAAAGTCCATTCCCAGGGTTTACTTTTCATATATTCAGACTCAGAACTCATTCAGTGGGAAGGACCTTATACTCAGGGTATTGTTAAAAAACACTCAGCAGCAATAGTGAAAGATCACAGTCATGTGAAGTAATAGTATTAGGCAAGGAAAACAAGAGACCAACTAAAAACATAAAAGGAAAAACTGAAAATGATATGTTCACAGAGGTTTTGAAAAACTCCAAATTGTTCCTGGAAATACAAGTACACTCAGGGTTATGTGGTTATGTGCAAAACTATGTGCACATGCCCAAGAGACTGAAAAATGCCCTTCATTAACCTCTGGTTGACATTAAAGGCTCTGGGCAAGAAAAAAATTAAGTTTTAAATTGGAAAAGAAACCAGATACAGGGTCACAAATTGTACCACTCCATTTTTATAAAATGAACAGAACTGGCAAATCTAGAAAAACACAAGATAAGAGGTTATCTATGGCTGGGGGAAGGGAGGAATGAGTTATTACTCCTTAATGACAGTTACTTGTTTGGGTGATAAAGATGTTCTAGAATTAGTAGTTGGTGGTTACATAACTTATAAATACATTAAAAATCACTGAACTATATGCTTTCAAGAAATAACTTATGACAAATCTACTATGTACATAAAGTTGCTACAAAATTAGTATTTTAATCAGTTTTATAAAATGCATAGCTAACTATCTTATTCCTTCTATGCTTAACTGGCAATGTCTTAAGGAATTAATAATTTGAATTAGAAAGTGAATTATGAAAATTTAAGGGATATTTGTAGACCAACTTATTTTAATTTTCTAAACTTTCTTCTAGTTACAGTCTATAGGTGGAACTTTCTTAAAAGCTTCTTCCTCTTTAGAAGTACTATTTATAGGGTGATAATTACAAAAACAGAAAGACAGATTGCAGCAAACACAAAAAACACAAAAAAGAAAATAAAAATTCCTAGTATCATCCAGAGACAATCATTATTAACTTTTTGGTGCATAGCTCACATTCTTAAGCCTCTTTTTAGCATGTGAAGATAATTCAAAATATACAAACAAAAAAATTTTTTTTTTAAATTAAAAAGAAACAAAATACACGAACAAAAAACTATGTATCCATGCCCCAAATTCTCTACTGTACTTACAGTTTTGTCTCCAGTAAAGGTAACATTCGTTCCATTCTCCTTAGCCTTTAAACATTAAAAAAAGAAAAAAACAATTAATTCAGAATTTTTACTTTATTTTCAGAAATATATAACAAGGAAAATAATTACCTCCTGTCTTTCTCCTAAAAGGGGTAATCGATGCACAAAGTCCCCAGAAAAGCTCTATGAAAGAAATATAAAACTAAAATTAAAGATTTATAATAGCAAAAGGTAGGCAAACATTTACAGAAATTGTTAAAGCAAAACAATATTATATGGCATTGACAGACAAAAGGTTTCCAGTTAACCACAAACAAGTAAATAAAACCCTGCTAAAAACTAAAAAATAGTTTCTAAACCAAATCAGTCAATATTTCAGAATTATAAACATTTAAGAAAAACAAAATCTTAGAGCTATGCTTAGGATAGCACAATCTTACAGGTTTCTCTCATTCTACATATAAGGAAAATCTATAAGTTTTTTAGATACACAAATGGGATTTGAACTTAAGATTCCTAACTCTTGGGTTGACTGCTCCTTCCATCACACCACACTCCATACCTATAAAAAACTACACTAATTATCTTTCTTACCAGTTTATCAGTAGATGGGGTAGTCTCCCTCCTAAGTAGAGCATTTACTTCAATTCTGTTCTATCAGATTGGTGGGAGAAAGAAAACTTTACGAATAGGGGTAAAATGCCAAGACCCTGGAAGGAAGACCCTGTATGATCTAAAAAGCAGTGAAACCTAGCAACATTTTAACACAGGCAGTTTTCCATTATCAAATCCAAGAATGTTGCCCTCTAGCCTAAGGGAAAATTTGATAAACTGAAAATCCAACACCATATCACATTGTTCCTAGTATTCTTCATCTGTTTACCAACTACGAATTATTAGTCTTATCAGGCCTCCCCTGGTGGCACAGGTGCTTGAGCGCCGCGCTGTGAAGCTCTGCAAGGCCGGTTAGATCCCAGCGGCAGGGGAGGGTCCCCCATGGCGCGGCAGACTTCTCCTGTCATGCCCACTGCTCCCCTCAGCAGTGTATTTCGTCAGTCTGCCTGTTCTGTTCACTACTCTGTCTCTGGTGAATCCTCGCACCCTCCTGCGCATCTGGTCTGTACCCTGGTTCTTGTATAAATAAATAAATCTTTAAAAAAAATAGTCTTATCAGTAAACTTTAATTCTAGTAACAGAACCAGAAAAATGTGGACTCTGCAAGGCAATTTGTTAAATATTCCAAAGCAATATTTAAATGTAGTAAGGACAAAGCAAAACTTAGTTATAATAATACTTTCAACACCTATAAGATAATTTTTCTACCAAAAAATTGGTGTCAAAAGGGACTATAGTGATGATGCACAGGTAAATTGATGGTGGGAATTTTACAGGGACTACACCTGAGAGGAGAAAGCATGCAATGTACAAAAAGAATGATATAAAAAATATATATAATTAAATTAAATTAAAAAATAAAGTAGTTAACTGCAAAAAAAAAATTGGTGTCAGATCCTATTTCTAAAAAAGAGAATCTCATAATAGAAACTACTCAAATGATTACATAATCATTTAAAGCACAATACTATTCACCTCCTCCTTTACTCAAAGAAAGATGTGAAAGTCAACCCTTTGAATTCAGGTCTGAAGCTATAAAATCTAAAAAGGTGGATTTTTCTGGGGACATATCAATTAGATGAAGTGACAAGAGAATAAAAACTGAGGGTTTCAAATATCCATCAGTGGATGAATGGATAAGCAAAGTGTGATTTTTTAGACAACACACGGGTGAATATTACTGAGATGTAAAAGAATGAAATTCTGATACATGCTGTATTAATTAACCCTGAAAATATTTTGCTAAATAAAAGAAATCAAATATTATGTGATTCTACTTCTTTGAGGTATCTAAAATAGTCAGGTTCAGATAGGCAAAAAGTAGAATAGTTGTTTCAGAGAAATGGGTGGGGAATGAAGTGTTACTATTTATAGTTATGAGTGTCATTTTGGGATGATGAAAAGTACTGGGGATGCCTCCTCATTATAGCTGAACAACAAAGGTGAACATACTTAATGCCACTTAATAGTACATTTAAAAATGGTTAAAACTATAAATTTTATTTTATGTATATTTTATCACAATAAATGTTGTGTTAAAGTTGCTTTATACACATAGGGAAAGCAAATCCTCTTTGAGATGAGTATGTATGTGGCTGACTATGCAGCGACCAGAACATATTTCTAATTTGTTTTAGTCAGAAGACCCAATTGAGGAGCAAGAAATGGTTATCACCAAAAATACAGACATTGCATTCTTTAACCTCTACTTCCCTGCAAACACTATCAAATGTTACCTGTGTTTTAAAGAGTTCACTGCAGTTTTGGAATAATTTTGATGATGTTTGGTATTTCCCAGACAAGCCTTTTTTCCCCTTAAGTTTGTCCAAATATGTCTCCACCTCTTCTGCCTAGAAAAAATAGAGAAAATACAAAGTATTAAATTTACCTTTTACAAGTAAGATACTTAGTAGATGACAAGTAGATCAATACTTAGTAGATGACAAGTAGCTCTGGGTTTGCTGCTTCAAAAATTTAGCAGACTCTACATAACAGTAAACTCTACATAATAGTACCAAGAATACATAATAGTATCTATGTAATGGTATATACATAATAGTATCCAAGAACCTAACAGTATCAGAATCTAAAGGGCAGATTTCTAATCTATGGTTCACAAAGGGTAGTTCCTCTAAAAATTCTAGGAAGACAGGGTGACTGTCAAGATTCCAGCAGGTTATAACAGAAAAAATAAATGTACAAGATTTGACAAATTAACAACACCAACAAAAGTTATACTTGTGTTCACAAGCTTAAGAGCACAAAACTGTCATAGTCATTTACAGCCCACTATTGCTACTCTAAACATTAATCATTTCTGTGACTTCACCTACTAGTTCTCCCATACTACACGACTCATCTTGTCCTCTTTTTTCTAAGCCCCAATTTCACATTTCCACCTACCTGTTTGCCATTTCCATAATTTTGACCTATGGCAATCAAAAGTAATTTTTTGATAACATGTTACATCATCAACATGTATGATTTAATATATAGTAATTTAACTACTTATGAAGACAGGATCTGCTAAGCTCTTGACCAGTTTATCAGAAAGATCTTTAACTGCAAATTAATTGGTGACTGGTTAAGAGAAAAGGACCAATCACATTGCAAGCTATATTTTGGAGAATTGTCATTTCTTTCTAAATTCTTCAGCCCTTTTAGTCCTCATTATATTAATCCTACCTAATACTGAGTAACAAAAGCAAAAAACAATAATGAACAACATTAAAAAGATGCTGTAAAACCCTAATGCTAGGCAGAAATTCAATAATGGTTAAGGTATGAAAAACTGACCTTATAGAATTTTTTAAAAGGCCAGTGTTGGAGCCATACCTCTTCTATGCTTAACTACAGTGCACTATGGCAATTCTGAAAGTGTAGCCCATGGACTCTTTCATGAGGCCTGAGGTCAAACACTATTGTCGTTGTCATCATCATGTTATGTGCCTTGAGCTGACAGTGCAAAAGCAATGGCGGGTAAAGATGATGCTCCTTATCAGGAGCCAAGGCAGTGGCACTTAACTGTATTAGTAGCCATTGTACCCTTTGGAGTGACAAAGTTGAAGCTTAAAAGAAAAATGCCAATTTTAGGTAAGAAAGGCCTTAATTAGACAGTAAAAAGAATTAATGTTATTAAATCTGGACATCTGAGTACATGCCTAATTATCTATGAGCCAAATGGCGCATATGCAAAATACTACAAATGGTTCCTTCCTCTATAAAATTAAGATCATCCGCCTTGATGATTTTTAAAGTCCAAGAAAAGTTCATAATTTATTTTCCTTACCTTGAAGCTGTAGATTTCATTGTAACAGTCAGCACTTTTGAGATACCATGTTATATTCAAAGACAAATCACAAGTATCTCCATCAACTATAAAAGAAGAAATATTTATGAAGTAAATTCATAAATTCCCAAGTAAAGCATTTTTCTAATTTTTTTTTAAAGATTTATTTATTTATACAAGCACTGGGTAAAGTCAGAAGCGCGGGAGGGTGAGAGAATTCACCAGGGCCAGAGAGGGGAACAGAACAGGCAGACTGACGAAATATACTGCTGAGCAGAGCAGCAGGCATGGCAGCAGAGGTCTGCCCGCCATGTGGGACCCTTGCTGGCGGCCAGGGATCGAACCCACGCTGCAGAGGCTGTGGGCAGCTTCGCAGCTCAGCACTCAACCGCTGTACCACCAGAGGAGGCCCCACTTTTCTAATCTTTACCCCACATCCCATTTATTTCCTGCTAACCTGGGATATTCAATAAACATGCCTTCTCCAAATACAAGGCAACAAAGTGATCTACGTAAGAACCGGATATTCTCCATATAAAAAAGTTTCGTTTATAGAGAGATACAGCAGTTAAGCAGTTTTCAACCTTTTATGCCTTAAACCTCCATTTCTGGTACTGTATAGGGAAAACCTGCCAGTGATGCAGCAGTCCTAAAGCCAGTTTTTCATTATCTTTCAAATATTTACTGAGCAGAAGTCACTTGCGTATACAAAGCTATAAGGAACTGTTAGACCAAAGAGGGAAATTAAAAGGAACAATTTACTAAAGACACTTAAAAGTGCTACATCCTACTGAGACAAGGATTAACAACATTAGGGATGTCACTAGGAAATAATCATGATTATTAAATGACAGTATAAATAATAGTTCCAATAGAGGAAAACATCTATAACTTAAAGGCATCAAGATTAAATACAACTATGAACAAAAGTAAACCTGGCTGGGGAAGGTTAGGAGCAACAAAAACAAAGATAAAAGAATAGTAGATGCTTTCAAAACCCACCTTAACAATCTCATGAATTCACTGAGAATTCATGTAACTCATTAAACTTAGTTTGGAACCTAGTACTTTAACAGACCAATCAATTAGTCTGAAAACTTTGAAGTGTAAATCTGACTATAACACTGACCATTTCACCAAGGAGAAGTCAGAAATACCTATTTTATGAAATGTGACAAAGATAGACAAGCAATCTAGGAAGCCACTTTTGGAGCATAACAAAAGAAACACACCTAAAATTATAAGCTTTCCCTTGCTTTGTTTTAAATTATTCCCTCAAACTACTTTTTAGATGACACACTTTTACAAAGTTCAATTAAAAAACCCAAAACCTGATGTATTTAATAAAATTTACGGAAATGATAAAAAGGATATGGCAATCTTGCTATGAAATATACAGAAGAATCCATACAGTGATGGGGTTAAATAAAATTAACTAAAAAAATTCCCTCAACAGGAAATATGGGGGAGGGGAGGGGTAGTTAGGCTGCAAAAATACTGTTTATGTTAAACTCTGAATGGTAGACTTTAAAAAACAATGAAATAGTCTTGGTAATTTCATGGAAAGCTATATGCCATACCCTCAAAAGTATAAAATAAGAGACTAGTTAAATATGAAAAGTACAGAAGCAACAAAGAGAAATTTTAAGAGCCACATATCCTCCAAGAACAATAAAATGTAGATACTTCAAAATATGCAGCTTGTATAACTTGTCAAGGCACCATTAGATCAAAATACAGTAAGACTGGATATAATAAAAGGAAAGAATAGCACACAGGCCGTCAAGTTATCTAAAACAAAATACTGCTACTCCTGAAAGCTAATCTTACCTAAATAGATATCAGACTCACAAGAAAGACCACTGTGTCAAAGTAGATTCAATTTCAATCAAATTTAAGATTATATTGTTATGGACACCGTATATATATATATATATATATATATATATATATTTTTTTTTTTAAAAGATTTATTTATTTATTTATACAAGCACTGGGTACAGTCAGAAGCGTGGGAGGGTGAGAGAATTCACCAGAGCCAGAGCGGGGAGCAGAGCAGGCAGAAGGACTGAAGTACACTGCTGAGGGGAGCAGTGGGCGGCAGGAGAGGACTGCGCACCATGCAGGACGCTCCTCTGGTGGCCGGGGAGCAGCCGGGGATCGAACAAGCGCTGCAGAGGCTGCGGGCACCTTCGCAACCCAGCGCTCAACCACTGCGCCACTGGGGAAGCCCATGGACACCGTATATTATATTCTTCACATAAACTACCTACCTCCTTAACGCCCGCTAATTCATAAGCTCAACAGGAGACCAGGCCTTTTCTATCACTTCTATCACTCCAAACAGTGCCTGGCACATAACCGGTTCTGATATACTTACTGAACGACTAAACGAATATAATCTTCCAACTGTGACTTAAAAATTTGCAGTCTCAAGGAGAGATATGCACATATGAACAATCTGGATTTTTAGCCCTGATGCTGAAATGGAGCTGCCCACGATACCATTTATTTGGTAAAATAAAGGCACTTTCAGAAATAAAAGGAAGCTTTTCTTCCATACACAATGGGATATTTTAGATTCAAATACAGTGGTTTTCCCAGTGGACAGACTGGTTTTGTTCTACATTGTCGCTACTTCCTGGTAACAACTTTGAACCTCTGGTTCCAAAGATCCAGGTGGTAAAATACTCCTTTTGTAAACGAAAGATTTGCTGAATATATTTGTTAAGAGGGACTGGTCTAACAAACCTGTGTCATGCGTTCGGCAAACATCTAATACTCAAAAGAAAAGCTGGTGGTGTCTGCATGACTCAGAACATATTAAAACACCATGTATGTAATCAACCAACACAATTTGTCTAACTATATGTTGCTAAACACCAGAGAAATGAGAAAATAAAGTTCATACAAATAAAAGTTCCAAAGATTATTCAGTGAAAGGTCCTTAACAATAATATATATATATTAATACCCAGAGAGTGCCAAGCTATTAAATTCAGAACTTATGTTAAGTGTGCATCATCAGAAGCATAAAATAGGGAATTTAAAGTTAAAAGATCACTCAAAAACTCTAATAAAAACTTCATGAAATGTAAAAACTCACATTTCAGGAAGATAGTGGTATTTTTGAAGAGGATCTTTCCAAAACTAAAATAATTTTTTCCCTGAAAAGATAAAGGAGAAAAAAGATAATTAGCATAAGATGGCTTTAGTTCCCAGGGCAGAATATAACTGCTATAATTTATATAACCTTCAATTAGTTTTCTTTACAACAGACATCAACATCCTTTCTTTTAGCAATTTCAACCATATCCAAACTGCAGGATCTTGCAGACTGGTGCAGAGATGTGATTTTCCTCCCACACACACCCGCCACCAAGCAAAAGCCTCTAGATAGGAGGATGTTAGAAATCCCAACTTAAAGCTTCATGGAAGATACTACCTGTTCAGGTCATTCGCCTTATTACTGGCCAGAACAACCAATCAGTTCTTCAAATAAACTATTCTATGATGGCCATATACAGCAATTAACCATTTTAACGACAATCACTGAAATTGAGAACCTGAAGACCTTCACCAAATGAAGCCAAGCTGTAATGCTTGCTATATAAAAAGCTCAAATACGATTTGGATATTACAGCCTGAGAGCAGAGCAGAATGAAATTAAAATGCCACTGTGGGTCTATCAGAACTTCTCCACATTCCCAGCCTCCACCTGCTTTTTGGCTGCTCACATGAGTACAGTTTTCACTTAAATGGGGGGTGGAGGAAGGGAAGGAGAGGTAAGGAAGGTTCATCCTATCTACTGAATTGTCCGAAAGACTAGCCTTACCAAATCACAATTTTAGAATACTTCTATTAGAATTTAGAATACCTGCACTAGTAGCCACAGAATACTTCCATTTTAGTCAATCTCCTCTTAGAATACGCTTTTTAAAAGCCCAGACTTCTGGGTCACGTAGCAAAGCTTAGAATCACCATTTCAAAGTTCAAACAAAATCAAATTACTTCATCAGTACAATTATTCAGTAACAAAAAAAGTTCAGAAAAAAGACAAAAAAGGAGGCCTTTATCACATTCCCCTCATCCAACCCGGGGTCAGTGGGCTCGAAGAAACTTGTGCTGAGAGAGAAACGACTCTCCACCTAAACACTGAGTTGACACGTCTCCAGCCACGCACTGAAAGTTCTGACTTTGCTGAGGCGCTTCGCCCCTCTCCGCTCCCGAAGTGGACCTGACATTCCTGCTCCTCTTCCCCAGAAGCGCACGGCTTTCAGCTGCCGGGAGGTTAGTCCCGGTTAACCCGCTACACGGACGCTCCCGGCAATCCCGCCCCTTTGAAAACGGACTTTCGGGAACATTCTTGGACCCATTGGGCCGCCGTAGCCCCACCCCTTACCCCTCCGGGCTCAGTTGCTCGCGAAGTGAACACTCACCGACGGGATCGAGATGTGCCACTTAGAGCGGTCGGTGGCAGAAACGGGTGACGGTCCTACGCCGAAAAGCGACAATGGGGGCGGCTGTGCCCCGAGAAGAAGAAGGAGGAGGACAGGCAGCCCCTGAAGCCACGCAGCCGCCGCCATCTTCACGGCCATGAAGTGCCTGGCAAAAGCATTTCACCTTCTTCCGGTTCGTCCCGCCCTCTTCCGGCTCTAGTCTGGGGGCGGGACCATCCGGGTCCTCGAAACCCCGCCAGGCCTGTTTGTTTTACGAGCGGCCGGCCCCGCCCTCCACAGCGTCGAGGCCGTGGGCGGCTTTGGCCCTAGTGCGCAGGCGTTGTCCTGTCACAAGCTGGTCACCTTGGAGCGCCTCGACGAGCGCGCAGCGACGTCTCCGCCCCCAGCGTCGTCGCCTCTCCCGCCCGGCCCTTGGCGGGTTTGGAGACCCTGCGAGCACCCCGTGTGGCGTTTGGCGCTTTCCTCCTCTCCGTCGCCCCAGCCCCCACCTTTCCCTAAATCAAAGTCAGACCCCGGAGCCCCAAGTCTGGGGAAGCCGCACGCAGGTCCGGCTGCCTGTTGGGCATCCAGGAGTTGGGTTCTTGAATTCTGAAGGTATTTTAGCAAAAACCGGCGCTGGCGGTGTGTCAGTTATTTCTAAACTGGATAACGTGGTAGAAAATCCCCTTTAAAAGCCCCCTTTTCGCCCTGGAAAGTATAAGGCTACAGTATAGTTCGGCCTGAGAATATCAACCTCCAGCACAGATCCGGCCGGCACCTCCTACTCAAAACTAAAACGGAGAGAGGATCAGTTTTCGGTGTCTGTGGCGTGACTGTCACTGAGCTAAACCTGCAGAAGCTTTGCCCTATTCTGGCAGGCTGTCTTGGTACTTTCTGGTTTCTTGATTTTTTTACTCCTTTAGGGCACTCTACGTACACGCCTCCTCCGCTGCTGAGAACATTTCTGTACCTAAAGAAGACAAGTTCTTCATCAGCCCTCATAAACAGAATAGTTTGGCAAATAAATTCCTTTTAAGACGCTTGTTTGAGCCTACAAAACCCAGGAACAAGATTCGATTTGTCATTCCCTAAGGATTGGAGGGGATTCTATTTTCCCAGAAACTTGACTGTGCTGGTCAAAATTTGCAAAGAGGGTCAATCAACGTTTTCAAACGATCGTCCGGCCTTGACCTGAGAACTGGGAGCCAGTGAGTGGGAAGCCATGGCCGCTGCTGAGGAGGAAAAAATAAGGTAAAGGCTCAGTGGTCCTGCCACTGGCTCCAGGGCTCACCCAGACTGGGGATTGTACCAGAAAGTACCCGAAAGCGACATTTTGGCTTTGAAGGTTTTATTGTTTCATTGCACTTCTTCTTTGCATTTTTGATATTTGTACACTTAAGTCATTTTTCCTCACTTCTGCGGGGGTGTTGGTAGATATTAATAGCTAGCGCCTCATAAAATACTTTCTACATGATTAACAAAACAGTGGAAGAGTTATGATCAGAACTCCGAATTTCGAGCATGCTTTCCAAGTTCAGTTGTTCCCACCTTTTCCTGTATCATTCCAGGGCTCATTCTTCAAAGCTAAAAGAGGATACTGAAAATTTTTCTGATCTTTGCACACTTGATTAAAACAAAGTGACAAAGACTGTGTTGATGAAAGAGTTGATTGCTTTCATGATAAACCATTTTCTGGGTATGGCCAAATGTATTTATGTGAACTTGTTTTCATAACATTTTGAAATTGATATTCAGTCATAGCTTCCTACATAATCATGGACGTACTGATTATAGCTGTATTCAGCAACACCTCTGCATGAAAGCGAATGTGTTTTATTTTCTTAGAGCCTGTAGTTGTTTTAATCCGTATATGTTAAACACATATAAAAACATACTCAAGTAGCAACTTATTCTATTCAAAAAAAGGTTCTGCAAACTTGGTTTTAAAAAACATTGGCCCCTAGATGGTCAGCATTGTCTTAAGCAAAAGATTTTCCTTCTACATCTGTTTCTCTTCTTATTCCAACACCTTGCACATACCTCAGGTTGATTTGTAATTATTGACTAGACTCTCACAGAAAGCTCAGACACAGTCCTTCCTCAGAGCCAGCACTCAGTAAATATTCTAATAATGTTTTGTTGAATAAATAGGTAGGTGGCTGATTTCTGTTTGGTTTTAGAGGGTTTCGGTTTGCTTTTGCTTCTTTAGATTTTACTGTTGTAACCGCAGGCTTCAGTCTTTATGTTAAAAGAACCGTTCCTCATAAGTGACAGTGTTCTTTCTCAAGTGCTTTCAGAGTAGCCCCAGAATTTCATGTTTTGTTGTTTACCTTGGAAAATTTACAAAAGGATTGTTCTGAAACACACATTATCACATTCTATTATGACCGTGACACAATTTTGTGTTGCAGAAGTTTAGAGAAGGCACAAAAATCAGATTCACAAGGTATATTTTAAATATGTTTCTTTAAAACCGTTGTTTTATTTAGTGTTGAAGATGAAGCTGTGGATAAAAACATTTTCAAAGACTGCAACAAGATTGCTTTCTACAGGTAAGGAAAGGAAATGTACTACCTAAATGAAAAGATTTCTGATATTATTTCCAAATTAATGTTTAATACTTTTTGAGAACTGACAGGCTTTCTCAGGAATTTCTTGGGAAATTCATTGCTTAAGGAATTTATCAAACAGGAGACATTCACATTTAACTTTATATACTTGTGCATTATTTAAATTTTTCAATAAACAAGATTTTATTTTAAACACCTAGGTGTTTTAAACTACTGTTAAGATTGTATATCCTTAAATATATGGTACTTTTCATGGTTCAAATATCAAATATATAAAAAGGTATGTATTGAAAAATATTACTCCCATTCCTATTTTCTTCTATCCCATTCTGTATCTTGTCCCTGTATGTAACCAGATTTATTAATTTCTTATTTTTCCTTCCAATATTTCTTTTTGTAAATACATATACTCTTATATCACCCCCTCTCTTACACCAGGTAATTTTCATTATACATTGTTTTGTACCTTTTTTTCCCTGCTTCATAGTTTATTCTGAAGAGTTCTGTATATGAACATTTTTTAAATGGCATTCCACTGGTTAAATGTACTATAATTTACTCTTCTGTTGCTAAAACCTTTCATCTTTTTTCAGTCCTTTGCTATGAAGAGCTATACATATGTCATTTTCTACCCAAGCATATGTTTTTTTTAAAAGATTTATTTATTTATGCACACAAGAACTGGGGTTGTATACAAGAACATACAAGAACAGAGTTGTGAGGGGTGAGAGGACTCACAGAGACAAAGCAGGGAACAGAATAGGCAGACTAACTGAAATACACTGCTGAGAGGAACAGCGGGTGAGTCAGGAGAGGTCTGCTGTGCCAGTTGGGTAGCTCCCTGGCCAGGGATGGAACTCATGCTGCAGTGGCTACAGCAAGCTTCATAGGTTGCATCTTAACCCCTTTCCCACCATGGATGTCCCACAAGCACATGTTCTTATAGGCTAAATTTTCAGAAGTGGAATTTCTGAGTCAAAGAGTAAATGCAAAAAAAAAAAAGAAGAAAGGAAGGAAAGAAAGAAAAATGAAAAAGAAGACAAATCAAAATTTTAAAAAGACAAGAAAATGCATTTGAAATTTTAATTATTATCAGATATCCCTCCATAGATACTGTACTATTTTTTTCTCTTATCACCTCTGTATAAAAGTACCTATATCCCTCGAGCTTCAAACAAGATTTTTTGTAATCTTTGTCAGTGTCTTCCTTTAATGTGTTCTTGAAGCTAAAGTCATCAAAAATTATATCATATATTAATATTTATTATTAAAATATATGCTACAGGGGTTCCCTGGTGGTGCAATGGGTTGAGCGCAGAACTGTGAAGCTGTCCGCAGCCTCTGAAGCACCAGTTTGATTACCAGCCGGCCAGGGAGCTACCCATATGGCATGCAGACCTCTCCTGTCTCACCTGCTGCTCCCCTCACAGTGTATTTCGGTCCTTCTGCCTGTTCTGCTACCTGCTCTGTGTCTGGTGAATTCTCTCACCCTCCTGTGCCTCTGGCCTGTACCCCAGTGCTGGTATAAATAAATCAATCTTAAAATATATATATATATATATAAAATACAATTTTCAATGGTTTCCATTAATTATCCAGGGGAAGAAAATCATATTTTCATTCTGAACAGGTACCTTAAAGGAAATTCTATAATGAATACCTCATCACCTTGTTAAACCACTAGAATAAATTGGATTTCCACTAAAATGTATTGAGTTTCTGTTAAAATATGCATTTCACGAAAGAGGAAGAGAAATGAACAAACTCACATATGTCCTCTATGAACATTGCCTCACCTTTTCAAAAAAAAGGCACAAACGCCATCCTTAAGCAGTGTTATATGAACAATTTCATTGTATTTTTATTAGTGCTTATTTTATTAGCACTCTAACAGTACAGTACTCTTGCAAGCACTTTATTAGAGTGTTAATGAAATCTGTGCCCAGTTCATTTACTGTCATAGTGAATTTTAATAATTTAAACATGGTAATATGGTCTGTTGGATGCTGCTAGTCACTAGTAATTCTCAGGCATCTGTATACTTCATACCTGCAGGCGTCAGAAACAGTGGTTCTCCAAGAAGTCCCCCTATCAGGCATCACTAGACTCAGTCAGAACAGGCAAAGACAGCACCAGGTTCTGCATCATCAATGAAGCAAATAAGGTGAGATAAGAGTATTTTCTCCAGAGAATTGTTTGAGTTTGTATTTATTTGTGTTGAAGTAAATTTCCACAAAAGCTAATTAAAACTACGTGTGCTTTAAAAATAAACTTGTTTAGAGAAATAATGTTATTTTTTCATATCTACACTCGTACCTCAATCGAGACATAAATTCCTATTTACCAGGCCATTTCCCAGCTGTTTTACAAATGTTACCTCCTTTTAATTTATCTTTGTACTAAACTAAGAGGTACATTTTATTATTCCCAGTTTTCAGATCAGGCAAACAAAATCTAGAAAGTCAGTTGCACAGAGTCACACTGCTAGGAAACATAATTCTCATCTGTATCTGTGGACTTTATCAAGCACCCTTGCTCTATCACTATTACACAATGTACAGTTGCGCATACAGCCTCAACAAGGCATAGAGTGTGTGAACACCAAAGCTCAAAAGGTGGGGAGCAAAGGAAAGGCACAGGGAGTGGGCAGTTGAAAACCTGAATCACACACGTTCTGTCTCCTGAACTGTTCCATTAGCAGATCACCATTGTTATTACACATTGAAGGGATTAGAGCAGTATATTCTAAGTACTTTTTCTCACCAATCAAGTTGCCACACTCCTTCACTTGGGCCAGTCAGGGAAAACACTGGGCTGGGCTGGGAAGTGTGGCTGTGCACAAGTACTGGTGTTCCCAGTCTGACCCTCACTTCCAGATTCTCCCCCCTCCTAAACTCCTAAAACCTAGACTAACCTGGCTTTACCTGGCAACTCATATAACTAAAAGACATAGTTAAAGCCATGTGTTCTAGATCCCCCAACACCTGGCTAAGAATTCCCACTCACTGACAATCCTGGGAATCTGCCTGAGAAGACATTCTCACTTGCACTGCAAAGTTGTGAGTTGTTTCCTTGTGACTACACAGCACTTGTCCTCAAAGAAGACAGGGGGAAAAAAAACTGTTCTACAATGTCCTTTAAGTTAGCAAAAGGTGCCAATTTTATTCCCAGACAGTGGTGGGGAGGTTGGGAAGCAATTGTATAGTGACAAAGGCAACCTTCCTTAGGAAGTGTCAGAGGTTTTAGCCATTGTGGAGTCTCTGACAGTTTGCTTGCCTGAATTCAAAAGAAGGGCTTGAATCATATCAACAGTTTTGTGTTCTTTATCCCCATCCCATCCTCAACTTGATTATTTGCTACATAATGTAGTTACGCTGAGAGAACACTAGGTCTCTCCTAACTTCATAGATGGAATGGTTAGCCTTTCTCCAAAACCTAGTGTTGCTTCTTATACCACCCACTTTTGAGGGGAGGAATTTGCCCACTTGCTTGGCATCTGACATCTCTGACTTTTTCCTCACAGGCACTCTACTGCTGACCCAAGTCTGCTATACTATATGTTATTTTTGTAGCCTAGTTTGCTAGCCTGGGCATGGACAATGCTAATTTCCTTATCGGAGAGCCACCTGCCATTAGCATGTGGTCCAGGATCCCGACCCAGCCACATCCCTACATTCAGGGTCTTTAGGAAATGTAAGGAGTCATTTACCTTGCAGGCAGGTACCTTCCTCACTCATTCTTCCTGTCATTTTCTCATTTTAGACACATTTCTCCATTGTGTCTAACCTTAGAGAATTGTTGCTACCCCATAGTCAGGGCAGGAATCCCTTTCCATCCTTGGGAAGGCTCAATATATTGAGCCCCTGAGCAATCCACTATTATGAAGACACATTCTTAGGCAAAGTAAATGAGGCAGAAGCATCCTGAATGCCCATGTGGGCCAAAATGCAGCTTGATATCAGTGTGGTTAGTGGGTGGATCTTCGCATTTGGGCTTTTTATAAGACAATAGATCAGTTTCTCTCAATATACCTCTCTTTGGATCCTGAAAATGTGAGTGACAGTGCTGTTCAGGTCAGGTGTCAGGAGCAGAGCCCATCAGATCTGGATGCCTTCAAAGCAAAAAAAGCCACAGGATCTTCAAAGGAAGACTGACAGGATCTCAGCACCAGGAAGCATGTGGCTCAGAAGGGAACTGAGAATACCAACAAGCAAAGACAAGTTACCTGGATGACAGCAACAGGCCACCCGAGACTGAAAGCTTTGAAGACCCCTTGTAACGACTCCATGTTCAGGTATTGGAAATAGCATGGCTCTGTGGGGGACCTGTGTGCTCTGGCCTTAGGCATGTGCATGCAATTGTATTTGTTTGGGGAGGTCACTCTGAAATTCTGGGCTGAAATCCATTTTAAGGTCCCTCCCTGTCACTCAGAATTGAGATGACTAATAGGGACTTAAGGTTTCATGCCCTCTGTCAATCCAATAGGAACAATGAAGATCCAGACAGTAATCTCTGGACCTCATTGCATAGTCAGGGAGCCTCCATTAGAGATGTTTCTGGGAGGAGATGGGTATTTCATGGGCAATTTCACATTCAGATATGGTATGAATGTGGTGATATTTAAAATAAACTGCATACATCCACTTATTCAGAATGATTCCTTTTTACTTAAGGTTCAGGGAGACAGAGCCCAAAGTCTTAAGAGGATCATATTTAACTTTCAGCTACGGTTCTCAGATTTCACTGATGCGGCTGATTCTGACAAACCCAGCACTGCTATTGCATGCTTGCTTCCACACTATTAAAACTCTTAAAGCAGCAGTTTTATTGTCAAAATCTGTTAACCCTGGGCCTCCCCGGTGGCGCAGCGGTTGAGCGCTGGGTTGCGAAGCTGCGCGCGGCCTCTGCGGCGCCGGTTCGATCCCCGGCTGCTCCCCGGCCACCAGAGGAGGGTCCCACATGGCGCGCAGACCTCTCCTGCCGCCCGCTGCTCCCCTCAGCAGTGTACTTCGGTCCTTCTGCCTGCTCTGCTCCCCGCTCTGGCTCTGGTGAATTCTCTCGCCCTCCCGCGCTTCTGACTGTACCCAGTGCATGTATAAACAAAACAAACAAACAAACCAGCAAACAAATAAATAAAGCATGCCTCTATAAAAAATAAAAAAATAAAAAAAAAAATCTGTTAACCCTTTCCCAACTCCCTCCTACCAATCTGTCCCTTAATAAGCAATCATAAAACAGAACTCAGCTTCACTCAATATTGCTTTAACTCAGTCTGCTCTAACAAAATACTACAGACTGGGTGGCTTAAACGACACATTTATTTCTAACAGTTCTGGAGTCTGGCAAGTCCAAGATCAGGGTGCTGACGGTCAGGGTCTAGCAAAGACCCTCTTCCTAGCTTGTAGGTTGCCACCTTCTTAACTGTATCTTCACATGGCTGAGCTAATTCGCAGATCTCTTCTTGTAAGAGTACTGATTCCACCATGACCCCACCATCATGACCTCATTTAAACCTAACCACCTCCCAAAGGCCCCTTCTCCAAATACCATCACATGGAAGATTAGGGTGTAGGGGTCAGGAATGGACCAGTGCAGGTTTTCTGATCCCATGCAGACCAGGTAAAGGAGGAGTCAGAGTCCTCAGTGGTTTTTTGCAGGTTTTTATTGGGATTACCAGGTACACGGCAGGCAGGGGTGCTGGGGGGCCGGGAGGCTGGCAGTCCTCCCAGCCCCCAGCAAATCTGCACTCTCTCTGGGCTCTCTGGTGATCTCTGCTTCTCTCTCGGCTTCCGCCGGCGCCCCCGAGACACCGCCCCTAAAAGCCCAGTCTCAGCCCAGGTGAATCCCATCCACCCATGCCCACACCCCACTCCAGGTGCCCGCCATCAGGCATGCATTCAGGACCGCAAGGATCCATCATCTATCCTGATGGCAGGAGGGCAGAAAAGCCTGACATTTTTCCTTACCCTACAAGGGGTTCAACATATGAATCTAGGGGGACACAGTTCAGTGCATAGTAAACATGATATCCCTGGGACAGAGTAATGTTACAAAACAAGCATAAGTGTTGCTCTGTGTGTGGTCTCTGCATCAGGACATCTATCTTTTGAAGAAAAGCTGACTCATATCCCTAAATTTTCTTGCATGGGCCCCAGTCTAGAATCTTGCCTATTCCTGATTAATCTGGTAGCTATTTGCTGAAGCAGCTTTCAAAAGAGTATCTAGAATGAAAGGCATTACCAGCATAGTGCTGACTGCTATTTTAGAACTATTTTCCCCTCCTATTACTAATTTTCTACCTTCGGTGAGAATTTGACTTAGATTGGAAAACAGAGATCTAGTTTTGTGACATCCGAGAAGGGAAATTTATGCTGTCTTCAGAGTCTAACCAAAAAGAACTTCCCTAAAGGCTACCTATATCTTTGACCTGCTTTATGTTACTAATTTTGATGTGTTCTCAGAACACTGGATGACTCTTTGGCAACATGTTTACTTCTTTTGCAGCCTATTTGCAAGTTTTCACTGGAGACTTCACTTCTAACAGCTTCTCCAAGGATGCAGGACTAATCTCTGAGCACCTCCATGAATTTACACCTTGCTTCTTCATCTAAGCCTGCTGAAAATGAGACGGTGTCCAACCAGCCACCATTGCAGCAGATTGAGGCACAGCTACCACTTGTTAGCCATTACAGATTCTGCAGAAACAGCCAGAAACATGCAGCTAATTTGTCGAACAATTAGAAGCACTCCTGGACAGGCTAATTGCCCTTGGAGAGTGGACTAATGCCCAGTGTGATCTTACCTATACTCTCTGTAGAGAATCAGTGTTTGCAGTAAACCAACTGGCTACAACCATGGAAGGGCAATGAGTGGCCTAAAGCAATTTAATGAACTCTCCACTCTGAATCCTGGGAAGGCTTGATCAACAGCTGGAAGAGATCATTGCTTGCTCTTGTAGGCCTTTTAGGTTAACTGTTCCTTACAGTACATGGAGGGACCTGGTGCCAGAGGAAAAGCAAGATCTACCCCTCAAGGAGAAAATGATGGGGTCATAACTTATCTCTTAAGTATCCACTGCTATTCTGATTCCCAGTTCTGGGTGAATAAAAAGTTTTACTTTAATATGATTGCTATCAACCCACTGCTCAAATACATAGATAAGGTTGTTTCTACCACCATGATTTTAACAACCTATCTGATATTTTTCTCTGTGAGTTCAATAAAACTAGACATAGATGCCAAAAAGCAGGCTTTGTTTTTATTTAGTATGGGAGATATAGGAAAAGGGAACTAATATTTCACAGACTATAAGAGGTGAAACTGAATGCAGGGTTATGAAATAACAAACAGAGACTTGTACTAAAAGGAACCTCCAAAATGTATTCCTTGCCTGAGGATTTGCTCCTCCCTGCAGATGGACATTTACAGATCTTAAGAACTTCTAAGAGAGTCAAATCCATGCTCTCTCACCTTATTTAAATGTTTAGTTCTATGTTTTCTTTTACATAAACCCACCTTGTATCAGTTTGAGTGTAACTGCTATTTTCTAAGTACTGACACAAAATAAGTCTTAGTTTACAGCATTCTAACTTCGGTAACTTAATGTGTTTTTCATTGTTATTTCCAGTCATCAAGAGGAGGAAAAGATTCAGTAATTTATTTGCATATTATTTTTTTCATAAATCTCCAAACCAGTCCCTAGAGAACAGGAATATCTGGAAATTCTTAGTGTTTCATACAGAAGAATATAACATTCATGTCAGACTTTCGACAGAGCATGGTTTTGGTGGGAAAATTGAGCAATTACTGTCAGTTAAACAGCGCAGGGAAGTGATTCAAACCATCAGTAACAGAGCTGGGGGTTTCCATGGAAGTATCTCAGTGCTCAATGCAAGAAGGAAGAGGGCTCAAAGTTAGAGGCTCAGAGCCACGCCCCACTGTCTTCAACCCAACTAACTATTCTTCAGACTTCTGAGAGTCTGCTGCTGTTAAATTTTTTTAAGCCAATAAAAATAGCATGAGCCAGATCATAAGAACAAGCACATACTAAGGCCTAAGGAAATTATGTGCTTGGAACATAAACCTAAGTTGGTGATAATACGAGACAAAAATGAATCTGGATATTATTCTTGAAAAGGGTTGCCTATTGGACAAAATTGCTTGCTTAATTTAAAATAGAAACAATACGGTGCTTTGACTGATTTGTCTGTTTGATTGCACAAGGTCATCATGAAAACAGGGTTTTTCTACCTGCTCTCATATAATTAGTATTCTTTCCTGGGTTGCAGCCTCAAAAACAACATGTAGATCAGTCTTTGGTTTAAAAAATAATAAGCTATATTACTATAAATGGGAGAAACTAGCTGTAATGTGTTCATTATCTTAGGCGTACAACCTTTGTGCCCTCTGCTTAAGAGTTTCTTGCCTATTTTTGCCTATTCATCATCCTACTAAGGCATAAAGGCCCTGCTGAAGTCCCTCTTCCAGAGTCCTTTTCGCTACAGTCATTAATATTCATCTTCCTTCTTCCCCCACAGCCCTGTCCTTTCCTTCTACCTCAGCACATCCTAAAATGCTTTATGTTTACTATATATGTGGTTTATACCCTCTAAACTACAATCTCCCTAAGGGATTAGTCATCCTTTCAAAGCAAGCAGCACATCACGAAGTTAGATGCCAAATAAATGTTAGTTGAGTTGAATTTGGAAAAATATGTCTACTTTGGGAGAGAATACATAATCTAATGGGATATCAGGTCTATTTGTGTTTGGACACATTTTCACATCTTAGACTTCTGATGGCATACAACAGAAGTAATTCACACATACAAAAGAACATTAAAAGTTAAGCAATAATTACAGTATGACTAAGGGTTGGCGTGAAGGAGTACAAACTTCCAGCTGGAAGATGAATACATTCCAGAGGTGGTATATAAAACATGGTGTTATAGTTAATATACTTAAGTATATACTTGAAAATTGCTGAGAGAATGTTCTCACCACAAAAAGGAAATAATTATGTGAGGCAATGCAGGTGTTAGGTATAGTGGTAATTATTTTGCAATTATATAAGTGCATCAAATCACACTCTAAACTGTAGTCAGTGTTACATGCCAGTTATATCTCAATGAAACTGGAAAAAATAATTACAGTGTATTTGTAATCTAGATTGTCACACTATGTCATAATCCCGTTTTAAGAATATCTGTAAACACAGCCACAGCCAGCAATTGTTTACCTGATTACTCTTCAGGGTCACATCACTGAAGTGTCCTGACTACTCTCCTATATATTCCCAAGAGGCAAAGTTCCAATTTTATATTTTTAATGCTGCTTTGCTATTCTCCCTGCTTCCTATCTCTTACTCACACCACATTGTGTGTACCTGTTCAACTCTATGTCACACAGCCTAACAGGTGCTCAAGTCACAATACATGTACCCAGAACTTGGCATCACACTTACAGATTTGCAATCGATCAGTATAACATGGCATAGCAGTTGAAAACCACTATCTTAAAATATTTCTCTAATCTAGATGTCTCACTTTGTAACCAAAATCCAGTCCTATCTACTCTCAGGGTCTGTGGTGGTTTTGTGCTTTACTTTTCAAATTCTATATTCTTTATACTTCTATGCTGCTTCTTTTTCCCATTGGTGGAAGAATTTTATCTAAATTCCCCAGTCTCTTGAGAAAAGCCCCAGGTCTAATTACCAGGGGTATAGGAAGTGCCTTGTCTTTAGTGCAGCAAGCCTAATTCATCTATACTGATGAACTCCAGTAAGCACCATTTTACTGTCTTTTCTATTCTATCTTATTCTGAATTTTCTATTGTATTTTATTGTTTTTTCTACTCTATTCTATTCTGAAAGGCTTGTTACCTTTCATGCTTCATTCAGCTTGAATCAAGTTACCACAGCTTTAACTCCCAAACTCTTATTCTTCAGATGGCAGTAGTCACAGATTCAGTGGTCTCAATTTTCCAAGGGCAGTGTCAGTTTATACCTGTCATTTTAATTTTGTTAGAAACCTCTTTCACTCTTTAAAGGTCCTGGTCTGGACAATTCCATGTCTACCTAGCCATACAACACATGGTCTCTAACCTGGGTGTAGCCAAGCAAGTACATACAGGGATTGGGCAGTGTTTTCCTTATGATTATCATTGTTCTATAGTTCACTTGCCCATAGTAATGTAAACCGATAGTTTCTAATTATTGTAATTTGACTGGGTAAAACTGACCATCATTGGGGTAATGTTTTGAAGCTAATCTCACATGTCTGTTCTTAGGTTCCGCTCCTGGCTGAAGTTTATGGGATAGAGGGAAATATCTTCAGGCTTAAAATCAATGAAGAGACTCCCCTGAAACCTAGGTATGAAGTTCCAGATGTCCTTACAAGCAAGCCAAGTACTGTAAGGTAAGCCAAGGAACAAGATGTCTTGGTAATACTCTCGATTTATTCTTTTATCAGACCTTCTATAGTAGATTTTGCATATGCATCACATCTTATCTATCCAGAGTTATAATCATTTGCAGAGTTAGTTTTCAGTTATTTGGGGATAAATTGATCCATTTGTTCCTTATCCGTTCTGTTTTCTCTTCATCCACCATTTGACTCATCAGCACTTATTAGTAGGGAGAGACAGCGTTTTTGATCCTTGCTCTCCTTCTCACAAAGAAAGCTGTATATCAACCAGATTTTGGGAACAATTAAGAGAGTTATTTAATGTACTTGCTCAGATTAGCAACAGGGCTCCAGAGATCTAATATACTAGTCAAACTCCCATGCTTATGGTAATTTGTACAATTAGATTGACTTACTTTCAATTAGAGTAGTCTCAGAAGCCCAACATGTAATTTGACTTAGAAGTTAGCAACAAATTAATAATCAGTGTCTAGGTGAAAAAAATATTTGGGGATTAAAGCGTTTTCCATAACCCTGCAAAATCTTCCGTTCTCACCATGCTTTCCAGGAACACCTCAGTTTAGTTCTACCTGTTGATTTGCTATGTTCTGCATTTTTATTTCACTTAAGGAATTTAAGACTATGTCATATGCTTTAATTTTAACTGTATCATTACTATGGTTTCATGTAGATTACCTTTTCCATGAAAATATATAACATATGGTCAATAGATTGTAAGGAGAAATTAATTCAGCTATGCTATGGTAGACCTGTCATAAATTTGAAATACATCTATTCATTAAGCTCCTATTTATACACCAAAAATGTAGGAACAGGAGTCAAAAACACTCTTCTGAAGGCTTTTGCAATTTGGCAAATGGCACAATACATATAAATGCAATTGGCACAATAATATAAATGTAATATATATAAAAACAACTGGGTCATGATATATTATTTTATACTGTCCTGGAATATTCAATTTGCTATTTGAAGCTTTAAAATTTTTACATCTCAGGCCTCCGTGATGGCGCAAGGGGTTAAGATGCAACTTAGGAAGCTCTCCGCAGCCACTGCAGCACGAGTTCCATCCCCAGCCAGGGAGCTACCCACATGGAGGAACAGACATCTTCTGACTCGCCCGCTGCTCCCCTCAGCAGTGTATTTCAGTCAGTCCGCCTATTCTGTTCCCCACTATGTCTCTGGTGAATTCTCTCACCTCCCCCCCTCCAACGCCATAACTCTGGCCTGTACTCCAATTCTTGCATGTATAAATAAATAAATCTTAAAAAAAAAAAGAGAGAGTAGGATGATATGGCATAAAATATAATTTAAAAAATATTTTACATCTGTGTTCATAAGTAAAAATATTCTGTAGTTGTTTTTTCCCCCTGTACTATGTTTGTCATCTCATATGTTAGTTCTGCTCTGTTCCAACTTCTAAAGGCCTTTAGCTACTGTAGTAACCAGAAAGCTTAATACTACATTTCTCCACTTCTGAGACTCCCATGCAGCTAGGCTCTGATGTAATTCAGGTTTCACCAATCCAGCTGCACTGACGAGAATCTCAATTTCAGAATTGAGTTCCCCATTTTACTAGTATGGATTTGACAGCTGTGGAACAGGTCTAGAGCTACACTAGTTAGAGCAGTGGTTTCCTCATCTCTGGATAAAGCTAAGGTGGTATGATCTGGAGCCCTGCAGTTATGACAGTGTCTTCTGAGTGTCCCACTTCCTGATTCTAGCTGAGATAGAAATTCTGTTGACCATACAGTTGTGCAGCATGTTCTAGGGGGCCATTACTGAACACACAGCTGGAACCTGCTCCTAATTCCTCTTATTAAACTATTAACTTTCTGCTTAAAGTAATGAGAGTAGTTTCTGTTATCTGCAGATGAGTCCTGTTTAAGATACTTATTGGCTTCAGAAGTGAATTTAAGGGCCTCCCCGGTGGCGCAGCGGTTGAGCGCTGGGTTGCGAAGCTGCCCGCGGCCTCTGCGGCGCCGGTTCGATCCCCGGCTGCTCCCCGGCCACAGGAGGAGGGTCCCACATGGCGCGCAGACCTCTCCTGCCACCCGCTGCTCCCCTCAGCAGTGTACTTCGGTCCTTCTGCCTGCTCTGCTCCCCGCTCTGGCCCTGGTGAATTCTCTCACCCTCCCACGCTTCTGACTGTACCCAGTGCATGTATAAACAAAACAAACAAATAAATAAAGCATGCCTCTATTAAAAAAAAAAAAAAAAAGAAGTGAATTTAAGCAACAGACCCTGAAGAATGGGATATGAGAATATGAGACTCATTAGCCAACCTACTTAGATTTGAAGGCAGTGAGGACTAAGATATCATTAGAGGATGAAATGTCAGTGCTACGATGAATTATGCCCGCAGCCCTTTTATTTGTTGATGCTCTAACCCCTTGTATCTCAATGTTACTATATGTAAAAATTGGGCCATTGGAGAGGTTACTAAATTAAAATGGGATCATTAAGGCAGGCCCTAATCCAATAAATCTCCTCTAAAAAGAGGAGATTAGGATACAGGTAACACAGACAGAAGGATAACCATATGAGGACGCTAGCAAACTAAATCAACTAGTAATAAACCATGGCATTCAGTGGCAAAGTTACTCAAATTAACTACCTGCGGCCAATTGAAATAAAATGCCTATGAAAAGCATGGCTCTGGCAGATCAAATGGTAGGGCTATGGCATAGCATTGTTGCCATATAGAATTCAAAACTCTGGGGCCTCCCTTGTGGTGCAGGTGGTTGAGCGCAGCGCTGTAAAGCTGTCCGCAGCCTCTGCAGTGCTGGTTGGATCCCCACGGGCCTCGGAGCAACCCACATGGCACGGCAGACCTCTCCTGTCTCACCCGCTGCTCCCCTCAGCAGTGTGTTTCATCAGTCTGCCTGTTTTGTTGCCCTCTCTGTCTCTGGTGAATCCTCTCACCCTCCCGCACCTCTGGCCTATATCCTGGTTCTTGTATAAATAAAATAAATCTTTAAAAAAAATAATTAAACTTAAAAAAAAAAAAGAATTCTAAACTCTGAGGTGGCTGTTTATTACCCTCACTGAAGAACTTTATTAAAAAAAATAGCAATCCGGGCCTCCCCGGTGGCGCATCGGTTGAGCGCTGGCTTGCAAAGCTGCCCGGAGCCTCTGCGGCGCCGGTTCGATCCCCGGCTGCTCCCCGGCCACCGGAGGAGGGTCCCACATGGCGCGCAGACCTCTCCTGCCGCCCGCTGCTCCCCTCAGCAGTGTACTTTGTCACTCTGCCTGCTCTGGCTCTGGTGAATTCTCTCACCCTCCCGTGCTTCTGACTGTACCCAGTGCTTATATAAATAAATAAATAAATAAATAAATCTTTAAAAAAAAAAAAAAATAGCAATCCCAGGGCTTTAAATTCTTAGCTCAAGACATTGTCAGAAACCTAGTATCTATGACTACCCTAAAAGTCTCTTATGTCTCTTGTAGCTATAGAATGTTTTGTAGTAGAAAATCAGATACAGAATTTGATATTGTAGTTTGAGGAATTAGACCATGAGTTGAAATCACAACTTCATCAGATCTGTAAATTTAGGACATTAACTGGGGAAATGTAGGGTGCCTCAAAATTGAATGATAACAGGGCCTCCCCGGTGGCGCAGCGGTTGAGCGCTGGGTTGTGAAGCTGCCCGCAGCCTCTGCAGCGCCAGTTCGATCCCCGGCTGCCCCCTGGCCACCGGAGGAGGGTGCCACATGGTGCACAGACCTCTCCTGCCGCCCGCTGCTCCCCTCAGCAGTGTGCTTCAGTCCTTCTGCCTGCTCTGCTCCCCGCTCTAGCTCTGGTGAATTCTCTCACCCTCCTGCGATTCTGACTGTACCCAGTGCTTGTATAAATAAATAAAAATAAAATCTTTTAAAAAAAATTGAATAATAACATTTGGAAAGATTTGGTTAATTGTAAGTACCCAAACTTCAAAATTCTACAGAACACCCCTTTCCAGCAAAGCAGATCCTCTGCTCTGTCTGCCACAGCTGATCCTATCTTGCTTTAAAACCCCTGTTGACCTTACCTAAGATGTGCCCTGTAAGGGGATCCCAGTGTTCCCTGTGCTTCATCCCTTCCACCCTTCACTGCCCCCAGGCCCTCCATTAGTCAGAGCCCAAGATGCCCTTGGAGCTAATTACAGTCAAACCTCAGAGAAGACACTCAACCTAAAGAATTATAAGTCTGTATATTGGGAAAAAACTGGGAAATGTACATGGAAATTATTTGAGAAATTCCTAGACCAGACAAAAGGAACATAATTTTAGGTCATGCTAGATTTATTGACATTGGGTACAAGTACCAGAGAATCTAAAATTGATATGCCTGCTTGAATAGCTGGGAGTGGTTCTAATTGTGTGATTGGTTAGCTGTAATCTATACTATATATGGAATTGACTGAATGAAGCAAGGTGCCCAAAATTCCTTGGGGCAGTGTAGAATAAATGATCTATAGATTTAGAGAGAGAAAGCTGTTGAAATGGCTTTATCAAATGCAATCAGCTTAATCTAGCCCCTAAATGTGTTATCCAAAAAGACAGAAGATACTCCTTTCATTTAGAAATATATGGGTGAGAGAAAACTTGGAAAGCAGAGTAGTAAACATCTTTTATGGCCTGGAGATAATAGTGGGCTATGATGCCATGAATAGGAGCTCCCTGATTTCACTAGCTATGATGAGACTTCAGATGGACACGTTCAAGTAGCAGCATGTAGTTGTCAGAGACAAGGTGAACATGTTTCCAAAATATGTAGCAGGGCCTGTGTGGTTCTCAAAATGGTTTAATCCTCATGGTAGTAAGGGGTTCTATCAGACTGAAATACATGGATGACAGTCCTACTTGATGGAATAATTACAAGAACCCTAAATAGGTTTGATGAACAGTGAGACACCTCTCAAACAACTCCAGAACAGTTAGTTTTCACACCCTAAGCATCGTGCTTAAAGAGGAGGCCTAGAATCTATGAAGAAGGACTTTGTAAGGATATAATAAAAACATAAACTATCCTTTCCAATCTTCCCAAAAGAGGTCCCTGGTCATTTCCTAAGGTGACTATACACCAGAGAAAGAAATAATTAGACCTTTGAGGTATTTTAAATGCTCTAAGCTTACTTAATATCTGAGGATCCAAAACATTCTAACAGTCTACCTTCAAATTGAAGGCTGATGTTTGTTAGGTGAGAAATAGATAAACAAAAGTCTGACCTAGTGCCATCTCGCTGTGAACTTAGTGAGTCAATATCCCAATCTAGTTATTTTTCAGTTTCTAATTAGGTGGTTGGAATGAGGGGGGGGGGGAGCAAAGCACTTAGATTCTGTGCACCAAAGTGTCACTACACTGTCCAGACCAAGGCAATAAGGATGATATTGAGTGCTTGTTATGTGCCAGCACTGTGCTAAGTGCTTTATATGTGTGATCTCATTTAATTATCTTTTAAAAACTCCATTTGTTCTTTCTTTTATTATTTTCATTTTCAGGTTAGGAAACTGAGAATTGAAAGATTGATTAACATGTCCAAAGTTATATACCTAATGCATGGTAGAGCTATGTTTAAGTCAGACTCTCTGATGCCAAAGCCCATACTTTCCATGAATATTCTCTACTGCCTTATCTGTGCTAAATCACATAAATATTGACTTACTAATTAATTACTTTAAATTGAGAATCTAAAGAGCCATATAACCCTATAGCAAGTTAATTGTCTCTTCCTGCTTTGTTTTCTAGGTTGATTGCACACACAGAGGATACAGGCAGCCTGGTATTGACAGATGGAAAAGGAGATTTGAAGTTACATATCTCAGCAAACCCATTCAAGGTAGACATGGTGTCTGAAGAAGAGGTTGTGATGAGCATAAACTCCCTGGGCCAACTGTATTTTGAGCACCTGCAAAGGTATTTTTGCACATTACTTGTATAGAACTTAAGAAAACCTGATTGTGAATTATATAAATTAATAAAGTACATATTATATTTGTCATATATATTATTAGATAATATATTACAATAGAGAATTGATTTGCCTTATTTGATGGAATATTGTTCTAAGAAATTTCATCTTTGCACCTATGTAGGTGAATGCAGGCTTTCTGACTAGAGTGATTCCCTAACTTTTGCAAATGTGGCACTCTTAATATCTCCTGTTAACTTGATAAATGTTCATGTAAAAAACATATCTTCATAATTTCACTTTACCCCCTTACAATAACATGAATTACCCTACATTTGAAAACAAGCCCTCAAATAACATCCTTCCCCTAAAGCAACAATAGTCAAAACAGGTATGGGTGAATAAAAAGACAAATATATCAATGGAATAAAATACAGACCCCAACAATATACCCATATAAATATAGTGAACAGATAGATCTTTGTCATGAGAGTGAAACCAATACAATAGAGCACAGATAGCTTTTTCAACAAATGATTCTGGAACAATTGGACATTTGTATGCAAAAACATTAATCTAAAATGCAAACTCCTAGAACAGGAGAAAGTTTATATAACTTAGGGTATGGTGATGATTTTTCACATACAACACCAAAATAACAATCTATGAAAGAAATAACTGATAAGCTGGACTTCATTGAAAGTAATAACTGCTGGCCTGTGAAAAACAATGTCAAGAGCACTAGAAGACAAGCCAGAAAAATATTTGCAAAATACACATCTGATAAAGGACTACTACTCAAAATATACAAAGAACTCTTAAAATTCAGTAAGAAAATGAACCACCAAATTTAAAAATGGGCAAAAGACCTGAACAGATATCTTAACAGGTGGCAGTTAAGCAAATGCAAAGATGTTCAATATCATGTCATTAGGGAATTGCAAATTAAAACAGTATCTTTTTTTTTAATTGTTATGCATCTATTTGAATGGCCAACATCCAAAACAGTAACACTACCAAATGCTGGCAAGTATATGGAAAAATGGGGACTCCTCTTTCTTTGCTGCTGGGAATGCAAAGTCATATAGCCACCCTGGAAGACAGTTGGACAGTTTCTTACAAAAGTAAACATTCTTACCACGGGTCCAGCAATTGTATCCCTTAGTGTTTACTCCAAGGAAGTAAAAATTTATGTACAAGAAAAAAACATAGGTGATACACTCCTTGACATCAGTTTAGAGATGTGCTTGGGAACTCGATGTCAATATTAAGGGAAACAAAAGCAAAAATAAACAAAATGGAACTGCATTTCTAAAAATCTTCGGCAAAAGAAATTTTAATCAAGATGAAAAGCTATCCTACTGAATGGGAGAAGATACTTGTACATCATGAGTCTAATGGGGTTAATATGCAAAATATATAAAGAACTCATAAAACAACACTAAAAAAAAAGTCAATAAAAAATGGGAAAAGATGGGCCTTCCTGGTGCACAAGAGGTTAAGCACAGCACTATGAAGCTATCCACAGCCTCTGCAGCAAGAGTTCTAACCCCGGCTGGCCAGGGAGGTGACCCACATGGCACAGCAGACCTCTTCTGTCTTGCCTGCTGCTCCCCTCAGCAGTGTATTTCAGTCAATCGCCTGTTTTGTTCCCCCCTCTTGCTCTGGTGAATCCTCTCACCCCTCGCATCTCTGGCCTGTATCCCAGTTCTTGTAGGCATAAATAAATTTTTTAAAAATGGGAAGAGGTCTGAATAAACACTTCCCCTACAAAGACATACAGCTGACCAACAAGCATTTGAAAAGATGTTTATCATCTCTTATTATCAAGGAAATGTAAATCAAGACAACAGTGAGATATCCCATCACACCTGTGAGAATAGATGTTCTCCAAAAGACAAGAAGTAAGAAATGTTACAGAGAATGTTACACTGTTGGTGAAAATGTAAATTGGTACAGCCAATATTAAAGGCAGTATGCAAATTCCTCAAAATCCAACCTCTGGATATTTACATAAAGAATAAAGAACACTACTTCCAAAAATTATATGTACCCCCATGTTCATTGCAGCATATTTATAATAACCAAGAACTGGAATAACCCATCATCTAACAAGTGGATAAAGAAGGCATAGAGTATATATACACAGTGGAATATTATTCAGCTACTAAAAAGATGAAATCCCACCAACATGAATGGATCTACAAGGTATTATACTAGTGAAATGAGCCACACGGAGGAAGACACATACCATATGATTTCACTCATATGTGGTATACAGAGAAAACAAAGAAACAGATAAATTAAATAAGATAAACCTTTTGAACTATAAGAAAAATTAGTGGTTACCAGAAGAGAAAGAGGAAAGTAAGGGGGCCTAAATCATCAGGACAAAGGGGTCAATTGTATGATGAAAGGTAGAACTGGACTTTTAGTAGTGAACTTAATATAGTATATGCATATATTTTCAATGAAGTATACCTGAAATTATACCATGCAATGGTACTTCAATAAAAAGTAAATAAAAATAAATTGAAAAAATAAAAACCTTATGTCCACACAAAAAATCTGCATATAGGTATTTTTAGCAGCTTTATTAATTGCCAAAACATGGAAACAACCAAGAAGTCCTTCAGTAAGTAAACAGATAAACTGTGGGATATCCAGACAATGGACTATTACTTGGCTCTTAAAGAAAATGAGCTAAACAAGCCTTGCAATGACATGGAGGGACCTTAAATGTTTTTACCAAGTGAAGAAAGCCAATCCTGTAAAGAGTACATTTTATGTGAATCCAACTATATGACATTCTGGAAAAGACAAAACTCTGGAGACAGTGAAAAGATTAGTAGTTGCAGGGACTAAGGAAACAGAGTGACGACTAGGCAAGGAACAGAAGATTTTTAGGTCAGTGAAAATATTCTGTATGATACCACAATGATAGCTATATGACATCATACATTCGTCAAAGCCCATGGAAAACATAACACCAAGAGTGAACCCAAATGTAAACTATGGATGTTAGTTGATAGTGTACCACTCTCATGTGAGATGTTGATAATGGGGGAGACTGTGGATGTGTGGGAACAATGAATATGTGGGAACTCTGCTTTCTGCTCAATTTTGCTGTTAACCTAAAACTGCTCTAATAAATAAAGTATTGATTTTTAAAAAATTAAAAGGCAACATACTAATGAAAAATTTTAAATGTATATAAAAGCCAAAAATTAATATATGATATAAAAAGCTTAACTCAGTGAGAAAAGAACAAGCAAACTGCAGCATATTAGCACATATTAACAACATGATATCAAAAATTTTAAGAATGAGTGAAAAAAAATACAAAAAATATATGCAGTATCTCTCTATTTGTATGAAAGATTTTTTAAGGCAAAACCAAATAATAGATATATGGGGTTGCTTACACATGTGAGAATAATATTTTTAAAAACCATAAGAGATAGCTATTACACAAAATTTAGTAAAGTGTTACTCTGAAGGGTGTGGGAATAGACATATGCATTTGAAGAGCAGCACACAGAAACTCCCAAGGAACAAGATTTTTCTGCAGCTTATGCTTCCAATGGATCCATAGTTGTTCATTTTAGTATGATTCTTTAAATTCTGTACAAACACACTGTACAGTAAAAAACATTAATGTGTAGTGAATCTGAATAGAAAATTCACAGAAGAAATAAAAATACCATTTAATGTATAAAAAGGTAGTCTACCTCATTCATGACCACAGAAATACAAATTGAAATGCATCATCTTTTTTAAAATTTAGATTGACAAAGAGTCAAAAGATTGATAAAAGATCAATATTGTTAAGAATGGGGAGAAATGAGCACTCAAAAACAACTGTGGTTAAGAAAATAAGTTGTCACAGTCATTCTGAAAGACAGTACATCTATTGCTCTGTACTAGGGTAATAAATGAAGAGAAAATTCTATTGCTTACTTGTTTTAAGTATTATGAGCATGTATTACATTTATAACAAAAGAACTGATAAAAAATATTTTTAAAGTGTCAAGAAAATTCTAATATATTTTCACTTTTGTAAGAAATCAAATGTTCAATTTTATAAATTTTTATTTTTATAATGAAGTTATTTTTAATAAGTTAAAGTATATAATTTATGTGTGTCAAAAGTTGCAAATGAAAATCTGTATCCTTGAACAAAATTCTGTCAGTCATGCTGTGAGTGAAACAATTTTATGTTGAAACAGAGCTACCAAAGAACATGAGGAGGATGCATCTACTGACACCTGTCAGGTAATCCAGATTGAGCAACTTTTCTTTTCTTTTTAATCTTTTACACCATCATCATCATTATGTGGCATATAATTGGCTCTTTTCCTCCCTTCTACTACTGATGAGTAATTGTTAAATGCTCTATTACATGTAAATTATGGCTGATTTACAGGTTGTAAATCAGTAAGGCAAGCACTGTCTCTTGCTTGCCTTAATATCTCATTGATTATTTCATTCATTTGGTCATTTATGTATTCATTCATTCAAAAAATATAAAATTGCTGAGAGCCTGCTTTATGCCAGGCAAGTAAGTTATACTTAGACAGGAGAATCATTTGTGAATGAAACAGATCCCAACCGTCCCCATGAAACTTGGAATCTGCTTGGAAAGACAGACACTAAGTAATTACTGCATGAGAAGTGTTATAAAGGGTTCTGTCAAAGGACACAGCAAGGAATTTGACCAAGTTGAGAGTTAGGAAAACCCTCCTAATGGAAAGAATGTTAAAGCTGAGCCTGATGCCTGTCAAAAAGCTGGGTAAAGAATATTCCAGATAGAGAATATTCCAAATGTCTTTCCATAGTCAAAGACATTGAGGTCAGAAAGTTCACACTTGAGAAATTTTATATAAATTATCTTTTGTTAGGAGAAAGCAAAGCAAAGCATGTATGTAACAAGGCTAGTGTGTTAGCCAGGGGCAATTCTGTGAAAAGTCTTGGAATAATTCTTTTATTTAACAAATATTTGTTGAGCACCTCCTAGAGAATAGATTTTGGTGACAGATCATTGAACAAATCAAACTTCCCTAATAATCATAGGGCTTACATTCTTCTAGAACATGTTAACCTTTTTAGACTTTATCCTAAGAGCAAAGGAAAACTATGGAAAGATGATAAGCAGCAGAGAATGGTCTGATTGTTTTTTAAAAGATTGTTTTGCACATGAAGGGGGAGACCCTATGCCTCTAAATCATGATGTTACCTCAATAAAAATAAAAAGAAATTTTTTTAAATAAGGAGAAAAAGATTTTTTGGCTAAAATATGAGAAATGTACACTCCAGAAATTTTTTCTTCATCAAAACCATGTGCAATTTCAAAGGAGCCTTGATAGTTGCTATGGTCACCAGGATGATAAATTATAGTCAGCCTTACAAAGGAAGGAAATTCCAACACATACTACAAGAGAGATGACAATCTGTATCATTGAACAAAATTCTGTCAGTCTCTCCATGAGTGAAACAACCTAGTATAGTGAAGATATTATACTAAGTGAAATAAGCCCATCACAAAAGGACAAATACTATATGATTCCACTTAAATGAGATATCTAGAGTAGTCAAGTTCAGAGACAGGAAGTAGAATGATGATTGCCAGGAGTTGGAGGAATAAGGGACTATCGTTTAATGGGTACCGAGGTTCAGTTTGGGCAGATGTAAAATTCCAAAGACAGATAGTAATGGTTGCTGTACAGGGTGAATTAATGCCATTAAACATAGACTTAAGAATGGTCAAATTTTATGTATATTTTACCACAATAAAAAATATATTCACATCAGCTTAGTTCACAGGGAAAATTAGCATTATTCAGAATATACATGTTTTCTTAATAGATTTGATTTTTTAACATTTTTTTTTTTATAATTTTTTTTTTTTTTAATAGAGGCACGTTTATTTATTTATTTATTTATTTGTTTGTTTGTTTTGTTTATACATGCACTGGGTACAGTCAGAAGCGCGGGAGGGTGAGAGAATTCACCAGAGCCAGAGCGGGGAGCAGAGCAGGCAGAAGGATGAAGTACACTGCTGAGGGGAGCAGCGGGCGGCAGGAGAGGTCTGCACGCCATGTGGGACCCTCCTCCGCTGGCCAGGGAGCAGCCGGGGATCGAACCGGCGCCTCAGAGGCTGCGGGCAGCTTTGCAACCCAGCGCTCAACCGCTGCGCCACCGGGGAGGCCCGATTTTTTAACATTTGTTAATACCATAAACTGGTCTTTTGAAAGATTATAGTTTTCTCACTCTAGGTTTTTTTTTTTTTTGTTTGTTTGTTTAAAGATTTATTCATCTATTTATACAAGAGCTGGGGTACAGGCTAGAGGCGTGGGAGGGTGAGAGGATTCACCAGAGACAGAGCAAGGAGCAGAACAGGCAGATTAACTGAAATACACTACTGAGGGGAGCAGTGGGCAAGACAGGACAGGTCTGCCGTGCATGTGGGTATCTCCCTGGCTGGCCGGGAATCAAACCCTTGCTGCAGAGGCTGCAGACAGCCTCACAGCGCTGCGCTCAACCTGCTGGAGCCACTGGCGAGGCTCCCTCACTCCAGTTTTTTAACAATCCATATAAAATATGCTATTATAGTAATCCTTGTTGCAATTAATAAACTCTATTTGCTCTTTTTTCCATTCCAACAGGAAAATCAAGATGCTCTAGATCTATGGAAGAGAAATTTGGAAAATTGTGGATATCAAAGCTAATGGTAAAATTGAAACTGGTATAGTGTTAAATCATATTGTTCCAAAATAGTTAAATGTCATTATCTAAATGTCCTTGAGCTTTGGCACCTAAACAAGTGACTTCTATAAGGTGAACTCAAATCTCAGATTTTTTGGTCTTTTTTATTATTTTCTTGTTTTATTGTTAATTTTTGGATGGTATTTGATGAAATCTCAGATTTGGGTATCCTGTTCTTGGATAATGCATGCAACAGAAAAATGTGGCTGTATACCTTCTGTGGGAAGTGTAGAGAAATGCAGGCCTCATAGAGTTCATGGTCTTGTGGAAGTGCCTGGGTCAGCATGCTGCTTACATTAGATCTAGGAGATCACCCAGCTGCAAATTCCACATTCTATTTTATGAGATTGAAATGATGTCACCAAGTTCCAGAGCCCATCAGCCCCAACTTTCCAAGCCAGTGGTTCTCACCTTTTTCAAACTTCATGTTCACATAGGCATCCCATGAACATCTTTGACATTTCTCACTAGGTTTACTGACAGGATGGGGTAGGGGTCTGGAAGGAAGTTTGTCTCTTTAGGAGATGCCTTTCAGATACTGGAGGTTTATGTAACTGGAAAGACACTTTCCTGCTTCCTCCCTACCTTGTAAAATAACAGGTCTTCCCCCAACTCCTTTAGAATCCTGTTCTGGCATCTATTATCTAAGCCTCGTATAAGGAAAAGGATTTGAAATATGCCCCAAATTTACAAGTAGGGGAGCCCGCAGGCTCTCCTTTTTTTTTTTAATAACATCATAATCCTTCTTACCTTCTCTATAGACCCCCCCTTTCTCCAAATAAAGACCATTTAATGTCAATACTTTTACCTAAGAGTGAATTTTAGTCTCTAAAGTAAATTATTAAATAAAGGATTTTGTCTTTGGCTAAAGAAAAAAAAATATATATATATATTTATAATCACAGGGAAGGGGGTACTGTGAAAAGCCAGAATCCACCTGGTGCCCTTGACAATATGGCCTGTGTTACATTCGGATAAATGATCTGGCAGATGACACACGGTCTTCCATCTAGCAAAGATTAAAACTGATCAGTATCCTTTGTTCTCTCACAGCAAAGATGTATGCAATATATGTCAGGAAAATCTGTGTTAGGAAAAAAAACCTAAAACCTTACACAGAAAAGCTTACATACACAGAAAGCTCTCAGTACACAGCTATAGAAACGTAACTCATAACTGACCAGGACTTTGCCTTGTTTCTTCTGTGTCCTTACAATGCCTGAATATAACCTCTAAGGAGTCAGCACACATGATCTGCTGATTGATCAGGGCGAGCTCAGGGCTCTCAGCCCCTAATCCAATCATCTTGGGACACTCACAGTTACCTGAATAATTGATTGTCCCATTATAGTAGAAAAACTCAGTCAGTGTCCTGG